ATCGTCCTAGCGTCCTGCGTCATTCTCCGACTTGTTCCCCCATGCAATGATCTGGTCTGAGATCGAGTCGAAGCGCGCCATCGTGAGTTTGTTGAGCAATGCGCTGACCTGACGGTCGACGTCCAAGGGGGTGTACACCACGGTACTAGGGGAGGGAGAGCCATCGTTATGTGAGTTGGGACGGGACGTTGCACGCTTTCGTTCGAAGACAGACATGGCGAGCCGCAGGTGTGTATCGATACGGTCTGTGCTAGAACGCAAAACATAAGCGACATCGCACAGGACTGTGCCGGAGCACACTGAACATACCCAGACTAGACGCACCGCAGCAGCTCGCGGTTGTCGAACGCTGGAGAGGGGATGCGGTAGAGGGCATCCCAGGACGGCGCGCTGCAAGTGGGTTCACAGTAGTGTGCTGCGGTAGCTCATAAACGCTGAGAATAGCTAGGTTGTGGTGGGCGCGTGGCTCTGAAGGGTAGCAGAAACCTTCGGCTATGGTATAGCAAGGCTCATGGATTGAGTACACGTTCCAGCGAGTGGTCTGCTGATGAAAGCCCGCTCATATTGTATCAAAGTCCCAACCTCCAGCGCGTCCTGCGGGGTCGACGGGTAGTTCCAATCGCATAGTTAGCCAAGAAGATACTGCCGGAGAGATGGACAACGTAAACCGAACTCAGAGCATCCAGACTAACACTTCCTACAGCGAACCTAGACGCATGTTGAGACCTTTTTCAGACAAAATCAGGTCCTGCGCAGCGCGGGCCATCTGCAGCGGCATCCTGGTGCTCTTGGTAGGGTCCTTCGTCGCGGAAACCACGAGTTTCACGTTCACGGCATTGAGCAACTCCTCCAGGGCGGCGTAGGGTCGACTCGGACGTGACTTCTTGGCTGGAACAGTGGCAACGTCAGCGATACCGATACCATGCCAGCCTTCTGTACCAGCTAGCGAGCCGTTTCCGTCGGCCGGAGCTTTCTTGTCACAAGCATAACAAATCACATTCGTCACACCACCAACGTCGAATGCTTCAATAGGAACTCCATGTCGTCCATACCCATCGGCAGAAGATCCACACCGAATGCCTCGAGACGGACGAGGAACTCGTAGTCGATGCGCCCGTCCAGCATCCGCACGCTGTACGAGTCCGCCTCCCACACGCCCCTGTAGTCCTGCTCCACTCCGACAGGAGGCGCATGCAAGAACTGCTTGCCCAGCAGCGTCTGGGGGTTCTTCAGATACTCCCCAACCTCGCTATCAGTGACCGCCTTCGGTTTGCCAATCGGCGGGGGGCTGAGCGGGTTTAGAGCGGTCGGCGGGGTGATTGTTGCCGGGTTGTGTACCATCCCGTTGGTTTTCTTGGGATAGAGAACACGGAACTCATTCTTGATCCAGTCATTAAAGCTGTGGACGTGCATTCATTAGCACTGCCCCCCTTTGACTGCATTTGAACGGATAGCACGCACATGGCATTGTATCGCTTGAAGACCTGGTTCCGAAGGTCGGGGTGGGCCCTGAGTGGATACGCCCACTTGTACTGGTAGACGACCATGACCGCCGCACTTGCTAGGTGACTTCGCAGGACTCGACTGAGTATACGTAAGTACAGCGTCACATAAAAGAGACAGCTAAAACTCACTCCTCGAGCGAGTTCGGGGGCGTGAGCTGCTCGATCGCAGCGTCCACCTGCGCGAGGTACTCGTCGTACTTCTCCGGGGGAAGATCCACACCGACGGTATCCTTGGGCCAGAAGGTGGGCTTGGTTTCCGGGCGGGCGTAGAGCTCTGCGATGATGGCGTCACGGCGTCCGGGATGTTCAGAGAGTTCCTGGACGTCGATTGCGTTGATCTGGAGGTATTTGACGAATTGTCTGGAGAGGGCCTCGACGTCGACTTGGTCGCGAGGAACGGTGTAGATGTCGATGGAAGTCATCTTGATGGACGGTAGAGAGAGAGACGGAGGGGCGCAGCAGAGAGAGGACGTGGTCGCGTCCAAGTCGCGACATCCTCAGCCAGGTCTGCTGACCTTTCCTGCTAGTCTCGTGGCCAGACGTTCGGAGCGCGAATTGGAAGTGAAAACTCGGGGGTTGCCGCGTTCCTGAACTTCAGCATAAGTACTGGACTATTACATACATAAGCGTACGGTAGTAGCGTGCGGCTGTTGAAAGTTGAGAGGGATTGCGGTCAAGGGGATCCCAGGACGGCGCGCTGCAAATGGGTTCATAGTGGTGTGCTGCGGTAGCCCATAAATCCCGGGAATAGCTGGATGGTGGTGGGCGCGTGGCGGCGGAGGGTAGCGGAGGCACGGGCTTCTGCAGATCGCTTTCCATGGGTCAGTCCACTGACATTGTTCCGTGAGTACCATGGGCACTCACCGTTATCCAATTCATTTGTCCTCAGCATCCTGCACGAGGTCGCATGTGAGGGCGCCCCTTACGGGACGAGTGCCAAAAACTCCTCGTCGGTTTTGAAGAGGAGGGTAGGTTCGTCGTGGCAGAAGTCGAGTCGAAGATGTCGGCCACATACGATGCAAAGATTGGTAGAAGCTTCTTTCGACCAAGCAGGGTATCGAGGAGGGCCGTCGCAGACATGCGGTGGGCCATCCATGTGCGATTCCCGGGATCCTCGATGGCCCACGACGAGGCCAGGGCAGACCTGAGCATGTCCACTGATTCGACTGTCGGTAGGAGGTCCATGGGGAGCACGACCGGAGTCGGCAGGCCGCCAAGCACGTATAATAGGTCACCCCACCAGGATGTGTAAGCGGTGCCGACGTTTCGAGCGGCGGCGGTCGCCATATCCCATCCTTCCATGAGCGCTGCCAGTGGGTAGCGAGGACGGGTTCGCAGGATTTACTGGAGATAGCTCAAGGCGAGGTCGATACGTCGGTAACGGATGGGCCATAGACCAGTCTCTGTGAACAGTGGAGCAAGCTGGGAGTGGGCCCCAAGGCGGAACGCTCTGCGTAAGAATGTGTGTTGGACTTTCTGCAGAGCACGCAGATTGACGGCGGACACATCCAGTACCACCTCACACCCTGAGGTCAGGTGCGGAAACCTTCGATTGGGGTGATAGGAAGACTCATAACCTGGGCGCACGCTCCAAAGGGACGTCTGTTGACGGGGGATCCTTCATCTCGTTTGCGAACTCTCAGCCTCCGACGCGTCTTCCACAGTCAACCAGCCGTTCCAATCACGTAGCCGGCGAAGGAGATACTGGTGGTGGCATAGGCTGCGTGAACCCAGCCCTGAGCATCCAGGTTAGCACTTCCTGCAGCAAACCGAGGCGCATGTTGAGACCTTCCTCAGACAAAATCATGTGCCCTGCGTAGCGCGAGCCTTCTCCAGCGCCACTTTGGTGCTCCTGATAGAATTTTCCCTGGCGGTGATGAGCCGCCTCGCTTTCGTGACATCGAGCGACTCCTCCAAGGCGGTGTAGGACGGACGTGGCTTCTTGCCAGCCGGTACAGCGGCGACGCCAGCAACAGCATCACCCTCCGCACCCGCCTGCAAGCCCTCTGCTTCGGCGGGAGGTTTGCTCGCTGAGAGAGACGCGAGCTCGGCGCGCAGAGAGGCGAGGATGTCATCGAGAGAAGTGAGCGTTGCGACACTTGTGGCCATGTCGTCCTTGAGCCGGAACGTGCGGCAGACTTCGCGTGTGCACATCTCGATGTGGTCGAATCGCACTGGGCCGAGCATTTCGCCTCCGTACCTGGAGTGTCCAGTAATCAGATATATATTGGCAGGACGTGAGATAGTGAGGTCGCGGTCCGCTTGCGCTTTAACACTGGTTGGGGTGGGGGGTGAGGAATACGAGAGTTTTCGAACGCAGTGACCAGGCCAATGTATGCTCGTACATCTCGGATGTCTTCCAGATTGCATCTCACCCGCTACGATGACGAAACCCCTGCTGACAACGTTCCGACACCGCTTGTGTATCTCCCTCCGGATCGTTTCGCGAGACTGATCTTAGCGATGCACATGCAGTATATCTTGTTAATTGAGCCATGGGCTCGCTCTTGTTTACACCCTCTTCGCTTGTCGGGTTCGCTCATGGCGAAAAGCTCCCAGCTCCCATCGACAGTGCTTTCGGATACATGAAGTGTGTACTCACCATCGGCTGACCACAACCACCGCGTCGATGACGCCCTCGGCTTGCATGACCTTCATTACCCTGCCACCGGCGTACTGCTCCTCATCGTCGTCATACCCGCTCACAACCTCGAAGTCGTCGGGCCCACCAAGGCCAGTTTTGCCCGCCTTTAGCACCATGCACCGCCAAGCGGCTATCTCGTGCGATGCAGGTCGGTTGCCGTGTGTTACATGCTTGAGATGCCGAACGGCTCTTCGGGCTTCTTCCGGGCTTGCAGCTGAGAAGACATGGCCGAGAAACGTCGAGCCGCGGTCCCTGATTTCCTGCGACGTCGCCAGAGACTTCGGAGGAGGTCGGGAAGACGTGACAAAAGAATCGAGGTTGGACATGTTGCTGCCGTCGCCCTGCAGCCGTTGAGGTGAAGACAGGTTCAGAACGGCCCCGCCGGCAGGTACTAGCGGGTACTGCGTGTCGTGATCGAGTAGTCCGGCAGAATAGAGAGAAATTGATTCCCCGTTATGTGTTCCTGGAGGAGGATCGGAGAGAACAAAACAGCGGTATGTAAACGCCAAGATATTAGTAGACGCTCGTAGTGTATGCCGTACAGCCCATATTAGACGCCCGCGCTTGCAACCTTCTGTCGCTAACTTTAAGCCATTCGCCGGCCACGCTGCTTTTGTTCTTCTCCGAGCCTTGTTCTCATCCACCACCACCGCGCTCAGCTACGCGACAATCTGGCTCTGTCTTTCTCCATCTCTAGCTGAAGCCGGTCTCTCTCTTGCTTCCTTGCTCCCCGTTCCGCCTCTGAGCGGGCCTACACACTGCGCAGCAGTCAAGTTTCACCACCATGTCAAGCTCAGGAGACCTCTATGAGATATTCGGCGAGACCGCAAGCCAACGGACGCTGGCGCCCGTTGCAGTGGCTTCGCAGGTCGGGTTGATGTTGGGAGTGTCGGTACGTCTGCCGAGTTGCGGAGAAGGTCGGCGAGTGACTGACTGCGGGGTGTAGCTCGCAACTGTCATTGTCTTCAACGTTCTGCGCCCAAACAACAAGGTTCGTGTCTTTGACATCATCTGTCGAACTTCGCGGATACATGGATGGGATTGGCCATGTCGTCGGTGTTCAGAATCACGCACCGCATTTGCCTTCCATGGGTCTTATGTCAGTAGTGCGCCCAGTGCCATGGCTCACGGGCGTTGACAGCGCTGCGCACTCAATCGGTAACGGTTAGCAGGTCTCCCATGAAGCACAGGTCTGTCCGGACCCGTCAGACCCTTTTGTGGGGGCTCTGGTGGCTGTCCGTATAGTGCTCTCACAGGAGATCAGCCATGTCCAAGTCAAAATCCTTGCTGCTTTAGGTCATATCAGGCTATTTGCGTGGCCCATACAAGGCAGTCATATTGGGGCGAGCTGATAGAGGAGCTCCAGTACGGGTCCGTATTGGCTGAGCCACAGATGCACGACGGACCAGGTGTGGAGGCCACTGCATGTTATAGCCCGCACCACCATGCGATAGTGCTCAAACCTCTGGTAATACTCAAGGCTATCGCATAGCGGCAGGTTGACCTTGCCCTTTGTCTGCCGTGTTGAGGCCGGTCACACGTCGGATCGGGCGCGCACAGTTGCATCCCCGAGCGCCCCTTCAGTTGATCCTCAGGCTCACGACTTCTCATCCGTATACGAGTCTATATGCAACTTGAGTCGACCTGTAGATGCAGGCAGACGACGAAATCAGGATGTCTCCCTTACGGGACCAAACCATCCACCAGCCCGTTGTGTAGCTGCTTTCCGGTCACCGGAGGAGCTGGTGTGCGCCCGATTTGCTACAAGTGTTGGGGCGCCACGCCTGTCAGACGCACAAGAGCCGCATGCGGCCGTGAACGCATATCTGCATCTATGTCCATATTACTGACACGGTTTTGCCCAGATTGTCTACGAACCCAAGGTCAAATACCATGTCGGCAACAAAGCCCCTCCACGACCGTCCGACTCTTTCCTCGGCTGGGTATCTCCCCTGCTCCACACGAAGGAACCCGAGCTCGTCGACAAGATCGGCCTTGATGCGGCCATCTTCCTCCGTTTCCTGCGCATGTGTCGATGGCTCTTCTCTGCTATCGCGTTCCTCACCTGCTCAGTGCTTATCCCCATCAACGTTGTCTACAACATCAAGAACGTCCCGTCGAAGAACCGCGATGCGCTCTCCATGCTTACTATCCGCGACTTAGAGAAGTCCAACTGGATTTTCGCGCATATCACCGTGACCTATGGCATCACGTTCATCGTGATGGCTTTCGTCTGGTGGAACTGGCGGGAGGTCGTACGCCTCCGCCGCGACTGGTTCCGTTCCCCGGAATATATCCAGTCGTTCTATGCCCGCACACTCATGGTCACGGATGTACCCAAGAAGATGATGTCGGACGAGGGGCTCCGCGCCATCTTCGAGTCGGTACAGGTGCCCTATCCTACTACTTCCGTCCATATCGGTCGTAGGGTGGGCCGACTCCCGGACCTCGTGGAGTACCACAACAACGCAGTGCGCGACCTGGAAGCTGTGCTCGTCAAGTACCTGAAGGGCGGCAAGATCGGTAAGAAGCGGCCCACAATCACTATCGGTGGCTTCATGGGCTGCGGCGGCGAGAAGAAGGATGCTATCGACTTCTACACGTACGTCGGCTTTTTTGCAATTCGTTAGCCCCTGGTCGCTAATGTCTCGCAGGGCGAAGCTTCAGCGTGCAGAACGTGCGGTGGAAGAATTCCGTGCCAAGATCGATCTGCGCAAGCCCGAGAACTACGGCTTCGCGTCGATGGCGGCGGTGCCTTACGCCCACATCGTTGCCAACATGCTCAGGCACAAGCATCCCAAGGGCGCCACGATTACACTAGCCCCCAACCCGAAGGATATCGTAAGTCTCACCATGTGCTACGCTGTGGGCGCATATATTGACTATTGCGTGTAGGTCTGGAAGAACTTGGCGTGTACCCCTGCCGAAATCCGCCGGAAGCAGACGATTGGATGGGTCTGGCTCGTCGCCGTATGCTTTTTCAACACCGCTCCGCTCCTAGTTATCTCCCTACTCGCGAACTTGTCTTCCGTATGCCGTCTCCTTCATCCATATCCCAAGTTGCATACTCACCCTTCTTCCGCAGCTCACCGCCTACGTGCCCTTCTTGCAATCTTGGTCTGATGCATCCCCTGGATCGTTCACTTTCGTGTCTGGTGTGCTCCCGCCCGCGGTGTCCGCGCTCTTTGGCTGGGCCCTGCCGATCATCATGCGCAAGTTGACCAAGTTTATGGGTGCAAACACCCACTCCCGCATGGATCGCGCCGTCCTAGCCCGCTACTTTGCGTTCTTGGTCATCTCGCAGCTCATCGTCTTCACGTTGATCGGTGTCATCTTCAGTAAGTTCGAGCTGGCATGTGTGCATGAATAGTGTCTGACGATATCTCTGCAGACGCGGTCAAGCAAGTTGTGGAGCTCATCGGGAAACATGAGAGCTTTGAGAACATCGTCAAGAACTTCAACAGTGAGTGCCTCACATATCTTCGTCGGGAGTATCGACTTATGGCGGGCCCGTTACAGAACTACCCGACAGCATCAACAAGACGTACATCGAGCAAGCTTCGTACTGGCTCACCTACTTCCCGTACGTCCTTGTATCTGGCTAAACTTGCTCAGTAGCTGATCTGCTATCCCAGACTACGTGGCTTCCTTGTTGTGTTCGATCTTGCACAGATTATCAACCTCTTCGTCATCTTCATCAAGACCCAGTACGTCTCCGTTTTGAGCCACATGCATCGGTTCGATCGTGACCATCTTTTGTAGCCTGTTCGGACGCACTCCTCGTGAAATTCGGGAGTGGACACAGCCCCCCGACTTCCAATATGCCATTTACTTGTAAGCATGTCTCAAATTATCTCAGCAGGACGTTACTGATCACGTCGTTCTCACAGCGCCAACTTGGTGCGTTCAGCTTCGTGTCTGCATTTACTCTGTCTCACATTTTCGGTAGCTGTTTATGGGTGTTGTTGCGCTGTTCTTCGCCCCGCTTGCCCCCTTAGTTTGCGTCGCTGCTGCGGTCGTCTTCTGGATCAGCTCCTGGGTCTACAAGTACCAGCTCATGTTCGTCTTCGTCTCGAAGACCGAAACAGGCGGGGTATGCCTCTTGTTTTCCAATACGGCGGCAATATGCTCACGATGTTGCAGCGCATGTGGAACGTCGTCATCAACCGTCTCCTTGCAGGTGTTATCCTCATGCAATGCATCATGCTCCTCAGTACGTCATATACTCCGTTGTAAGTTCTCTCCCCCTGACATCGTCGCGTCTAGCTACGGGCCTCGGGTTTGGGTTCAAGACCTTCAAATGGATCTCTACCATTCCGCCGATCCTCATCGTCCTCGCCTTCAAGATGTACCTCCACCGCGCCTTCCAGACGTCCTTCCGGTACTACCTGCCCACCGAGCAAGAGCTCCAGGAGGCCCAGGTGCACTCGCGCCGTGGCGACGCAGCCGGCAACCGCCTCGAGCGGCGCTTTGGACACCCAGCGCTCAACAGCGACCTGTTCACGCCGATGGTGCACGCGAACATGACTGCCCTGCTCCCTCAAGTCTACAGTGGCAAGATTCAGAACGTGCAGACGAAGCTCGACGAGATGGGCGGCCAGAAGACGGACGCGCAAGTCGTCGCTGGAGGTATCAAGATTGCTGCTGTCGAAGAGGTGCGTTACGATTACGATTCCTTATTATCGAAGCTCATCATGATACCCCCTAGCGCGACCTCGAATACGACCCGGCGCTCTACCGGCGTGACCGCGGAGACGATTGGGACGCCCGTTCTGTGTCCTCGTCCAACTTGCTGGCCGACCCCAAAGTGCCGTATGCGGAGAGCGGCCGCGGCTCACCTGCACCATCCAAGTTTGCGGGTTACGACCGGTATCTTGCGTCGGGCCCCCAGCCCGAGATCGAGATGACGCGACTAGACACTACGTCGGACGTCCAGCCATTGCTACCACACCAGGTTTGTCTTTATGTTTGAGGTCCTACCCGATTGTGCGCTGACGAAGGCCCGCGTAATCAGCAAGCGCCTGGATACTTTGACCCCGGGGCTGCGAGCAGGAGCAACATCGACCTCGGCGCATACGACTACTCCACACCACCGTTGTCAGACAACGCCGGCACCCCGCTCGTGCCCGCAGCGTACCCCAACGACGCGTACCGGGAAGCGCCCCTGCACCGGCCATACCCCACGCAGACGTACTCGAGCAACTACTCGCCCCAGTCGCAGTACCCGCCACAACAGTACCCGCAGCAGCAGTACTCCCCACAGCAGCAGTATCCGCCGCAGCAGTACTCCCCGCAGCCACAGTACCAGGGCCAGTCGCGGATGACGCCCAGCCCGCAGCTGCGCTCGCCCGACTCGTACTTCGGGCAGCCGCCGGCGGCGCCCCCGGGTCTCAACGACGGCGGCGACGGGAACATGGCGGGCCGCGGCGCGCATAGATTGGTATGAATGGACCGGCCCTAGAACTGACGAGCGGGCGACGACGATGTTGTAGGTTGGAACCACCGGGTGCAGCGCGCGCTGCCGGCCGGGCTATAGATATCGTACTGTGCGGGCTACTTGTCGATCTCTCTGCTTTTTATATGTTACTATCTCCCGCGTACATTGTGCACTATAGTCTTTTCATTGCTTCTTGACCGCCACATGGGGATGCTTCATCTCGTCGTGCTACCTACGTAGCTTGGGTTGTGGCTTCGGACCAGTAGGATGTTTACCAAGTAATCTACGCTTATGGACCTCGCAGAACAGGAGAGCACCGACGCTTAGCGACGCACAGCGAATAAATACAACGCATTAAGGTATATGTAATCTAATACGCACGACACGCTCATGTCAGAGCATTGCACTTCGCGAGCTTCGACCCGTACGTCCTCCGCGTCTCCAGCCACTGCTCGAGCCACTCCGCGATCTCCTCCTTGTACCCCGACTTCTTCCGCATCACCCGCTCCGCGTTCTTCTCCAGCCTGTCCATCGGGACCTCGTCGTAGTCGCCCTGCAGGAACGGCTTCGCCATCGTGTAGTGCATGATGCGCATCTCCTGCTGCAGCCCCGCCCACAGCGCGGGCGTGCGCCGCTTGATCGCGAGGTTCGCGTTGTACGCGTACGGCAGCCGCAGCGCCTCCGCACCGAAGTAGTGGTTGAGGAACGCCTGCTCGGCCTGCTCCGCGGGGTAGTGCGCGCTCGCGATCTTCCCCACCATGTCGCGGAACAGCGCGGAGTCCGGGCGCAGCATCATCACGCCCGCGTTGAACGCGGTCGTGTACCCCTGCGCGCCGGGGTACACGTCGGGGACCGCGGCGAAGGAGTAGGGGAGGCGGAAGAGCTCGTCGAACGAGCGGCGCACGACCGTGTCCGCGTCGACGTACACGACGCTCCTGAAGCCGCGCGTGTCGAGCGTCCAGAGGTGCAGCTTCGAGTACTGATCGAGGAAGTGGCGGTGTACCCCGGAGTGTGGTGGCGCGATGCGCTCGACCGGCACTGGCTCCCAGCCACTCACGGTGGCTATGCAGAGCGCACGCCGCGAGATCTTCTCGGGGAGGTAGAAGAGGATGCGGGATGCGGAGGAGTTTGCTACGTTGAGCGTGTGGCCGAGCGTGGCGACTGCCGTCGCAAATGCATCCGTGTATAGGCCTGTCACGACTGCATTGTCCTGCGGGTTGACCGGCCCGATGGCGGCCAGCGCTGCAGTATCGATGATCGGGTGGCGATTCCTGAAAATTGGGACAAGTCAGTGATCATGCTAGGCTTCGGAGAGGGAGCATAGACGCCGAATATGGGATAATATGTCCGAATCCTCAAGGCTTCCGCCGAGCTGGCTGTCAAGTACAATCTAGCGGGCGCCGCGCTGTCCTGTGAGAGGAACCGGGGATGGTTATAAGTCTCCCACCAAGCAGGGGTCCCTCTCACAGTGCTGCGGACAGTGCTGCCCTCGTTCCCGCCAGACATCGACTTTGAGCTGATAGATAGGCACGAGAATGGTAGCGGCCTGAGATCAATTCAGGAGCAAAGACAGCAAATGCGGAATTTGTGGGTTCTCTGGGTAGCATAATACAGCGAGGCTGATGCTTATATGAGAAACTTAAGAGAAAACACATTATCCGGGAGTATGCCTGCCCTCAAACTCCGGGTTGTCGTCTTCACCATCAAAAGGTCTCGGGGAACACCCTGAGTGTTCTTCCCGCCACTTGAGGGGACGCTCGGAGATGTCCAGAACTCGTTTTATGTATCAGTTCCGCCATATATGGCCCTCACCCCCGCTCAGGCCGTTCATTGAGGGATAATTCGCCCCCTCATTGCCGTACGGAACAGCACAGCCACGCGCACGCCCTAGCGCACACCTGATGATACGTCCAATTTTGGGTATGCGAGGCCGATCCTTCCAGCGCTGGACGCTCTGGGGCCGGGATTCCAAGTAATACCCTGAGAATCCTGATAGAATCATACTACCCCACGCGTCTCCCTTACATGGAATCTTACGGGGAACGAAAGAACGAGTGAGTACTCACAATGCTTGGTAGTTATCCAGCGGATTTGGCCACGACGTGAAGAACGCCCAACAGAAATAGAGGTTGCCGACGACGGAAAGCGCGAGCAAGGCTTGCACGATCTTCCGCCGTTTCTCATGCGTATTCTTGGCCTTGTGAGGGTTCCCAGGTTCGCTGTCCGACCAGACTGGCAGAGGCACGTAGTCGCTGTAGCGGGCCATGAAAGAGATGGTGATGGTAGGAAGAGAGCGGATTGACGCAGGCTTCGTCGTCGCCGCAGACGGTGACAGCGCCCGCGTGCCCGCCGGGTAGGCGCGTAGGCGCGTTTCAGTGGCGCCAGCGCCCGTCGACGTCCAATACTACTCGCACCGCCACAGTGATGTCTTTGTCCCGATCCGGAACGCCACCCGGGTCACAGCCCCCGTAATTATCGATCCCAACAGGATTTGCGGCTCGAAAAAGCACAGAGATGCGCAACATATCATGGGGTAAGCACACAAAATAACGAACGCGTTATCTACGAGGCAAACGCGTACCAGACGCGATTGAAACTCACGAAAGGACTGCGCACGGCGGACGCTCACAACAATCTGCCAACTAGAGCTTCTTCCCGCTTCCCACCATCACACCGTCTCCGGCAACTGCAGTGAGCGGCGAGTGCACCCGGCTCGAGGGCCCCTCGCCTCGCTCGCCAAGGCCGCTAGAACACAGACCTCGGGACCTCGAGCAGCACGCAGCACAGCGATCGTCCCCGAAGCCAAACACCATAGAGCCCCCACTGCTCCCGGCGGGAACGCGACCTACCAAACCGTCCTCGGTCGGCGGCGCGTGAGCGCACTCGCCCTAAACTCGGGTTGCCATACATTTCCCCGCTCGGGCCCTCGGGGCGGCGCCGCTCGGGGACGCTGCGAAGGCGGAGATTGCGCCCGCGCGCGGGGGCTTCGCGAGGACGAGCATCCCGTTGAGGCTGTACTGTGCCGTGTCCGTATGCAGCACAACGCCCCGCGGCGCCAGGAGAGGAGGAGCTCGAGGGCTTCGCGTTCGCGTAATGATCCGGGCTTCCATCTTCCCATGTGCGCGGTACAATGCAGACGGCGCCGGCGACGAGCGACGCGATGACGAGACGACGTGCTGCTAAATTTGATTCCGCCCGGACAATGCAATGCTTTTGCGTATCGGTATCAACCGCGCTATGACGCCGCCACGGGGCGAGCGCACACGCCCCCCTCGCGGGGGCGCGCACCCACCGCGCATGACGAGGGGAAAAAAAAAGGAAAGTATGTATACGTAGAGCTACCGGCACAGCGAATTCACAACCGAGAGATGAAAAGGGAGGAGGGTGACCGGAAGGGGACAGAGGAGAGGGCGCCGCTGGTAACCTGACACTGGGGACGGGAAGACGGGAAGACGGGAAGACGGAAGGACAGAAGGGGTTACATAGGTATGTAGGGATCACAGACGGCGCGGCGTCGATGTAGAATACTTCTAATATGCTAATAAATCGGGTCACGGACTCGGGCGCGCCTGGGGGTGGACGGACGGAAAGCGAATGACGGAGGGAGGGGGCGGGAGAGAGGGTCGCGATGCGGACAGGTCGGCCGGGGAGAGAAGGCGGCGGAGACGAGGCTGTGCCCGACGAGGCGTGGGTCGCGTGGTGCGCGGGAGGGTAGGCTATATCTGTGGCGTTTGTACATATGGTACGATGGGGATGGCGGCGCAGCACGACGTGGGGACGACGGCGTGGGTCGAGGGACTGGCGGATCCGCAGCACCGCCAAGCGCACCGGAGGGAGGTGGGAGGGAGAATGACGAGGACGACGATGACGATGAAGGGCGGAGGAACTGGGGCGGCGTTTCGATTTCTTAGAGTGGTTTCCATATTTGCATTGCTATCCGCGCTGAGACTCGTACACCTAGCGAAAGGAATGTCCCACATGACCGACGAGAGGAAAACGAGCGAAAGGGGGTGGGGCAACACGTCCTACTACCTGATGCCACCGTCGGGCACGCTTCGCAATGCGAGACGTTTCCAGTCCGCAGCTAACACATGGCGTCAGCACTGTACACACGGTCAAGCACACGTGGGACTCACTCTCGGTGAACACCGTGTTGCCCCACCAGTTCACATTGAACCCGCCTTTGGGGAATTGCAACGTGAAGAAGATCAGGAGGAGCGACAGCACTGTTCCGCAGTCGAAGGCCGCCGTCAGGATGTAGTTGTACTTCGTCCACCATGCGAAGTTGCGTCTGCGGATGAGGAACTGGAAGATGAACCCGACGAGGAACCATGACGAGTAGTTGATTCCAGTCGCAGGCGGGATGAGACCGATGCCGTTCAGCATGATCGGCATGGAGACGTATTTGTTCCAGTGATTTGGCCACCTCCGCTGCCACAGCCAAAACGGAATCGGGAGAATACCGCCGATGGCGATGGCGTAGAGTTGGGGGTGGTAGATGGACTGTGCGCCGAACTGCCTCGCAGGACCGATGAGACCCCACACCGCCGATGTCGTGTACTGCACCTGGTTGTGCGGGCAAGTCAGGAAATCCCGTTGCTTCGGCGTACAGATGTCCTCGATGTTGCTGAACATCCACTCCTTGACGCCCACTTGCAAAAGGCCCACGAGGACGGTAGACATCAACTGCACCATAAATGTTGCGCGTGGAGGAAGCTTGATGTAATGGCCGAGCTTCAGGTCCTGCACGAATGCTGTGCCTTCTGCGAGAGTTTGCACCGCGTACGCTTTGAAGAGCTATGCGCATACCGATCAGGGACGATCGTACGCGAGTCAAACACGTTGCACTCACCATGTTCGGCACAGGCTTTCCAGGAAGGATCATACCAGGGATGATCTGCGCTAGCAAGTTGATCGTGATCTGCAACGCACCATTAACATGAGGCTGACGTCAACGAGAAGAGGTAGTAGCTCACATTCTGTCCCGTCATGGCATACACATATCCGGATGGGATGATATACGTCACGGGAAGTGCGATGGCAAGAATCAGCGCCCACACAGGGATCCCGGTGTGCCACACCTGCGGGAGTTGGTTGAGACACCGGATGGAGAACATATGTTCGCGAACATACCTCGGCAGTGATGATCGCAAGCGCGAAGCAGGCAACGAACGTGAGCAGGTACCACCAATCGGGCACCTCCGGGTACGCGCGCATAAGCTTCGCGTGGATGTCGTCCTTCTCGATACGCGTATGCATGAAGCCGTGAAGCACAGTACGCCCGTGATACAGTAGAGTGTGCACGATCATGGCCGACGACAGGGCAAACGCGATCAGGTACGTGATCGCGTATGACGCAGGGAGGTACAGGGGTGAGTAGTTTGTGTAAGCCTCCAAGTCGAACGTGTGCTCGGGGGTGAGTACCCGCGTGATGTTGTACGGCACCCCGAAGCGGTCGTACGGCTGGTTGTCCATCATCGGGAAGAACGACAGATCCCAAGACTGCATGGACGGTGAGCGTGCGATTGCCATGGAAGTAGTGAAACACTGACGTTCGTGTAGTACAAGATCGGGCAAAGGATCCAGTACACGATGAAGAAACCGGCGAAAATCTGCACCTCAGCCCACCATGGCACCATGAGCGGGCTGCCGATCCAGGTGATCTGGGACCAGTCGAACGTCAGGATGCTCATGCCGAGACCACCAGACGTGCCGAAGAGCTGGTTGACGACAATGTCGTTAGGCCTGATCCAGCACACGAACGAAAATATCGAGAGCGCCTGGAAGAGGTAGCCTGGGATGTGACGTTAGCACCGGCCTCGGCGAGCGAAGAGAAGTTCGTACCCGGCAGGAAGAACCAGAAGAACGCGCCGAGCGCTGCATAGCAGAAGAATCTGAACCGCGAAATGCCTCCTCGCGCGTCCTCTTCTTCCGCGTGGAGCGTGTTCAGCAGAGTGCACACGATCAGGTTTTGCGGCCAGACCATACTCGCGGGCCAAACGAGATATCGCCGGCACAATCCCGCGAGCGAGAAACCAGTGAGCTGCGTCGCGAGGATCAGCATCGCATTGAACCCGTAGCCAAGTTTCACGCCGTAGTTGATCTCCGCGACCACGACTGCGTTGAGCGCGGCCGGTACTCCGATAGACACGTTCGCCATGATGTATACCAGAGCGTGTTCCTTGATGTTCCACGGTCCAGGGTTGAGCGAGAATTCATAGCCGCCAAGTCCAATCGGAGCTAGCCAGCGAGGCAGTCTGTACGTGCGTATTGGGAGTGACAATGCCAGCAGCTTGCCGAGTGGATGGCAAATGAGGAGGAGCACGTTGGATACAATGGACGGCGCCGGTTGTCGGAAGTTGAAGAAGATGTTGGCGGACCTGTAGGATGCGATAAGTAACGCTACGACGGTAAAACAAGTCGTAGACAGCGCTCGGAACGCAGGATTACACACGGAGTGACGGTTCAACCGGGGAAGCAGGATCGACAGAGCGGGAACATCAACGTGACCTCAATGTTTCGATATGCGCAACGGAGTGGGCGAGGGGGAAGCAAAGGAAGGTGGTGTGAATGGATTATCTCACTTACCCGGCGGCCAGTGTCAGCAGCAAACCGAGGAACCACATCCTCGCCGTCGTAGCTGGCATCTCCGGGTCGTCCGTATTTGATACTGACGCGCGGACCTCGGGGAACGGGCTGTCTTCTTCGTCCTCAACCTCATCGAAGTCGAACTCCATCCTTGACGCCCTGTTAGGTGCGCACCATGATAACAAAGTGGGAGTGTGCTCACTTGACCGACGCCGAGTCCGCCACGCTGGGGAAACTCGTCGAATGTGTCGTAGATGGCGGCCTCTCTTTTCCCTTGTCCTTGTCCTGCAAACTCCCCCGTGGCAACGCGACATGGACCTCCCGCGAGCTGATTGCTGAACTGACGCCTGAAAGACCCGTCCCTGCCGTCCGCGGAGTCGAAGCTGTTTGCGGCGCAAGCCTGCGTAGTCTGTACGGGTCGTCTAGTTCGTGGTTCTGGGAGTCCGTCGAGGGGGGCGATTCGACGGGGCTCATGGGGTAGGAGAAGGGGTGTCGGTGGTAGGGTGCGGAGGGTCCCGCGATAACCCCGACGCGATCGCCATTGTGGGGGTCGAATGTCGGCGGCGGAGGGGTTATCGGGGTGGTAGCGGTTGCGGTGGGAGGGGGGCCAAAGGCGAAGACATCGCCGGCGTCGGACTCGTCGTCGTCGTCTTCCTCGTCGACAGAGTAGGTGTACTGGGCATCGCGGTCGAAGTATCCCGCAGTGCCGGGACGGCCCGTGCTCGGGCGCGATGGGCCGCCTGCGCTGGTCGTCGGGCGGAACGACATGGGGGAGGGGGAGGGTGGTGAGAGGGAGGGGGAAACTCGAGACGAGTCGCCGAGCGGCGAGGCGGACTCCAAAAGGCGACTTCCCCAGGCACATCACCGTACCTGGATATCCCGTTTGGGAATATCCCTTAATACATTTGATCCAGTTTTCCGGTCGTCGTCGATAACCTCCTGTTCCTTGCTTTCTCCCACCATCCACGCAGTCCCAGGGTGCTCAGACCGGTCCCCCAATAGCTTCGTGCATGTCCTGTGCGCAGCAATCCACACCGTTCGCACCCAGTGAGCGCGTGAAGCCTCTACCCACACTGGCAGCACGATCGCCAAGTACCGCGCAGCCGCCAATTAATTTAGCGGTCGTTCCTGAGTTCGGACAAGTCCTCGGCGGACTTCGACCTCCTCCACCCCTGCTGCCGCGCGTGCCCACGATGGGTCAAGACGTACAACGACAGATCTCGAAGGAAGTACACATCGTGTTGCATGCGTGTGTGCTCATGCAGCGGCAGACGAATATGCTGGGTGCCGTGCTCAGCGCTGTCCAATAATCTCAGGGCGATCTCGCAAGTGATGTGGCTGAGGCACGCACACTTGCGCTATCGTCATTGTCAAGTATCAATGAGGAGGTCTAGACTTCCCAACTCTCCGCCAATACGAAGCAAGTACTCTTCTTAAGGCTCTAGTAGAGAGCAGAGGCCTGTAGCAATGTAGCATGAAGTTTTGATTATTATTCGCACCTACCGTCGACAGCGAAACTATCCGTTGCTCATCAAAAGCTAACCTGCACAAGCGCTTGTATGGGCATGTGGTGTAGTTGGTTATCACGCTCGCTTAGCACTAGAAAGCCTGCGAGAGGGGTCCGGTTCAATCCCGGACATGTCCATTTTGTTCTTGTAGACACAGCGACACCGTCTGAGTGTATATACGAGGTGCTTGGCATACACCTCCCCGCGTAAGCCGTTGCCCTGCGAATCGACACTGGCGACCGGGGAACCAAAAATGGTGGTTACCCAGCCAGTTCATGAGTATACCAAAGGGCTTCTCCCGCCGTGTGTAGTGCACAACGTTACCCTTCTCTCCATCTCCGTTTGGGAACCGCGAAATCGAACGCCAACCAATGGTTTCTAGGTGTTCTGGGTAGTTGCCGTCACTTGAGTAGAACGGTCCTCGGATCCGAAAGAGCCTGAGCCCGAATACTTCTCGCCTGATCCCATCGGCGCTGCCTGCATACCTGCGACCAGGCTCCGCCGAGCGCATTCAGTTCATCGGGGAGCCGCAATACATTACATACCACAACCCATCTACCCGGCCTCCGGACAGCACGGCGTTCTTGCGTTGCGCTGCAGAGCCTTCAGGCACCCGCGCGCGTACCTGGGCGCTGTCATGCACTTGTTCGCTCCGGCCGCGGGCGCCCAGGTCCCAGGAGCCAATATGTATTGGCCAGCGGTGATGCCAACGCCCAGGCCACGGGCACGCGTCAATTAGCGGCTACGAGCAGGCGGCGATGTGGCGCGGCGGAGGCGAGCGGGGGACGACGCGTAAATTAGCCATGGCCGGTGGCCAGGAAGGGGCGAAGCCTATCGCGTCACAGGGACGGTGAAGCGTAAGTAAAGTGAGGCCGATCTGACTGGCACGTCAGGTAGCGTCCGCCATCCGTCCGCTAGGCCTTCTGGTGGCGCGCACACGCTCGCAGGGGGCAAGCACGCGCTCTCACCCCTCTTGACTGGGTGGATCGGGCGCGTCGGAATGTCGCGCCAGGAACGCCTTCCCCACGACCACCAGGTGTGCAGGTTCAGGGTCGGAGGGTCCAGTCCTTAGCGCCTGGGAGTGCTGACCATCGGCAAGTCGGTTACTCTACGTCAGAGAGGGGGTTGTCGTCAAAGTGCCTGTCGCCCTGAAGGGCCAGATGCATGTCTGGAACAGCCACTGGACGCTCACGCCTATGGGCAGTGCGGCGAAAAGCTCTATCGAACGCGGCCTCCGCGTTGTTGGAGCTCCGCGATCCAGGGCCAGCGAGCGGAAGAGGGGCGTCATAGAGTTGCGAATGAAGATATGATAGAAGACTTTGAGGGCCTCAAAGACTTTCACGATCACGAGGTATGTGCAGGCGACACAGAGACAAAGACAAGTATTTGGCGGATCATTAATTTGGTGCTCGTGGTGGGGATAGTGGCCTCCGCCGTCTCCGAATGAGGAACCAGAGGCCAGGGGGGCCGCCTTGTAACGTTTCCAAGAATGGTGATATTTTGTCATTCGAGGCTGCTAATACTCTACCAGATAGAGATAAATCCAGCGTTGAGGATTGCCTAGGGATACGTCTCGAGGACTCCCGAGTCCCCAGTATCGCGCGCTGGGTAAATATGTGACATTCGTCCGCAAGGTCAGCATACCGACGTTAGTGAAGTATTAGCCGAATATAAGTTGCGGTGAATGGACCACTCACCTTTCTTCAACGAAACCGATTGCGCTAGGAAGGGCCATGACCCGCGAAGAACGGTGAATGGGGCAGTAGAATAGTACTAAGGCCTAGGGATTCGGGAGGGCGCAGGGAATGGAGAACAGCATGGAAGACGCGAAGTTGATGTCGTGCCATGGAACCCCAGCACCCAGAGAGGGAGTTCGTCGGCTAATTGGAGGACACGGCCCAGCAGATGAGAGTGAGCCGGTTACTGAGCAGGCGGTCTCGTCCGATGAGGTTTCATGTATATGCGGTGGCGAATGGCCTGTCCGTGTGCGGGCTTATAGCGGCTTGCTTCGGCTTGTGTGAGTGGCGGTGTCCCGAGCGCCATCTACGGATGCGGCATCGATTCCAGAGCGCATATTTTAAACTTGCAAATGCGCTAATGCGAAGAGACTTCGGCAGTGGCGGAGGAGGGTACGGCTTGTACGGGTGCGTTGTGCTATGAATATGCGCAAGGCTGAAGCATATCTACTTCTGATGTTTCGGTCAGAGGGTAGCTATACATAGGATCCATGTACATTACCAGATAGAACCAGAACCTTCGAGATATCGCATTGTATTGCGAACGCAGTTGACACTACGTTCAGACTCCGTCTGGGACCGAAGTAGGTTCAAGGTTGGACGATGATGCGTTAACGCCGGAGCGAGGGGTGTCTGGTCACATTCGTATCGGGTCAGGCCCGTGGAGGCATTTCCAGGAGTCAGGCGTAGACGGGCTGTTTTGCTCTCGTCTCCATCATGTGGAAACTCTTGTCGAAAAATCGCGACCATTTCGAAACTACAAAATGTGGGCACACGATGACCATCAGCAATATTTCAGTCCGCACCGTAAATACAAAACCTCACTCATGATGTATGCACATATATTTCTATGCCTTTTTGCGACCGGGGGACTTTGGAGTGTTTCGACCAGGATGCATACCGTGAAGGTCATAACGAAGTTGTTTAGCGCCCTGACTTCCGGAGCGCCCATGGTATCGGCTGCACTTAGCGCCGGCGAGCTCTTCTGCCGCTCGCGTTGTACATTGGCCGAGTGCCTCTCCTTCCGCTACATCGAACACGCTCCCTACCTTCAACTACAAGATGTGCTCTATGAGCGTGTATCTGTCAACGAAACTTGGGAGCGCGCAAAGCACAGGATTACTTGGCTTCGCGGCTGAGTACGCACGTCCAGCTGATATTAACAGTCTCGCTGGAGCGTTAACTACTCAGCGAATCATTGCCAAGATTGATCACAGTACTTATCAACTCCTCGTATGCAAGTGATATCCTGGAGAAATCTGATGAGGTGATCATTTGAGTGAGCGGCGAAGCAAAACGCACCACATCTCTTACGGCACTTGTTCGGTATGTGAGCGTTCTTCCCCGATCTTTGCCTTCAATTGCCCGACTCACCTGCTCTCTCATCTGCCATACAGACTCGCTCCGACCGCAGCTCGGATCGGAGCAGCCGTGAGCAAAATATTACGTACACGAATGCTGCTTCCGCCCTTTCTGAAGGGTCATGGGCCGTCCCCATTATCGCAGAGATAAGCTAAGAACGGGACCAATCGCGGTTTTCTTGTTCGTACCATCTCACCATCCTCCACTCCGTCGCTGTTGAGGAACTGATAACTTCTGTTCAGCTTCTAACTGCGCGTTGAATGTCTGCAATGGAGATCCTGCATACTTTGTTCACCCCCTCTACGGCGATGGCGAAAGCAGGGCTCGCAATCGCGGTCGGCCTCATAGTACTCATGCTCTGCTGGAAAGCTATTTCTGTCGCGTCTCGCTCTGCCTCATCGCCCACCGTGGAGAAGAAGGAGAAACACATGGGAATCGATGCCAAGCAGAACGATGATTCGAGTCCAGGTGTCCCGGATCCCGACCCACTTCTCGAGTTTGACTTGGAGACCGCCACGGCCCGCAATTTCGTTTATGCGAACAAGACCATGCGGTACCCATACCACCAAGCAAGTGGCATTTGCACAGGAGCGTATGTCGACTGATATTCATCTCGTGGCGCAGACGATGGCGCATCAGCCCATGCACATCAACCATTGGATCGAGATCGACAAGGAGTACAAGTGGTACATTGACGAGAAAGCGCGGGTTATCGCTGAACAAGGTTGGTTGGGCGACCGTCGTAACTATTTCGGTTGACCCACGGAATGCTGACCATACTTTGCAGGGAAGAAAGTAGTTGATTCGCTCCCGGAAAACGACGAGGCCTGTGGAGAGCTGTTGGAGCTCCTCGCAGACTATTTGCCTAAGCGTTATCCCACGCTGTTCATACGGGAGCATCCCGACTCAATTACGAACCTCGTGACCGAAGAGCGTTTCGACGCGGTAAGCCAGACAAAGGGCACAGCTGCGCTGCTCGTCATATCGCGGTGAGCATGTCAGATCAATCATGAGACTTAGCAGTGTAGCTGATCCTCCTTTCGCATACAGCCTTGTTCAGGATGACTTTTTGATGGCTAGAGAACGCCCGGATGGTAAAGTCTATCTCGTGGGCGGGCTCATCGGCTTCCCCGGTATGTCTTTCTCGTATATATCAAGCCATAATCGACGAACTCTGCGCATATAGGCACGTATCTTCTGTCAGAAACCATCGACAAGCACCTCGAGGTGCTGCACCGCCCAGTACCGGACTTCAACGCGAAACTTCTGATGAGCGTAGAGCGCACGCTGAAACGCTTCAAGCCCGACCAGTCGTTCGAGAGGTCCAGTTGGAACATAATGGACGACCGCAACCTATTCCTGCGTGCGTATATTCAGGTGACATCATGGCCCTGATTCCGGACAGCGACTAACCCATGCCTGACAGACAATATTGCTTCGAACCTGCCGGACAAGGATCTGCGCCCGGAGGACCTCTGGCTGCGGATCGACCACCAAACGTTCCGCAAGCTGCCGCGGACGAACGCGATCATATTCGGAGTGTGAGTGTATCACTTTCCGACAACGTTTCGTATGCCGTACATACTTAACTTACTTCTGCACCCTCTCTTTCGAAGGCGCCCAATCATGCGACGGATCGAGGACCTAGCAGACAGCCCGTTGGTCCCGCTCCTCCTTGAGAAGGTACACACCGATTCCGCGGAACATTTGATCACGGTGCGTCAACTGCTCGCGATATCCGGCATCCCTCTCAGACTTCGCACATATACAGTACAAGGGTATGCCGAAGTACGGCCATCTGCTGCTGCCCTACCTGCGCAAACTCACCCAGAGCCAAATCGAGCGTGGGCTCATCAGGTATGCGCATCCGCCATATCGAGCCCACGGCTGTTTTGCGGAGTGTGACGCTGATCGGCATGCTCCCTCAGTGCTGAAGATGACGTGCGTTCATTTCGGGAGCTGCTCAAAGAGAAGGGTATGCCGGTGCCTTCTACGCAAACGCCGATGTCCGTACCGACCGAGTCCGAGCGGAGGAAGGCGGCGCGAAGCGCGGCGGAGGCGTGAGGGCATAGCACACAATGCGAAATCCAAATCGGTACAACATTATGCAATACAGTGAGCACTACACGAAGGCCGGCTTCGCTCCATCCTACACATTCGAGGGGGGTATCAAGCGTCCGAAGCAGCTGACGTCTCTAGCGTATGCCGCTGCCCATCCCTAGCATTCAGAACGCGTTCGCGATCACCCAAGCCTCGTGCCGGAACGCCGCCGCGGCCTCGCTATCGCCATCCCAGTCCGCGCGCCAGCCCTCCGGGAGGTGGCGGCCCTCCAGGTCCTGTGCGAGCTCCGAGAAGCCGATCGCGCACCCGCGGTGGCCTGGCGGGTAGGCGAAGAATGCCTCGCGGTGCGTGAATATCGCTTCGAGGTAGTCTCCGCCGGTCGTCGCGTAGCTGCCCCCGCGGATTCGGCGGCTGATGGACTGGAGGTACGCGCATCCGCAGGGCGGCGGCACGCTTGCGGCGGAGCTTGCGTTCGAGGGCTGGGAGGGACTTGGCTGTGCACGGGCGCGCGATCGTCAATGCGGGGGTGGGGAAGTGTGTGGGGAGAGACGTACTTGATACGTCGAGTCCTCGCTGTCGGAGGAGTCGGACATGATTGCATCGCCGGCTGGTGTGCTTCGCGTTCGTGATGTCTGAGACGCCTGCTCTTCGCTTTCCTTTCTCCATGCGGCCGTTCCGCATCAGTACGGTGGTGGTTATGAATGATACACCACACGCGGCGCGGTACTCACGAAGAGAGATTTGCGTTGCTGAGTGTCCAGCGACAGGGAATGCAGCAGCTGAGAGAGCTGAGAGTCGATCTCCATTACGTTCCTGCGGATATGTCCAGGTACATTGAGGTATGTTCTTCGTAGACTGTAAACGTGATAACTTACATATATTTCTTCTAGATTCAAGCTCGAAATTGGGGTCGGGTCGGTCGACGACTAAGCGCGATGAGAAGGTAGCAAGTGATGGCGAGGAGGATAGGTGCGTACAGGTCACGTCTTGGCCCCACATGCGCAGAGGCAGCCGCATAAATATGACTGGGCCAAACACGCTGCTCATGACTGTCGGCCTCATTGTTTGGAGCTCGACTCGCGATCAAGTTGCTGTTATCGGATGGCTGCCTCGAGGCAGCGGGTCAGCTGTTCGATATGCGCCATCCATGCAGAAGGTGAACGTATCGAGCAGGTAGATATCAACCAGGTAGAAGATCTCTGAAGATCTGCGACTAGGTCGTCGCGATCATCTTGTTTAGAGTTGATGTCCGTATATCGTGCAATCCAGCCAATGCACACAACAGTACGATTGCGAAGAGTATTGTGTTACTTTATGTCGGATTTAAAGTTGGCCAACAGTGTTATGCAGATCGCCCCGGTCCTGCCAAGCAGTGGCGAGTACTGAGGAGCGTAATCACTGGTCGACCGAGATTTGTACGTGGAGCAGATGCTAATTATTTCTACTTCAGCTCACATACATACGTGGATTGAGGGGGTTCTCATACTGCAAGTAGGTCAAAAGTAGGTAGTTGTTCGTTCATGACTTTCCAGTCGACGATCCGATCAATCAAGTATGGGGGGACGCAGTAACGAGAGCAAAATGGACATGTCCGGGATTGAACCGGACCCCTCTCGCATGCTAAGCGAGCGTGATAACCAACTACACCACATGCCCTTACGCTATGCCTGCTTACACAATGGTCCATGGGTGTTAGATGCAGGCCAGCAGATGTGGCGCTTTAATCTTATCTTATCAACTGCTTAAATTGACGATCTTTGAGTGTAATTCACACTTTCCATGACTCAGTACATCTCAAACCTCTACCTCTACGTAACGCGTCCGGATACACAAGGATTCATAAAATGAGTGAGTGCAGCCACCTTGGATAACACCGGATTGAGCTCATGTCTTTTCAGACGCGGAATCGCTCGATGGACGTCTACTTTTCGCCATCCCGAAGAAAGGTCCGCACATAGGAAACCGTGTGGTAATTCATGCTCAACGTGCAGGCAGGGAGGTTGCATGAGAAGTGCCTTGAGCTTCTATCTGGTGAGCAAAGCAGTGGTTCGCGAAGCTCCGCGTTTCTGACGGTTCGCAGGCGCCGACATCCAGTTCCGCAGGCACCACCGTCTAGACGTCTGCCTGGTGAAGAATCACAACATCGCACTGTCAGTAAATCCGCTCAATGGGTTCGGTCTGGCTATGCGGTCTTGCCGCTAGACCAATCGCGCCAGATAGCCCGGTGTTCTGCATCTCTGGTCAAAACCGCGTGCATATGCCAGTACTCATTCGCTCACCTATCACACCTCCCAGTGTCTTCCTGCCTGCGTCCGACATCCCATCATTTGTTGGCAAGGGAAACGTTGACCTCGGTATCACCGGTCAAGACGTCATCTTGGAGGCGGAGATGGAGAACCATGTCACGGAGGTCCTCAAGCTCGGGTTCGGGAAGTGCTCGCTGCAAATACAGGTTCCTGAAGCGGGCCCCATCAAGACCGTGGATGATCTTGCGGGAAAGCGAGTGGTGACGAGCTTCGAAGTGCTCTCAGGCCAGTACTTCCAGAGGGTGGACGAGCGGTTACAGCTCGCGGATGAGAAGCGGACGCAGATCGAGTACGTTGGCGGGAGTGTGGAGGCGGCATGTTCGCTCGGCCTGGCGGACGGGATTGGTACGCTGTGATTTGCTCACATTTGTGGAACGTTGGCTAATCAGTCTATTTGCTCGTCACTAGTTGACCTTGTCGGTGCGTCGCGGGTCCGCATCACTTTTGCATATGACGCTCACGGAGATTTCAGAATCTGGAGACACCATGCGCGCAGCCGGACTGCACGCGATCGCGACCGTTCTTGAGACCGAGGCCGTCCTCATCAAGTCGAGCACACCTAAACACCCCGCGCTCGAGCCCCTCATCAAGCTCATCACGAGCCGCATAGCGGGCGTTGTCGCCGCGGGCCGGTACGTCATCTGCGAATACAATGTGACCCGCGCGCGACTGCACGACGCGACCGCAATCACGCCCGGGCGCCGAGCGCCGACAGTCAGCCCTCTGGAGGATGAAGCGTGGGTCGCGGTGAGCTCGATGGTAGAAAAGAAGAAGGTCGCGGATGTAATGGACGAGTTGGTCAAGATTGGAGCGGAAGACATCCTGATCTTCAACCTCGACAACTGTAGAGTATGACGTGTAGACTACAACCACGATACTGTAGCAATTACTCTCTATGTTCCCTTGCAAACCAACCGCTCCACCGTGCCCGAGTGACCGCATGATGTGGGGAACCTGATGCTTCCTAAAGGGGTAAAGCGCAAGTTGTGGGTGGCTGTGGGATCTGCCCTGCCTCGTCCGGCGACTGCCATTTACACCTCTGCCACTGACCACGTCCTGCAGCTGTCCATCAAGCCCGCCGAGCCAGGATCACTGCGGAGGAGGCCAAGATCGCGCCCGAGAGCCCGTGCGTTCGTCGTAAAACCGCCGTAATTTCGTGGGGCTATACTTGGCCTGCGAGATCGCCGAGCTGACTACCCGTTCTGCATTCAGTTGACTCGGAGATCACCCACCATATATACGGGGCACGTTGCGCGGGTTTGGGGGCGCATATACCCCCACTATGCCACCAGCCACGCCGGAGGCCACCCCTCAGGAGGCGGAGGTAAGCATTTGCGGCCTTTGCGGCTGGGAGTGGCGTTACTGATATCTCCCCCTAGGCTCAATACTCTAAGGCAGCTAACGCTGAACTCGCGAAAGATTACGACCGCGCTTTTCGTCAATACGCCGAAGCCGCCAAACAGTTTTTACTACTTAGTCGCCAAGCCCCGGAGGGACGACTTCGCACTCACTACCGTAACCAAGCGGGGAAGGCGTTGGAACGTGCGGAGAGGATCAAGGCAGTGAAACGAGACGTCAAGCCGGTTGCGACAGATGAATTCTCTGAGGGTGAATATCCTATCTTTTCCCTAGGAAAAGTCTGACTCATGAATTGTGCTCAGGCGAACAGCTCTACGCTCTCCAAAAGTCATCTCTTGTGAATCAGGGGTTCTTTCCACTATGGGAGTCGTCGGAAACGCCGTCCTCGTCATCGGAGTGAGTCTGAAAAGCAACAAGCGTGATCTTCATCCCAATCCCGTTTCCAGACAACCACCTCTTTCCGCTGAGCAGCGCCAGCACGGTGCACTCTGGACCCGGCCATCTGCTGGACGATATTATGTCTACTCAGACGGGGACCCTGTATTGTGCCCACAGGATATAGTACAGCATGTCGTCTCAGACTGCTCTGTCTGTGGCGCGATTGCCGTTTGTATAGATCACCACCGACGCTTCGGTTCGAAGGTGAGCCGCTGCAGTTTATGATCTGCCGTGATGCTTACAAGGAAGCGTAGATGATCGTAAGTTCCATTTTCCCTCAGGACGACACTGGCACCCCTCGCTGGTCCGACTCCGGTCAATACCAGTTTCGAATGCTCTACAATGGCAGTTATCGGCGTGTAAGTAGTCGTCCTCAGCGTACATGCCAGGTCGCTGACTTCGTGTCATAATGGGATCCATGGGCAGATCAGTAAGCGAATAACTTTTTCATCTACGTGAACTCTGTCAATCGAGCGTTCTCGGCAGGCATCGACGATCAACTACCCACTAGTCCTGTTGGTACGCTGATGTGCATGTCGACTGGTGCTAAGAGACAGTTATGGCCCTCCCTGGCGGAGAAAGCTGTACGTTTATCCGTTTCGTTTATTCCAACCTCGCTCACACTGAGACGATTTAGTACATGAAGCTTGCAGGCGGCTACGATTTCATTGGATCGTACGTGACTTCTGTTCCTGGCCACTTGATTTCTCCTGCTTACATGGACCCAGTGACTCGAGTACAGATCTCCAGTGAGTACGCATACAGCGACACCTGATAGCATATCTTGATCCGTTCTAGCGCATTGGCAGGGTGGATACCGGAACACATAGATATCCGCAGGTACGTGAAGCTGTGGATCCTTGCTTCCAGATACTAATTTAGCACAGCTCGGGGTTCCAGCCGGAGAAGACATGGTCTCGGCTAGCTGAGGGGTACCATGCCGGTAAGCCGACCTCCCTTATCTATATTTACAGTACTGATGACCCAGTGCAGGTGACTGCGTCCTCACACTTGGGACAGGGGAGCGGGTACCAGAGGCAGGTACACCTGTAAGCCTGCTGCCTGCGCACTGTTATGCGGTGATAGGTATGCTGGACATATGCAAAACTCGAACCCTACTGACCCATCACATGGCAGGTGTGCGCAACGATGAACACCGGAGGTTGACTATCTTCGATCCCTGGGTACAAACACACCCCGGCGATGGGTACCAAGAGGGTCCAACGAGTGATGGTCGTGAGTTTGGCATATAGTCATTTTGGATAGATATACAACTCAAGATGCGCAGGTGTCTTCGATATCTCTTGGGACGAGGCGTGCAACCTCTTCGACGGTGTCTACCTCAGCTGGAACCCGTCGTTGTTCAAGCGTCGACTTACATTCCATGGGTACGTACGCTTCTGCACTTATTATGTGTTACAGACTCACCTCGCGGCATAGGATGTGGAAGCGAGATGGATCGAAGGAAAGCGGAACAGGTAAGAGGTTCGAAAATAGTTGTGGTTTCTCCGCTCAACACTATTTTGGACAGCACCCCATTTCCGTGGGCAGCTGAGGTTGGATTCCGGTGGTAACGGGGACCACACAATTTGGCTACAGCTCACCCGCCATGTCCGTAGCCACCGCAGCAGCGCGGAGTACATCTCTTTGAGCGCGCAGTGCGGCTCCGACGAGGGCTCTTCTTTTGGCAGAGATGTGCCCTCGACCAAGGTGCGCGTTTTATGTTTCGTGTTGGATTTGCAGGGTGATTCTCATCTCATACCCCAGGGAGAGTATACGAATGCGCCTCACGTTCTTGTGAGTCGCGTAGTGATGCCTGCCATGTGTGTGGAGGTTGGCTGACGTGATCGATACAGCTTCGAACGACGCCGTCGCCGGAGGACGTGCTGACCATTATCGCATCCTACGATGGCGACTACGAGGACGTCTGCTTCACAATCACCGCGTACTCAAACACCAAGGTCTCGTGGGTTCCAGCTCCTGCGAAGCCGCCATATTCCAAAGATGCACGCACTTTTTGTTCTTCATATATGCGCCATCACTAAGCCCGCACTTTAGATCGAAGGCGCTTTCACGCAGAAGTCGGCGGGCGGCAACCATACATACCCCTCATATTACCTCAATCCGCAGTATCATCTTCGTATACACCCGCGTATCGGACCCCCACGCGGCGCTCGCGACAGCAAAGTCGATCTCACCTTATCTCTGCGTGGAGACCGCCAGATACCGATGAATGTCACCTTGGCCTGGTCAAAGGGGGAGCGGATCAATGAGTACGTGGTCTCGGAATATGACTGGCATAGTCTGGCATAGACTTATACTAACAAACGTTCTTAGACTTGGGAATAACGACCTCGCGCTTTCCTCGGGGCCGTATAGCTATGGGTACGCATTAGCGTCAAGTCGTCATAATGTTTCTCGTAAGTCCTAGCAGAACGCGTCGAACGATGGCACATGCTCACCTGAGTATAGCGGGAGACTATACACTTGTGGTCTCGGCCTTCGACCCGCGACATATAGGGAAGTTCTTCCTGCGGGTAGAGAGTTCCGACAAGTTCGAGATCACGCCCATCTTACAAGAAGGAGCCGGGATGTTTAGCAAGGTCGTAAGGGGCGAATGGTGCGTTTCGTTCAACCAGCGAGCCCGCGCGTGTTGTAACACAGACCATGTAGGTCCGGTAACTCAGCTGCTGGAGGGCCGAGCTTCGGGAAGTATTCATCGAATCCGGCGTACGAACTTCAAGTGCTGGCGCCCTCACAATTGAAGTACGCGTCGCACATCCTTCTGCTCTTTCAATCGGCTGACCTTTGGTCCAGATTCCGCTTGCAGCTTGCTCGGTCGCACCCAACTGCCTCGCTGAACTTGACTATCTTCAATGCATCCGCTGGGGCAACGTCGAGCAGTCACGCCGCAACCTCCGGCCCATACGCAGGTACCACATCGGGAGTGGTGATCCCGCAGACGACCTTCCCGCCTGGGAAGTACCTCATCATTCCATCCACATACAACCCCGGGATACAAGTGGGCTTCGTGTTGATCGTATACAGTACAACATCTGGTGTACAAATAGTTCCCGCCAGCCGGCGGTAATGGTAATCACGGACAGAAATCCTAATCTATCTTTCATCTTCGGCGGAAAGACGGCGAGGAGAGGAGGAACTCGTTCACACGCCGGAGTGTGACGCGCGAGGGGTTCGCGTGGGGTCTACTGGAGATGATCCACTGGAGGCGCGTCTTGATAGAGGCTTTGCTTGGGTTAACTAGTGCGCGGATGTCAGTAAGTTGCCTGCCGTGTAGACGATGAAGATGGGTACCTGGTGAGACGATGCCATCTCCCCGAACCTGCGGCGTCCCTTCGTCATCGAAGAAGAGCTGGAGTGCAGCAAGCGCGACACCGACGCTCGCGTCTTTCCCCGAGTCGCAGCAGACGCATATAGCATCTCCGACGGACAACCGCTCCTTTATGTACCGCGTGGACTCCGGCAGGATGCTCTGCAGGAAGTGTAGCTGGTCCTTCTTCCCCTCGGCCATCCGGAGTCGGAGTATATGCGCCGCCACGAGTGGCTGAGGGTCGCCTTCCTGAGGTGGCGGGGCGTTTGCTGAGATGACGACGTAGGAGACTGAGCCATTCACCCCAGACAAAGTGGTGGGCGGCTCGGAAGGCATGTCGGGCTCTGCTCCAATCAATAACCTTCCGCCGCAGGCGATTACTGGAGTGGGCAGGCTCGTCCAGGTGTCGCTGATGTTACGGGACTTCGCTTTCGCCAGCACGTCTTCGACTACGGTGGGAAGTTCATCCCTGTCTGATTCGAGTAGTACATCTTGGTTCTCCCAGAACAGCTGCGGCGTCAAGCCCTAAGGAATGTTCAACCATAATGAGTTATACAGAAAATATCGACTCCTAGAAGCATTTACCATGCCCCAGAGCTCGTGATCATCGCCGGATCCTTGGACATACGAGAATCCGTTTGAGCGTCTCTCCACGCCGTCCGCTACCTGCTTCGATGCGGAGACGCAGATGATCGGGAGGTACTGCATCTTCTCCTTCGCGGGAAAGCGAGGAAACACCGAGGTCGACGGGGTGATCCACAACGGCCTAAGGGGAAGTGGCAGATCCGGGAGCGTGTATGCAGATGCCTGCAGATGCTGTTTAGCAGATAGCTCGATACCTCACTATGAGTTGCTGGGGCGCACTTACCAGTAGCACATCCGCCCATTGGTCAAGTTTGACTTCAATCTGCGAGCGCTCCTGCTCACTGACAGCGCCTGGAGGGCAGTAGAGCTTGACGTCCCAGTCTTTCTTCTCAGGGTGCGCTTTGGCCAACGCGCGATTGAGGACTGCGCACCAGGTGGGGATTGTCTTGGAGAGCGCATCAGGGATGCGTTTCCCAGCCCGGGTAGAATCCACGAGAACGATCCTAGGTAGACGGCCGTCAGCGCAGCCTCGACGTCCTGAGATTACGGGGTCCGCATACCCGTTGCTGGAGATGATAAGTGGGAGCAGATGAAGGTTGGGACGTCTCAGATTGAAGTTCCAATTCCCGAAGTGCCCGTCGGTGGACTTGAAGTAGACCGGCTCATTCGTCGCCTAAGTAGATCGTTAGCGCGTGTATACGAGACAATCTTTGCGGAGTCATGCTCACGATCGCTGGGTTGACATACCAAGCCCCGCAGCGCAGGTTTGCTAAGCGACACATGTCAGCCAGTCGAGTATAAGAAGCCGGAGTCGTACATACGTAGGATCGGGATATCTGGATATGCTTCGTGGACTTGCTGGACGAAATGTACATCCTCTGCGATGGAGTGCAGCCGATTGTAGATGTCTAGGGATTCCTTGCGGACATAGGCGAGGGCTTCCGCATTCGCCCCGCGCGTTTCGTATATCAGTTGCATTGTTTTCTCTATATTTCCCTGTTTTCGGGGATTGTTCACGGTGGGTTTTGCTTGTGGAACGCGTTCACATTCGCATGGAGCCCGACATGTTTGGTGTGCTTCGATGATGTGTTGCGAAAAATCGTGGTGATACACTGGGACAGTGCCCAGAGACTCCTGGCAAATTATTCAGCTTATAATACCGTCCTCATCTCAAGAGCCATCACTCGCGGACCTACAGAGTCAAAGAAACAGCCTGGGGGTGGTAGCGAGTTCGTGAGCAAGAGGCTAGACGCTCGTTTCCAAGATTTTAAGGTTCCCGATCAGGAAGGTGTTCAAGAACGACAACGATATTCGCGTAGGAGATTCCTGCAGCATATCGTTCGAGCTTCGAGTAAACCACAATATTTCAGAAGAGATCTTATGACAGTCTTGAACTACAAAATTCGATTGCATATGAACACAGGTGCATGTCACTTCGACTCGGAAGTCCACTTCTTGATGAATGCAGCGAGCTTTTGCTTGTCCTTGGAACTTAGTTCAGATTCCTGAAGGAGCCATCAATCATAAATTCGCTTTGGGTTGGAAGATGAGGTGTTTCTACCTTCTGTAGCCTTGCAGCCGCTTCTGTGAGTCCTTGCGCCTTGCTACGCGTATCTTCCTTAGCGGCGGTTTCGCCGGATAGAGCGGAGAATGGCGGTGATGTGTTCATGGGGGCATTTGCGTACGCTGTGGAGAGGAGCGTTGTACGACTAGTGTACCTATGTTCGCCTAGTCAAACAAGGGACAGGGGGCCGAAATTAGGATAAAGACGTACAAATCCGCCAACCGACTCTTCGCATCGGATGTCCACTTGCCCTCCGCCAGATGCGATGCGGCAGACCTTTCAGTGAGCGCCGCTAACTCTGCTTCGACGTCAGACCTATTGAGCAAGACGTTTGGACGCCCTGCCGGGTCAGCACCTGCGAAAGAGTCAATAACGCTGTCATTCCCGAAGCAAAACCGAAACGATCACGTACGCAGAAGTGCCTTCAACAAGTCTGTGACAGCGGCCTCAAGAATGTCTTCTGATCGTTCGTCTTCACGGCCTCCGACAGCGCTTGGCTGCTGCTTCGTGCTTTCGACCGTGTCGTTGACGTCTTCTAGCTCTTCGATAAGAGCGCTGACGACAGCTTCTGTCTCCACGGCATAGGCGCTACGCGCATTGAGAACGTCATGTGTCCGCTGAAGCCGAGGGAGCAGGCTTTCCTGCATTTCTCGAGTCGCCTATACGAGTATATGTCAGCCAAGGGTTGGTCCTCCAAAGCCAACGGAGGAATCTCACATCGTCGAGAGATCTCTCTTGCGCCTGGAGCAGGAGAAATCGGTCCATACACCCGGCCCGCTCTAATTCCGCTTTGACATCAGGGAATGACAGAGACAGCCGCTCAATCTGTGGTTTCTGCGCCGTGGAGGGCGAATGTAGCAACTGCATCTGCGCAAGACGGCCCGGGGGTGACGCTTTGAGTTGACTGGCTAGCTTCTCCAGCTCCTCAAAGTACGCAGCGTCAACCAAATTAGAGTGCTTCGGGGAGCCATTCTTTGATGTGGCGGTATATCGCGCTTGTAAGACGGCCGCATCATCCGCCAACTCGGCCGCGGAAGGCAATGAAGTGTAGCCATCGTCGAGGGTCCGGTAGAGATGCCCGACCGCACCTGCGATAGCGTTTCGCGCGCGATCGAGGGAGGCGATTTCTGACTTAAGTATGGCGAGCACATCGTCTATAAAATGCGAAATGCATCAGGCAAAGATGAATGTGCCGGATGCAAACAGGTGCACCTTGTTGTTCAGAAGTGTGCAGAAGTGCGAGAGCCTGTTGCGTGCATTTCGCAATGGTGCCGTCAGTCTTGGACAAGATAAAGTCAGTATCTGTGAGCCTCACGTATGATATCACGACGTCGTACCTCTACAGATAGGTCCGTGAGCGTCTCTTCTTGTCGCTGAATTGTCTGGTCCACGCTCTCGATCTGCTTCTGCACTGCGCTCGCGGTTCGTCTAACGTCCTTCGTGGCTAATCTGAGAGTGTGTCAAGATTTCTGCGTTTCTTGAAACACATCCAATCGCTAACTGACTTTGCCAGCTGTGAGCGACGCTTCAAGCGCGTAGCTCGTGATTCGAGTGTCTCTGCTTCACTTTCGAGTGCTTCAGCACGCATCCTAGGCTCTCGTCATCAGTACCAAATTTACCCATAGAGTCATGGCGGTGACTCACCTCAAGGTAGATGGTAGTGCGTATGATGCAGGTGGGTAGCATGATCGCGAAGAACCAGCTTCCTCAGCTCCACCGCCGCTTCTGATCACCGCTCGTTCCAGCCTACCCACAGAAGAAGGCGCGCTTGTCAGTGCAAAATATAACTGAGCACAACGTGCGCTTACACGTTCGACTCTTCTTTGTACAGCGCCATCGTGCTCATTACAGTCTGGTCGAGCATATCCTGTGGATTTGGAACACTGTCCAGCTGCTGGGGCCCCGCGTAGCCCAATTCTGTGGCCGCGGAGCCTTGGCTTGCTAGCCACTCCAGGAGCTTTTTGCCAGACGAGATATCTGTAGCCCATCTTAATTCCTCTTCTGAGCATTCTGGGCCCCCAAGATGGGAGATTATGCGGATCACGTTTGCTACTGTGCCTCGACTCGGAGTCCCCGTCATTGGATACGGTTTGTGAGGATGTTATCGATGTTAACGTGTCGAGAACCACGTATTCTGCGCATATATTGAGCCATTCATATTCAATAGCAGCTGAACTAAGGTTTTCTCACCGGTGATGGGACGGTCTTGCCTAAGTGCTGTATTTCGGTGTTGTGGCTGAAGGCAAGAAGGTTCGTGAAGTAAGCGCCCGTATCTTGCGTTTCTTGTTCTTGCACCGCGACGACGGTTCTCTTCTACAGCTAACATCCTATATTTTTGAAAAAGGGACTGCTTTGAATACTGCGCTCCCGAGCCGCCATCATTGAAGTTGATCATGTCCAAAATAACGAGCACCAGTGAGCACTCCCGCTGCCTACCATGGCCATTTAAGTCCAAGTTGAACCTCGCGGTACTCCGAATAACTTCGTCTTGCTCTACTAGTAGTCCCCTGCTCTTACAGTCTAGTTCTCTACTTTGTAGAAGTGCATGCATTTTCTGGTAGATAGCCGTTCTGACATGCTGATAATATTGGCCAGTACCAGGTCTGGCCATCGAGAGCCTTCGTCCAACCTTCGCCCTCATCATGACATTCTCGATCATCAGGGGGAACATGCCGGCCCCGACGTAGGGGGTGGAATTGACCTCATCCTGGCGGATGGTATGTCGTTACGCTTAGCAAATAAATGCGATCAACTAATACGCCGTCATAGTTTTGAGTCTGCTCGGCCGATATTGTAGTGCCTGCCATCACTCCGCACCTGTAGAGTGTTGAAGTCGACTTCATTGGTGAGCAAACAGCTGCATCGTGATGAGCATGACCGGATCTTTGAACCATTCATGACTAGAGCCTCAGTAGTCATGAATGGTTTGAGAGCGATGTCTCGAATGATGGTACTTCACCCGGTGTGATGATGAAGGAAGGACTCGGAGGCTTCCCTTGACGTGTTTAGACTTACCACATCTTTTACACATCCCTGCCTACGGCGGCGTTCTGGAAGGGTACTGACTTCAGTTACGGTACGCACATTCAAATTGTATTGTACCTTCTGTTTGCTGTTTTCACCCTCATCATCGAGGCGAGTCTCAGTAAACTACCCTCTGGCATCTGCATATCGGGCATGTGGTGTAGTTAGTTATCACGGGCCGACCAGGGAAGAGCTATCACCGTCGGGAATTCCCATTTTCAGATAGCGCCGTCGGGGCGCTTGAGGTCATCAATCGTCCATCAGATGCATCGCTGTCCTCAGCCGTTCTGTTTTTGGTACACGACTCGGCCATAGCCACGGACATACCGGGAACCTCTTACTAACCGGGAGCCTCGCAGGGGTGCCCCCTCAAACCAAACCACCTCAAGATCTCCGCTCCTCAAGTTTCAGTATACAGCCTCAAACAAGCATGGCTGTTTCTGTAGCTGGGACCTATGTCAAGATGGGACGTCGACATTTTCAGACAGAATCGCGTCTAAAGCCGCCTCAGGCACCGTCGTCGCATGGTCTCCTGGATCTGTTCCTGCATCCCAACGGTGGTTGCTACCCAACGTGCCGCCGGGGTCCCGCCACTCGGGTAGCGCACCTTTCATTTTGCAGCTTTATCTCGGCGTTACTTCCGTTTAGCCGGGGATTATTCCTGTCAACATCACTCGTCGCAGCCGCTCTCACCGAAGGGCTCTCGTGCCCGCCCGCCGGATTCGATCACTGCATACAGCAAGTCTGCTGTCTCTCTATCTTGCAAACCCTCACGTTCCTTATCCTACCTTCGTCGGTCTTTACCCTTCCCTCTCGGCCTTGCGCGCACGCACATCTGCGTCGTCGCGCCTCCAAGCAGCATAACTCTTTCGTGCTGCTTCGGAGCTCTCGATCCCCACCTGTGGCTTTCGACTCCGTGCTGACGGCCTCTTATCCTCATGGCGGTTTCATTCCGCCCGAACACTTCCTCTCTACCTAATTCTATAACGGCTCTCTCATGTCTGCTGGTCATCCTCGCGCTTAGCAGTCATGCCTCCTGCTTGCCCACCACGTCTTCTACTGGCACGGTCGATTTCTCTGCGGGCTTCCAGCACTGGAAGCGCATGGACCCGGTTGTCGTGACATCCGACGATGGCACCAACTCAACTGTCATTGACCCCTCGACGCAGCAGACCATCGCGCAAGGGTCCGCCACGGACGGCGGCGGCGTGGACTTCAATGTGCCCGCCATCATCTGGCTGGCGTTCGTCTTCACGGTGGGCGCGCCGCTCGCGCTCGTAGGCATCCGGCTATGGCGCGTGACGACGGGGGCCGGTGTCGGGCTTGCCGCGACACTCTGCAGTACGTGTGCTGCCCATTCTATTTATGTAAGCGCTCTAACGGGAAGCCCTGGTCCATGCAGTCTGGGCGGCATTCGTCAACACAGTGAACGCGGAGGGACTGTCGGACCTCGTCCTGACGATTATTGTTCTCGCCGCGTTCGGCGTCGGCTTCTTTATCGGGCTGCTCAACCTCGGACGCGTCGCGGGCATATGGATGCTTGGCATACTCGGCGGGATGTCGATCGGCATCCGTATCGTCCTACTCCGCGACGGGTTGCTCATCCCGAAGTATGCGGCGAACTGGTTTATTGTGGGGATACTCATGATTATTGGTCTGGGGGTCACTGTCTTCCGGCAGCGGTTTGGCCTTGTAGGTGCTCGTTTAACGTCCGCCTCTCTCGTGCTGACAGAATCTGTCAAGGTGTCGTCATGCGCCGCCGTCGGGTCGTTCCTCGTGGCTCTGGGCATCGACCTCATCCTGAACAAGCAGAGTGGGATGAGCACCGGTCTGCGATTCCTATTTGACCGGAACAGTTCACATTTCTTGGTGAGTACTTGTGGCTTTTTCTGAGCGCGCGCGTACGCTTACGATCCGCTACGTGACAGGCGATTGTCCACCTCGGCTACCATCCTCCCATCTTGACGCAGATCCTGCTCGGCGCATCTCTGGGTACAATGTGAGCGCGTCCCTCCCGCCAGTCCCTTCCCATACGGGCGACTGACGGCCGTCTTTCCAGCCCTGTCTTGGCATTCGCGCAGCACAAGATCTTCCGCGCGCCCTTCCGTCCTACAAAGACCGAGGTCGACATCTCGGACGGCGCGTCGTTCACAGAGGAGGCTGTCGCCTTAAACCAGGAAAAGGAGAAGTCTTCCCTCGAGACTCGAACAGGCACGGTTACCCCAGCCAAGGCTAGCCTGCTTAACAGCCGCTTCAGCAGCTCATAGCTTGACCGGCCTTCCGGGCCGCCGCCACTCTCATCACCCGCCCACCCATCTCCCCCGCGCGCGTCCCTCCCTTTCTGATTTGACTTCTGTTCCCCGCTCGCGCGCCTGGGGAACTGCTTGCTGCGCCACTGTAACATTTCGCAGCATTTCGGACACTTCACAGCGGCCATCACCTGTCCACGGTGCGCCGCGCGGTCACCCCCCACCGCACATTTACCCTTGGATCACTTCACATAGACGGGCGTCCAGGCAGACGGACGCACGGACGGATGGACTCTCTGCACGGACACGCACAGGGCGTGCGCACGCGATACGGTAGACGCAGCATAGTACTCGAGACTCGCTCGCACGTGTATTCATACGCATACGCACATCATTAGCAGCACGCGGCGCGTCCGTGCGGCGTTCTGCGCTTCGTGCATACCATGTATCACTAGCGTCATGCATTCGCGGACGGTAATAGGCACACTGGGTGCTAATGATTTTTCTTCTCCTTGAATGGCGTGCTATTGACCGGTACGGGAGAACCGCAGAGGGTATGGACGCGGGAGTAACCTTGGATAGCCACATACCCAAATGCTAAACCAGCAACGTTCCTGTCTTCGAGGGATCAGCGTGGACGGTTAAGGCGCGGTGGGGCCGATCATCCTCGAGATGTACAACAGCCTGCAGCATCAGGGTACACGAAGCCTCTGACATAATGGCGCGTGATAGCGCATTGCCCGAGTGTGAATCATGTACGCCGTGTACCCGGCGCATTCGAGGCCATGAGGCCCTCATAAGACGACACGGCGCCGGACGCATCCATCCAGTCGCAGCCGCAAGCTGACGGCGTCTGCCCCTGGCGCACAAGCTGCGCGACGGTCATTACACCGTGGCGCCTGGGCCTGGATAGTTGGGCTCTCTTCTGCCCTGACAGGCACGAATGCAGTGTTCTAGTCCAAGAAAGAGGGACATCTCACACCAGCGGCTGGCTTCCGCGGACGCCGGAGAAACACTGCTTGTCTCGGGGAGTAAGTTGTTTGCCACGTCGGGGAGGCCTGGGGGTCGTCCTGACACCAGCCGCTTGTCAATGGGGCCAGCGCCCTTCGTCTCGGGAGAAGCAGGCACTCAGCATGCTCTGGAAAGGGGCAGAACGCGAAGCACACATTCGCACACTCGTATCCGCGCCATCTTGATAGATTCGGGCACGATAGAAGGCAGGGAGGGAGAATCTACGGACACGCTTGACCAATCGGAGCAGCAGCCGTCCTACCATCGATCCCAGGCTCATGTCCGTCGAGATGGATGGTAGGGGGCTGGAGAAGAGAAGAGCAGTGGAAGAGCATACTGGGACGGGCGTACCTCATAAGGTGAACTGCTGCGAGCGGATATTCAACCTGGCCCAGTGCAATACACGCTCATATGGCGGGTTAGTATTTGCATAGTTAACTGAGTTCCTTTGTGGACGCAGTAGCTGCATCTGAGGTTCTCGGGATAGAGGGAGGCATAACATATTGCTCACTTGTCTATCAGCAGCTATCTTGCCACACATCTATAGAGCTTGATTCAGATTTTAATACCTTGGCTCTAGGGGTCTCTCGATCGCGTGTGCTTGTGGTCTTATAAACTCCTGCCGACCGTTGAAGATGGATCAGAAAAGGGCCGCGTTGCAAAAGAGAGAGGAGCGATATATATCGTTAATTGGCGCCATCTTGGCTATAGACCATATTGATGGCTTGTGTAATTCAGAGACAGCCGCAATCCAACATGGAGAATAGAAAGAAAGACGTAGTGGTTTTATGGTACGTCTTTAGGCGAGTATATTCTGGATGATTGATGAGGGAGGGAGAGATGTTGGAGAGACGAAATCGTCGTCGCTCGTGTTATATACCATTTGGCGCCTTACTTACTGATAATCGAATGAGTTAACCCATCTCTGCCTAATCCACCAAGCGTCAATAAGACTGCAAGTATGATATAGTACTTACTGTTACTATACACAGTCGGATTAAGATAATCTGATGGCTTACTGTGATGATAATTTGCAATAATGAATATTGTGCTTGAACAGTACGGGGAGAGACGCGTTTGTACCCCCTCATCTTGACCTCCAACCATGACCTCCTGGACGCCGCAGCCGACAGCTCTGCAGGAGATCCTGCAGACTATCCACGAATCTACCGATACTCGCAATGCCGCGGTTCAGCGCACCATAACTCACGTACGTGCTCATCGCCTCTCATTAGCAAGTTCACAGCCGTTCATATTCCGCTCATTTCGCAGAAATTGAACAACTTTACTCGCGCCCCGGACTACGTCGCTTACCTCGCGTATATTCTCTCCTCACTGCCGCAGGAGGAAGACCGTATCCGGACCATTGCGGGCTATCTGCTGAAGAACAACGCCCGACTCATCCTTCGCGCCTCTCCCGATGTTTTGACCTTCGCAAAGTCCGCCGTCCTAGTGGCCTTCAACGATCCCTCGATCATGATTCGCAACGCGGCGGCGCAGGATATTGTCGCGTTCCTGGGGATCCTGGAGCCTAGGAACTGGCCGGAGTGCTTGCAGCAGTTGGTGCATATGCTGGACGCGCCCAATGTAGATCAACAAGAGGTGCGTTCTTATTTCAATGCGTCATTGTGCGTGGCGCCCAATTCCCGCTGGTCTCTCCGATCGAATGGCCATATGCTACGCCGTATGATCCATGAACCGTTCGGCCCACACGTGCGCAATATCCGCTATGCAGGGCCTTTGTATCGCTGTACGCGATGGGAGACCGTTTTCGCGAATGGCAACACATTGGCTGCTTGGTACACACTGCACAGATGTAGCATGCGTTGACACAGGCATCCCATGCTGATCACACCCGAGATATAACGCGACGACAGTGTCACAAGCTAGGCACGCGTTAAAATCCTGGTGTAGCGAGCATGAAGAGACATACGTTGGGCTACTGGGCGCACAGACTGTCTTCGACGATGGCGAAGTCAGCATCTTTCAGGCTATCACGAAATATTCTAGACACTCCTTTACCTCGAGGGGATGGATTCTCGTAATGACCCGTCAAATGCTGCTTGCGCCGTCTAGTAAGGCTGCTTCAGTCAGCCCTTCGTTGATTGCACACTTCGCCTCCGATTATGCCAAGATTGTCCTCAATTGCACGCGATGTTCATTGTGTGGTGCACTCTAGGGCCCGAATTTTCGCGTCCGCCTGCGCCGTAGACCCTCCGATCGTGCAGGGGCGTGTTTATAGCAGGACACTAACTATCTACGACATCTAGGCCTCATTCAACGTCCTCGAGCGCGCGTGCGAGGACTACCCAAGAAAGCTCGACGTCGAAATCAACGGCACTTGGCCGTTGGAATACATGATCCCCAAGTTCATTGTCCTCTCGGAGCACCCGAACGCGAAGATGCGCGCACACGCGATCGCGTGTCTCTCGTACTTCGTGCCCATCGGCTGTCAGTCGCTCTTCGCGCACATAGACACGTTCATTGCGTGTCTTTTCAAGCGTGCGTCGGACGAGGATTCGGCCGTGCGCAAGCACGTCTGCCAAGCGCTTGTCCTCCTGCTCGCGTCGCGCCCCGAGAAGCTTATGCCGGAGATGGCCAACGTTGCCGAGTATATGCTCTACTCCACGAAGGACAAACACGAGAACGTCGCGCTCGAGGCGTGCGAGTTCTGGCTCACGTTTGCGGAGGACCCGGATCTCGCGCCCTACCTCCACCCGCTTCTTGCCAAGGTCGCGCCCGTTCTGCTGGACTGCATGGTCTACAGTGAAGACGATCTTCTCTGGCTGCAAGGCGACGATGAAGACGCAGCCGTACCCGACAAGGACACCGACATCAAACCGCGCCATTACGGAGGCAAGGCGCATGGTTTTGAGCGAGATGCGAACGGAGACGACGGCTCGCAGAAGCGCGTCGGCGCATACGGCGAAGAGCTCGACGAGGGCGAGGATGAGGACTACGACGACCTCGACGACGAGGATTTCGCAGACGAGATGTCGACGGAGTGGAACCTGCGCAAGTGCGCTGCGGCGGCGTTAGACGTGCTCGCAGTTCGCTTCGGCGCCGATCTGCTCAACGTGCTTCTCGAGCCGTTGAAGACCAAGCTGTGGAGCGATGATTGGCTCCAGCGCGAGAGCGGCATCCTCGCACTCGGGGCGATGGCAGAAGGTCCGGAACCAGTCACATGGGAGTCTCAAGGATCGGATTCTGACAGGCGATCCGCAGGGTGTATCGACGCCATCGAGCCTCACCTGCCCACACTGGTCCCGTACTTGATCAACACCTTGAACGACCCCAAGGTACGTCTAGGCAGCTCCAATTTCAGTGTGGAGATGTACTCAATTATAGTTTCACAGCCACTTGTGCGATCTATCACATGCTGGACCCTTGGCAGGTACGCTAGTTGGTGCACACAGCCGATCTCACCGGAACACAAGAACCAATTCTTTGTCCCCACGCTGGAGGGGGTGAGTGTATCCGTGTGCGTTTCGGGGAATCAACATGTTTACGTTGTTTGGCAGCTTCTCCGGATGGTCCTGGACAACAACAAGCGCGTCCAAGAAGCGGGATGCAGCGCCTTCGCCACGCTCGAGGAGGACGCTGGGCCCGAACTGGCTCCATATCTGGAGCCCGTATTGCGGAACCTTGTGTTTGCGTTCGAGAAGTACCAGCACAAGAACATGCTCATCTTGTACGACGCCGTTGGCACTCTCGCCGACGCCGTCGGCTCGGCATTGCAGAACCCGACATACGTCGAGATACTCATGCCGCCACTGCTCAAGCGGTGGTCGAAGCTCAAGGACGATGACGACGACCTCATTCCACTACTTGAGGTATGTTCCCGGCCGCACGGGTTCAATTTGGTCACTAATACTTGGCCTACAGTGTCTTGCATCTGTCACGATCGCGATGGGCCCGGCGTTCCTCCCATATGCGGCCCCGATCTTCGACCGGTGCCACACAATCGTGCACACCTCCCTGCTTCAATACCAAGCTTACCAGCAGAACCCCGAGATGGACGAGCCCGATCGTTCTTTCCTCGTCGTCGCGCTCGATCTCCTTTCTGGGTTGACGCAAGGTCTCGGAACCGCGCTCGAGTCGCACATATCGGGCAGCCAACCGAACCTGCTCGAGCTCCTCACCATTTGCCTGAAGCACCCTCACGCGGCGGTGCGGCAGTCGGGCTATGCTCTCGTGGGCGACATGGCCATGAACTGCTTCCCGTTGCTTCGGCCGCAGGTCTCCTCGATCATGCAGGAGCTCATCGCGCAGCTCGACCCAGAGCCGAAGGTAGAGTTCATCAGCGCGTGCAATAACGCCGCATGGGCAGTTGGCGAGATCGCGCTCCGGTTCGGTCGCGGTGAGTCTATCTCTAAGTTTGTGCGACGTCCCGCTCATTTGTGTCTTTTAGACGAGGCTGACTTCCAGCAATGGGTCCACCCCCTTGTCTCGCGGCTGATCCCTATCCTGCTGCATCCGAAGGCCCCGCGGAGTCTGCACGAGAACGCGGCGGTGTCGATCGGCCGGATCGGCCTGATGCACCCCGCCCTGGTCGCGCCGCTACTGCCCGAGTTCGCGCAGGCGTGGTGTCAGGCGCTCTACGAGATTCGGGATAACGAGGAGAAGGACTCCGCGTTCCGCGGGCTCTGTACTCTCGTGCAGACGAACCCGGCCGGGATCACGAAGGTCAGTGGTGTGCTGGCTCATGTCGTCGAGCGAGGTTGTGTTGACACGGAGCGTTGATGTTTGTAGAGCCTGCTGTGGTTCTGCAACGCGATCGTCCGGTGGAACCAGCCGTCGCCGGAGCTCAACAACATGTTCCAGCAGCTCCTCAACGGGTTCAAGCAGCATGACGCCGTCGGCTGGGCGGCGCAGGTCGCGACGTTCCCGCCAGTCATCCAGGAGCGCCTCGCGACGCGCTACGGCGTGTAGGCGCCCACAAACGTTCTGTCATCCGTCATCCCTCCTCGGTCGGTCATGGCTTCTGTGCTCTCCTGCTTCGTCGTCGCTCTGTATCAAAGAATTTGCCTGTCTCGGTATACATCTCGCCCCACTGTTGTCCTCGCTCCCTTTTTACCTTTACATTTGCGCATCTGCCATCCCCCGCCTCGTCTGTCCCTCACTCCATATCCCACAAGTCTCCGTCCGTGTTCGCATTACGTACATACCATCTCCCGTCCTCGTCCACCATCCAACATCCGGATCCTCTTTACGTAGTGTAGTATTCACCTTCGCTCACCCGGCCTCGTCTTTAACGCCTTCGCATCTTCCCCCTACGTACAAGTTCTCTCGCTTGATTTTACCTACGTGTGTGGTCTCGTGTCTACAATGTGTTGCCCAATGTCCATCTAGCATCCCCACTAGGTTGGACGATGAGTACGTAGTCGTGCGCGTTTGCGCCCGCACGTCTCACAACGCTCTCCCGCCGGAAAGCTGGGAGGCGAGAGCAGCAACGCATCTGCCCCCCGATGTCGATATCCTCAACATTGAACGTTGAATCCTTACGATACATATATTTGGGATCGAATACTGGTACACGAGCACAAGTGACTGAGCAATGCTGTATACAAAGATACATCTTGCATTGTATTATACTGCTCATCCGAAATTCGTTATAACGCCATGATCATGTGAAGGGATCCGGATAGGTAAGAATGACCATAGATAGCGCATCTTCGCAGCAGTTTTATATCCTAGAAAGCGGTACCGATGGTCCTAGGGGGAGCAAGAGAAGAACGAGGTAATTGCGGTCTCCATTGACACCGCTCAACGAGCTCGGGCGAAGTTCTACCTGGGAAGCTTCGAGCCACCCGGGCATATCGACGCTTCATCGGGCTCAGCGAACCATCGCGGCTCCCCTTCCTACAGATGCTCCTTCGTCGTCGAAGCTCCAATGTCCTCATCCAGCACACCCGTTCTCACCGACGTCAGCACCTATACTAGAATGTGTGTGGCGATGGCTCGAGTTGGTCAACTGACTTCTTCTTGCAAGGTCAAGAAGTTCAGCCTGTGAGCCCGCCAGCTGGCAGGCTGCCTCGGACCGTGAACGGAATGTGCATTGCCTCGGCCATCGCGGGAGCTATATCGGGCGTCATAGGGATGCTATCCCGCATTGGGGAAAAACGAACACTAGGGCCGAGTCTTGCCAGATTCGTGAGCTGTTTTACATGCGAGCGTATCATACACCTGGAGGATTCATGAGCAAATATGCCGGGTCAAAAGTAACCTGAGCACTTACCACAACATATCGAACACTACTATGATCGATAATCCGTTGAGTCCTGTAACCTCCACCGATGGAGCGGACCCCACCACCAGACCGACGATGGCCGGTGGATCTCCTCTTCGACTCCTTGCGCAGGCGGGTGCGCATTCGACACAACACGCCTTGCAGGCCTCCGCGTGCGGATATCGCCCGTTGCTTCTCCTCGTTCGTACTCCCCCGACGAGTTCGGTCTTGCACCTTCGCATATCGTCCCCGTCTCGCTCTCATCGTCGCTCCCCGCGTCACGGCGCCGCAGCACCTCCATCTTGTACGCCGCATGCGCCTCCTCCTCCTCGCGTCGGTGCCGTTGTTGCTTCCGGATCCAAAAGCTACCGAGGCCCCAGCCGAACACCGCAGGGCGCCCTCCGTCTGTGCCTGAGTGGTTGACCTCGGCCTCGGAGCCGTACGCCTGGTTCATGCGCTCGACGCGCTCCGCAACCTGCGCGCGCGTCGCCGCGAGGTGCGCGTGCCGCAGGCCTTGATACCACCCGTACACGATGCGGCCGGCGGTGTACTGGTGCAAGAAGCGGCCGACGCGCCCGCTGTTCGTCGTGCCCGTCCCCGAGTGGGAGCTCGCGTCCGTCTGGTTGGACGCCACGCGGTGCACGCTCTCGTCGCGTGTATGGTCCGCCTCCCCGGCGCTGCGCGCGCTGTCGGAGGAGTCCTCGTGTGCGGGCGGGTGCGCGTTGTACCCAAGCGCGCCGGTCATGCCCTTCCATATCGTCTGCGCGCGCTCCTTGCGAACCTTGCGCCGGGCGAGCTTCGCACGGCGCTTCTCCTGCCGCTTCTCCTCGCGCCGGAGGAGGTCCTGGACCTCGCCGACGCCCATGCCCGCGCCGACCCACCACCACCAGCCGAGGAAGCTCTGCCAGAGGATGACGGCCCACATGAGTCCGGGCATCCAGGGATACTGGTCGCGGCTCGGGATGTATAGGAAGGTGAGCGCGGTGGAGACGAGCGCGAGCGTGAGAGCGCCGACGCCGAAAGCGGCAGTGCCCCCGTCCGTCCGCCAAGCATCTCGTCGGTTGACGAAGCAACCCCAAAGGAAGAGCGAGGCGGTGAAGAGGAGCGAGAGCGTGGCGTTACAGACGTTCTGTACTGCGGACGCGATTTTCACTAGATTTTCGTTGTCGTGTATGCGTAGGACGTGCATGGTGGACGAGACGATCGCGAGTGGCCCGAGCAGGGAGAAAATGAGGCGTCGTTCAAGGCCTGAAGGGAAGAGGAGGGTGAGGAACTGGATGTGGGTGATCTACCGCGGAGCCGCCTTCAGCAAGCGCAAAGCATCATGGAAACAACAACTCACTTGGATGAGGCCGGATGTCGTCGCGTTCATTAGAAGCCATGCAGCGAGTTCACCCATCTCCCAATCACCGTTGTCTTCGAGCGGAGGTATGTCGACGGCGATGTAATCTAGCATGTACGGCCACTTCAAGCTTTGCGCTATGGTGCTCGATAGGACGACGTGCATGGTGGCGATACACGATATGAGCAAGGTGGTGACCGCGGACATCTGCAGTACGTAGTTGACTGGGGCGAGTGGCCAGTGGTATTGGGCGGTGAAAATGAGGTGGATGATTAGGACTGCCGTAAGTGTCAGGGTGATGCCCAGTAGGAGGATTTGCACTGGTAGGGATCGGGCATAGCTGGGCCGATGTGCGAGAATGGGATCGTAAGGAAAACTCCTGTAGTGGCCTTGGGTCAGCCAAAACGCAATTCAAGCATCGGCAACCCCGTGGAAAGCATTCCACCAAACTGCGTGATGATCTTAAGATGCTACAATTTAGCAGGCATCGAGGGAAACTTGCAAGGCCGCTACACTGCTGCACCGGATTTCCCCGCAGAAACTGTTCCAGCTGGTTCGTGCCGAGAATAAATGGCTGTAAGGTAGAATGAAGCTCCCCTGTTGGATCGCCCTTGCTCAATACGCTTATCCATAGCAGGATCCCGACTATCCCCCCAGTATAGCTTCCCATAAGCCGGAGCGTCCAGCCTAGTAAACGGCAACAAAGCACCCGCCGCGCGTACCAAGTCTCATGGCTGCAGAACGCCCAAGCATTACCTCCCGCCGTGACAAGTGCCGGATCTCAAGGATAGCCGTGCCTTGTTCATTCAAAGCGACAAAGAATATGGAAGACGTACCCGTCATCTGTGGTATTTGATATAGTGGAATCGGAGATATTCTGCGCCAGACATTGATAGGCAGAGGCGAGGAAGAGTAGTAACGCCGTTCGTAGATTCATTGCATGACAGTGGGTGGATGTATGCGCCTCTTGACGACCAAATCCAACGTATAGCCCCAGAGCCTCCGTAGACCGTCTCGGGTAGAACTAGATAGATGGCCAGAGGGTCAAGGAGACGGCGAAGACGACGATGGCAAGAGGCAAGGGCAGGCAGCGCCAAAGTCGCACGCACGTCTTGGAAGCACTACGGTAGAAGCGGCCCGGCTTGGCTGCAATCTTGGCAATGCATTACGTAATGCATTGGGCGCTAAACCGCACCACTGCACTCATCCCGCCCGCCGCAACGCCTTTCATATCCTCATATCCTCACCACCATCTGCTCGCCCGCTCGCTCTTTGCAAGCTCATTACAAAGAATTAGACCTCGAATAATACTACGTCTACATCTTGTTTAAACTGTTAGGGACTCTCGCCGCACGCTCGCTCTCAAGACACCACTATCCTGGGCAACCTGGCTGTACTAACGTTCTGGCGGGATACGAGTGGCAGGGCTTTCTTTGAATAGTGAGTTTATTGGGTGGTATGGTAAGCATATCATTCCATGACTACTGCGTTGTATTTATTAGGTACCTCACTAGACTGGAAGGAATCGCACTGGATATGTGCCTATTGCCGAAGATTCAGACGCACTAGGGAGTAGGCAGCCCGACATTCCACACGGCGGCATTCTGCATGTACATCCAGACGGAACGAACTATACCTATGCATACGGGCCGCCTGGAATAGCCGGCCTCCTCCACAACTACTACGCACTCGGGTGTGCCGTATTCGCCTCCATTGGAGGTCTTACATTCGGCTATGATCAAGGCGTCATTGCAAACGTGCTCGTCATGAAGGATTTTGTGCAGCGGTGGAATCTCAGCGCATGGGAAACCGGGCTTATGAGTGCGTTTGACCTTTCATTTCACAGAATGCAACCGAGAGATTGAACCAGCCCGACAGCGGCTGCGCTGGAGCTGGGGTCTCTATTGGGCGCTCTGACTGCGGGCACACTGGCGGACAAGTACTCGCGAAGACAGTCTATATTCACCGCCTGCGGTGAGTACGGCCGAGTATTCGATGTCTGTCGAAAATCCTGAACACATCATCCGTAGCGATATTCTGCCTCGGGTCAGCATTACAATGCGGTGCCCAAACTCCCAACCACCTCGTTCTGGGCAGAGGTATTGGAGGCCTGGGTGTCGGTGCACTCAGGTAATACACCATATACCCAAGTCTCTCTTATTGAAAAGCTCATAGACCTCGTCTTCCAGCATGCTTTCACCCTTGTACATGGCGGAGATCAGCCCGCCGGAAGTACGCGGATCCCTGATGGCCCTTGAGCAGTTCGCCATCGTCCTCGGCGCAGTGGTTGGATTTTGGACCGGTTTCTTCACGCGAGACATCCCCGGATCCGCGTCATGGCGAATCCCTTTGGCGATTCAGCTCATCCCGGGTATCATCTTAGGATTTGGATGTATGTCACTCCCACCGTCGCCGCGGCTGCTCGTCCAGCAAGGGCGCAATGAAGAGGCCCTCCGCGCGCTCGCGAAGCTCAGATTGAGAACGCGTGCTGAGATTGAGAGTGATCCTCTGCTCCAGGTGAGTATACACCTGAGAGGACACGTTGACACGTTATTCTAAATTCTGCTGTGTGTAGATCGAGCTATTGGAGATGCAAGTGGAGGCCGCGTTAATAGCTCAATCATCTGCCAACGACACCCCCGTACGAAGCGCAAAGCCAGGCACCCTGCGTGGAGAGCTATATGCGTGGTCGCGCCTGTTCTCACCAAAGCTCCGCAAGCGTACGCTCATCGGCGTTTTGATGATGTTCTTCCAACGTGAGTATATGCGCTCACAATTTATCTCCGTTGCTGATGAGATTGGAACGCCATGTAGAATGGAGCGGAATCAACGCACTGCTGTACTATGGCCCGACGCTCATGCACTCCCTCGGCATGCAAGGCGACGCAGCGACCCTCCTTTCCGCCGGCGGCATCGGCATCGTCCAATTCCTGGCTGTGCTGCCCGCCATCGCCTTCATCGACCGTCTTGGTATGCATCCCTGCTTCCATTTGACAAAAGTCCCGCGCATATACTCACCTCCATTCCCGATAGGCCGCCGCCCCCTGCTCCGCGGTGGCTCGCTCGCGATGGCGCTCTCGCACCTCACCATCGCGCTCCTCGTGCGGCAATACAGCGCCGACTGGTCTGCACACACCTTTGCCGCGCGCACCGCGCTTGCGTGTGTATACACGTTCACTGCCGCGTACGGTGTTAGCTACGGGCCGATTGGGTGGATTTTGCCGAGCGAGGTGTTCCCGCTATCGGCGCGTAGCAAGGGTGTCGCGTTATCTACGGCGTCGAACTGGACAAATAATTGTGAGTGCCGGAAGTATCAATGGGCGGCCGGCGAGTGCTAATGTGGTGATGGGTGATGTGCACAGTCTTGATCGGGTTGCTCACGCCGGTTTTTATGGAGTACTCAGCCTCGTACGTGTCTAACGCGGTGCAGATTCTGAATTATGGCATTGACTGAGACTCGCATGACAGAGGGACATTCTTGATTTTCGCAGTGGCCTGCTCCCTAGGCTACATCTGGTCCACCTACTCCGTGCCGGAAACCGCGAATGTGTCGCTCGAGGAGATCGATGCCGTCTTCGAGTCCTCAGCCGGGCGTGAGGATGTCGCACTGAAGCACCAAGTAGGCTGGGTTTTCTTAACAAGATCTTCTTTCCAGCTAACGGGATGCAATCGTTCCAGATTGAGGTCGATCTTGGTTTGCACGACCTGGTACGGCGTGTGACCCGTGCCAGTGATGGCGAGCCTGGAGAACCTGCATGAGCAGTGGGCTGTTATTGCTATGCTATGTCTTCATAGCTTGGGTGACATTCATTTGGACTCACTAGGACTCTCCACTTTACGTGTACTCATATTAGGTAGTGCCTTGTCGTTATTTTGGGCTAATTTACCTCTCAATACTCATGTCTACGCATCCCGCGCCCATTGGTTTGTATCGCTGCTGTTGGGGTCGTTGTGCCAGGTCCGTAAAAAATCTCATCATTCAGCGTCGAGCCACTATTGATATCCGTGAGGCAGATCCCTAAGAGACGACTCGTCAGTTACCCTACTCGTCTTTGGTCGTTTGTTGCGCACGCGGACTCTCGTCCCGTGATCAACGCCAGTAGCATCGACTGCGCCACGCTGCATGCGCTCTGCACTTCATATGAGCGTAAACAGCGGGCCCCAGCGGGCACGAGGCTGCAACGTTTGATGAGGCTGCGGTTCGGTGCACAGTTCCTCGTATCCCTTGCTCTGCGCCCTCGCCGCTTCTTCCGGCTGTCGGGATCATTCCTTCTCTAGATCGACGTCAAGAATTGGTTCGTTCTTCACCCATGCGCAATCAGCCTGCTCATTCGAAAATTTGACAGTAACCAACTATGTGGCTCCTGAGCACCGACCGAGCGGAGCTGCACTTCTTCCCCGGGGTGGACGCTATACCTAACGGTGGCTATGCTATCTTGTCGCATGTTTGGGGAACGAACGAGCAGACATTCCAAGACCTGTGCTCCATCTCCGAGCGCTGCAAGTCAACAGGGGAGAACCCACGAGATCTCATGGGTCCGAAGATCAAGGGGTGTTGTCTTCTCGCCGCGCAACTTGGCCTCCTCTGGATTTGGATCGACACGGGATGCATCGACAAGACTAGCAGCGCCGAGCTATCTGAGGCCATCAACTCCATGTTCCAGTGGTACAAACAGGCTGACGTCTGCTATGCGTACCTCGCGGACGTCCCGGCCGATACCGCCCTGGGGCCTGGAGGCCGTTCACTCTCCGTTCCGCAGGAGTATATGGCACACTCGCGGATGGACGCTTCAGGAACTGATCGCTCCAGAGGTCGTCGTCTTCCTTTCCCCCGACTGGAAGGTCCTTGGCGACAAGGTTCACCTCGCGCCCCTGCTGGAGCAAATCACCAACGTCCCCAGGGCTGTCCTCCATCACCAAGTCGAGTTGTCTACGGTCTCCGTGGCACAGCGCATGTCATGGGCTGCGCACCGAAAGACCACGCGACTCGAGGATGAGGCGTACTGCCTGCTCGGCATCTTTTCCATAAATATGCCTACACTGTATGGTGAAGGTCGAGCGGCATTCCGACGTCTTCAGGAGGAGATCATGCAGACTTCTACGGATCTCTCTCTCCTCGCGTGGGGTCCTCGTTTATCCAACTATGACATGCCCTACTGGGTTCCTGCACCTCCTCACCTGGTGAACCCGGTGCTGAACCACGAACAGTCGCCCTTTCCTGTCCTTCCGCTTGCCACTGCCCCGTCCGCGTTCGATGTTCCCGGCCGCTTCATCACTCCTACGGAGTCTTCAGATCTTGTGGCTACTCGTCAGGTATGGGTGTTTCTCCAAATGCTCCCGAGAGCGCGACTCTGACGAATGTCATCTGCAAGCCCCTGATGCGCAAGATATCTCGCTCGATCTCACGAAAAATCGGTAGGAAGCCTCAAGGGCCCTCGAACCAGCAGACCGGACCAAGTGGTGCGTTCATGCGGGTCATGCCGTACGGCGTGCACATTCGCGTCAAGGTCATCGAATCGCCCCGCCTCAAGTTCGCATTGCTAGATTGCGGTATAGGCGGACAACCACTGGGGTTACTCTTGCATCAGTGGGAAGGCTACGAGAGGTACGGACTTGCCTACGGTTTCAGCCCCGCCAATTCGCTCGTCCCTCAGGACCAGCGCCCGCTCAGCATATTCCGCTTGATCGACGTTATGGACGCTTTCGATCGGTTCATCGACGGGAAGAAGTTTCAGTGTACGTGGAAAGACATACACGTCACGCCGCCCCCGCCAAAGCCGACCCCGCTTCCGCTCATGCGGTCTGTCGCTCCCCGCGGGAACCCATTCTGGATCTCACCGGGCCTGATGAGGACGCTGGTGCACAAGTGGGATCTCAGGGAGGTTCCGCTGGGCCCGAGGGGCTTCTGCACTGCCTCCGGCACCGACCACGCAACGCATCTGTTCTCGCACCACTGGCGACCCAACGAGGCCCTGATCGTGGCCACCGGTCTTTGCCCTGGGACGGGCCAGCCGTGGGCGCACGCACACCCGGTAGTCCTGGCGCCGTACAGGCTGTTAAACGTCGATGGCATGCTTCGGTGCGGCGAGCACCTCTGTCCCGATCACCATATTCAGGCCTCGCCGACAGCCCCCGTCCAGACGCGTGCCTTCGGCACTGACGCGCGGACTATCCGGCTCTCCTTCCGGGCCGTCGACCTCTTCGTCCACAATGCGTGGGCGGTGGACATCACCCTCAGCGGCAGCGTCTACGATACCTTCACCGCGGACCCTAGCGACGACCCCGAAGGGACAGCTCCACGCAAGCCCCAGACTCGGCCGCCGTCCAACGACGAACGCCTTGAGCTCATGTCGCAGTTGACGCAGCTCCACGCCGCGCTGACGAGGCCGTCTCCGAGACCCGCGCGCACCCGCAGCGACGCGGATTCCGCCCAGCGGTCTCAGTATCGGAGAGCACATTCTATATCGCTGCGGGATGGCGAGCCCGACAAGAGCAGCCCGTGTGGCCCTTCGCAGCATGTCCACCGGAGCAGGTACCACGAGTATACATAGATGGTTGCGGCCTTTTACGCCGCTGGATCCAGTCACGCCCTCGTTAGATCTCTTTACTTCCCGTCTGAAGGAAAGCTCATTCGTATGTTTTTATACCCGGTTACGGTGCTGCCCCTCCTTCCCTCGACGCTTGTCTACACGCACGGTCACCTTACTCCGTTCAGTCTCATTGCGCCCAGGATTGCGCCCCAGAGTATCTTTTCCAAGCTGCTCGCGGACATGCAACGTCCGATTTCGCAGGGGCATCGAGAACACGTCTGACAGGCCGGCAAGGAGCACTCGTGGGTCTCTGGATATACTCCGCATGTCGGCGTGTGGGCTTTGTAGACTTGTGCTCGCCTTTCACACACATGCACATCGGTGTACATGTGTTCTCTAGTCGGCGAAACTATGTAAACGTGATTCTATGTTTCACGACTATTTGTATGCTGTGCTCTCCAATCGGCATCTCTTGCGTAAAAACATATCACCGACGTCGCATTCATGAAATAACAGAGTAAGCGGCCAGGCGGGCCAACGCACGTTAACCGGGCTATGTACGGGGTAGATACACGCAGATACAACAGGAAAAACAAACAGACAAACAAGCACAACAGCAACCGTAACATGAATGGTCACACACACACACACACAACACAAAATCGGCCGAGTAAAGACGGTATAGTAAGTAGTAGCAGGGGGGGTGCAGTCGGAGCCACGCATTGTACCAGATAAAGGACAAGAGCGAGGAACAACGCAGGCAGGGAGCACAAGAGAGCAGACGGACAAGCGTACGGGCCCGAGTCGAATCGTGTTCGTGTCCGTGCAGCGGCAGTGTGCGGGGCAGGCGGGGGTATAAGGGATCGCGTGTCTCTATGTAGGTTTTCCCTCACCAGGGCGGGGGGTGCTCAGAGCACGAGCGCGATGAGCGCCATTGGGAGTGCGGCCAACGCGCCCACGACGGCACGGTCTGCGCCGTTGCTGCCGCCGGTCGCGGACGCCGTGCTGGAGGAGCGCGTGCTCGACCCGGTCCCGCTCGGCGCCGTCGCGCTCGCGGACGCGGAGGTGGAGGTCGCGGTGCCGTTCAGGCGGATCGCGTTGCGCTACACGGGAGGGAGTCAGCAACTTCGTCGCGCGCTATTCGGTCCAGCGCGAGGACTCACGATGAACCCGTCGAGCGTCTCCGTGCTGGACTCGTTCACGTTGATGCCGCCGACACCGCCGAGGGCGCACGTCGCGATGTCGTAGAACCAGATCGTGTCGTTCGTCGTGATCGTCACGGGGAGGTTCGTGATGGCCGTGCCGTTGTTGGTCGGGCGGAGGCCCGAGTTGAACCCGTTGATCGTCGAGTTCGTGTCGTGTGCGGGGATGCACGGCGACGCGAACGTCGACTGGGTCGCACTGTGGTTCCCCTGGGTGACTGTTGAGGAAAAAAGGATCGGCGTAAGCGACCGTCATGAGGAAAGACTAGGACGGAGCCATTCTGGCAGTCGGCGTTCCTCTCCGTAGGGACAGAGTCAAAATTAAGGTTCGGACGAACACTGTGCCGTCACATGACCGCGTTGTCCAAAAAAAACCACGTTCGGTTGCATCTTCTTCGCGAGGATGAACGCAAACAGGCAGGACGACGCGAGTATGAGATCGAAAGTGGTCGCGGCGCTGTCTGTGGCTCCTCGTGCGCCGTACTAGAACCACGCACGTCGCCAGTGAGACACTGGGCGAGGCGCAGGGCCATGAAAATCCGCACTCTGAGCGGATATCGAAGTGCCGGAGGCATAGCCGGCAGTTATGTTTGGAGCGGCATGACGGTCTGGCCACACTAAGGGAGAAGATAGCCTCCAAAAGTCCGATAACTCTGCGCACGGACCTGGTCCTGCGAGCAACCTGTAGTCCAGATGGACGGTTCAGGGCGGGCCAGCGGTAGCTTGACTGCTGCGGGTGGTACGGCACATACGATAGGGAGCGTGGCCCGCATCACGCCCGGCAACACCGACCGAAGGGCTCTGAAGCCGCATTTGTGAACACAGGGTCGTCGCACTCCAGGCTCCGGCAAAGAGCCTCGGGAAGTCCGACGACCTTACGCACGCTGTCTGGCCCTGGACGCGACCTGCTCGCGAAAGACGGCCAGGGCAAGGCGGCGGTAGCTACCCCTGCTGCGGGTGCAGGCATGGCACAGACGGTGAAGGGCGCGCCGCATGTCCAAAGGCGCATACGCACCCTCCCCCATCCAGTCGAGGATAAGAGCTTGACTATCACGAATACTCACAGTTGAACAGGACAGTGTCGCCAATGACAGCAGTGACCTCCGCAGGCGAGAAGATCGTGCTCGCGTTGGCGGTAGTGTTCGCGCCGACCGTAATGACGATTTGCTTCGCCGAGGCGGCGACGACCGCAGAGAGCTGGATATATGCGGGGTGTACAGTTAGCAGCGGTTCCTGCATGGAAGCCCACACTACTCACGGCAGCTACGAGGGCGAAGGAACGCATTCTGAACGACCTAGAGGACGAAGAGATGGTGGTGGTAGGGAAGAGAGCCGACGACGGGCGTAGGGGGGCGAGCACGAAGGACAAGGACAAGCAGGCGCAAGGCAGACCGCAAGCGCGCCGCCCTTCGTTAAGTCGCCCAAACCCAAGATCTGCTCCCGATTTGCATCAATTTGCCCCGCCCGCTCATTGGCGAGATAAGAAAAGAAGCCGGCGTTTGCCAGGGACTGACGTTTTCCGTGTCCTCCCGAGCACGCTGATTGGCTGAGGGCCGCTGGGAAGCTGTTAAGTGACGTCAGTGATTGCGAGGCCTAGGCAGCTGTAGATCGCGCGCGGTTCCTGCCATGCGCTCGCCTCCCTCCGCCTCCGCCCTCGCCCCGCCGCGGGCGGTCCCGCCTTTGACCATCTGCTCGCTGGCTGCGATCTTGAGCTCGTCGTCAACAGCATCGTCGGCGCTGTCTGCTTGCTATGAATGAACCTGATGGTCCCCACGGTGCTGGTGGACAGGAACGGCCAGACAGGTCCCTCGGACTCTGTACGCGCTCAAGATACTCCGCTCCGTGATGCACCCGCACGTCCCGCCGACCGCCATCAAAACGACGACGAAATGCTCCACCGCGACGCTCGCGCATTCGCGCACTGACGCGTCGGCGCCCTTGACGCGACGATGCGTGCTGTCCCTGGCCCTTGGGGTCGTTGCGCCGACGTCACCACGTTGGGCGGACGGCCACGCATTTTCACCAGGTCAGTTTGACGGTTGAGAACGTCCCACATTCGAAAACTCTCATGCTTGATCCATTTGCCTCAGTTCCAAGCTGGGCCCATCTCAAAGGATGTGGTCCCTATGCATTGAGGGCTGGTCCTCTTCGCGAGTCCACTTCGTCCTTGCATCAGGCGCACGGCAACTCACCAACATTGGCAGAATACCTATTACCAACGGTGCGTCTAGTTGAATGTCCATGTCGGGGACAGCGATACATAGGCATGCACGCATTTACCACTATCCTACATCAAATAATTTCAATCTCTACCGGTGGCATCTCACCGTTCCAATAGCTCTCCACCTCGCGAAGAGAGTCCTGTCTGAACACGTCGAATCGCCCCACACGTCGATATACTTTTCTCTGGAGAGGTAATGTTGTGGGGTCAGTCACACAGGCCGCATCCCCTGTGCTGCCCGCGCCATCGACCAGAGTGACGATCAATCCTTCTAAATGCTTGTCTTTCCGCGTAAGCGGGGCTGCCCACAGTCTCTGGATCCCCACATCCGCCTCGGTGTCAACGTACACCCACCCAATGATCATCGTCTCCGCCTCCGCCGCCGCCGCCTTCTGCACCTCACCATCCACATCCAGGCCCGCGGCCCCCCACCGGCGGACCTGTTTCGCAGTCGGAAGCAGAATACGAAACGGCTTGTATCCTTCGCCAGTGAGGAGCACGCACCGGGTCAACGACGTGCGCACGACGAGCGACCCACCAGTGACCTGCCCAAACGGCAGCGCCGTGTCCGCGAGCGCAACCTCGCATCGCACGACCTCCGCGACCGGCGTTCCCTGCAACAACGTGGACCGGGACCAGTCCCCGCCCGTCCAGACCTCCCCGTCGACCGCCGCCCACGACCACGACGGCGCGTGGAGCTCCTCGGGGCGCACCGCCTGCGGGCCGCTCTGCTTCGCCCAGAGCAGGTCGTCGAGGAGCGTCGCGCGCCAGAGGCCCGCGAGGTAGTCTGTGCGCAGCACGCGCTGGAAGCCCGCCGCGATCGCACCGCACGCGACGAGCTTGTCCGAGGGATTGCTCACCGCGCGCCGGCTGTAGTCCTCGATGATCTCGAGCCACGCCTTGTACATCGCGGCCCATTCTGCGGAGCCGGGCGCGGCGGGCGGCAGGTCTGGGCGGAAGAACGCGTCTGGCATGCGCTGCTCCCCAGTGGGGTTGTAGTACGCGCCGCCGACGCTTTGGGTGGTGGTCTGGCATCGGAACTGCAGGGTCTGAGACGTGAAGAGGAGCGCGCGAGGGGACATGAAGTACTCTTGGAGGCACCAGCCGCGCGTGCTGACCGGGTCCCACCCGTGGCTGTACTGCTCTATCTCGTCTTCCGGGAGAGTATGCGTCGGGGAGACGTGTACCGTGCCGGTCTGCTGCGAGGGACACAGCACAGGGAGAGCGAAGTCGCGTGATGCCGCAGGCCGTTCTTGCAGGAAGCCCTCCCCGACCCTGCTCGCGCTCGCAGCGATGATCGTCAAGTACGCGTCGCGGTAGATGTGGTGCATACGCCCGATCTCGCGCCGCTTGCTCTCGTCCGAGTCCTGGACGATGCACAGGCTGTCCGCCCACAGGTACCGGAACCCGAGCGCGACCGTGACGTGGATCGCGTCGCGAATGGTCTGCGGGAGGCGCGCGGGATCGATCCCATCCGCGTACGCGGACATGTTGTGGGTGGTGGTGCAGTGCGGCTGGATCTCGCCCCAGACGTAGCTGAGCGCGAGATACCGGCCGCGCTTGCCGTCGGTCGCGGCCAGGCGCGGGCGCGCGGGGTTGGTGCAGTCGAGGACGAGGGTGGGGAGGAGTGGGTCGGGGGAGACGGAGATCGCTGTGCAGCGTTCGTGCATCGCCACGCACTCTTCGATGCACGCTCTTGCCAGGGCGAGGGTGCGCGGGGATCCGACGTCTCGCACATGGCTCCGCGCGACGATGTGCGGTGCCGCGGGGTCGTCTGAGAATTCGCGTCAGCGCAGGTTCGGACGCAGAGATACAATATATGTACAGGACAACTCACCCAGACTCGTATACACGTAGCCTGCGAAGCGCGGCTCGCCGTCGATGGACACATATACGGTCTGTGTCTCCGGCGGCGAGCACTCGGTCAAGAGCCCTCCGGGCCCCATAAACACTTTCAGCGGCGTCGCAGACTCTGCATCGTCGTCCTCCCCGAGCATCGAATACATGAACTGACACCACACACAGCCTGTGGCGGACCTGGAGTGCAGGACCGCCCACGAGGTGGTATAGGTGCACTCCCCGAGCCAGGTCAGGGGGGAGTCGAGATCGACGTTTTGTAAGTCGCTGCGCGGCACCAGCAGCCGCGCCGCAGGGCCCTCCCAGCAGAGCTGGCATACGGAGGGAGGCTGGCGTGCGGCGGTGCTGGTGCTTGCATGAGAGTTTTCATGATCCATGCGATGAGCGAGCCTCTGAGGCTTGCCGCCGTCTGGAGAAGGTGGGAGACAAGAGAACGTGCGCCGTGTTACTGCGTATACTAAGTACGGCCGGATCCGAAAGGACGGACTTCAGAGGCCGTTGCACGGCACTCTCGTAGGAAACGCTTTAGCAAATAATCGAACGGGCTGGCTCCAAGCTTACGCGGTAATGAATAGAGCTTCTCATTGTAGAGTAACCGCATGAGCGGGGTGTGCGGAGGTGACTTTGCCAGTGGATACCATGCGCATGCATATGCCAAGCAGAAGACTCAGCTGGAGGCGCGCGCCTCCAGTACGCCGCCCAAGTCGACGAAATCAGCGCTGGCGGTAGTCAACAGGATCGCGTAAGGGATTGTGAAAGCCCATGCTCGATTAGCATATTAATGTACAGACAGATTCAGAGACCCAGTACAGAGCAGCAAAGCGATCAGTTGACAATAGACACAGCGATGGTACAAAAACGAGCAATCGCGCAATGCGCGAGCATGAAACAAGTTGTCAACTTGAAGGAGAGAGGCAGTTCTGCCCTAGAGACGAGGGAAGGAGTAATGAATGGAGTGCGCGACTAGGCGCGAACGGACGCGCGGCGCGATTTTCCGAGGGGCTTCGGATGATGGTACAAGAGATGCCATACGTATCACGGCGAAGAGGGCAGAAGGCGATCGCGTGGGGGCGGAGCACGGGGGGCGAGACGAAGAAGAAGGGGCGAATCAGTCGAGGCTGGCGCTGGACGCGCTCGTATCCAGGTCGCGTAGACAGCCCTGCTGGCGGCAGCTTCGGGCTTCTTTCGTTGCATCAGGCGCGGATTCTTCCGCTGGAGCTGAAGTCTGGGTGGGGCGCGAGGACCGTCAGCGGCCGGGTCATTTTATGTTCCCTGCGAGGGCGTATGCTCACCTCACGGGCGACCGTGATCGCCTCCGCGACATCCTCCAGCTCGCGCAAGCAACCCTGCTGTCGGCAGCTGCGTCGCGCCGGACTCGAACTGTCCGCGTCCGATGCGGGGATTTCCGCGGGAACCTACGAAAGAGCACTATGAGCCCAGTCACCTCGTCGAATACGTCGGATGGCACTTGCCTCAAGCTCTGCTACGGGCGCTCTCGCCACCTCTGGTAGTGCTCGAGCAAACGTGTCGATAGAAGGAAACCCGTCGAGTGCGAGCCCGCGCATACAGCCCGCCTGGCGACAACCACGCTTCTCGTCTGGCTGACGCGTTACTGCGTCGACGTCCGTATCAGGCGTCAATAATGTGAGGTTTTCGAGGATCTATTTTGGCTCAGCCGTGAAATCTCTTTTGGGTTAGGTACGGCGACGCTCACCTCAGCAAAGGTCTCCGCTTCAAGCCTCTTTAAGCACCCTTGTTGACGACAGCTCCTCTTCAAAGGGGGAACAAGATGAGCGGTGCGCCACGGCGCTCATAATTGCGAGTGGACTCACTTTGGATAGTGGCGCTGCTTGTGCGAAGAGGCCGGGAGCGCTGGGCTGCTCGTGTTTCAGGTACGAGGAGAAGCGCTACGGGCGCAGGTGTACGTTAGTTCGTGTTTCGTGGCTAATGATAATGTACAAACTTTCGCACTTACCAGAACGGTGTCAAGGAGGGACGGCGCGGGGACGGGCGCAGCATCTGCGAGTGGGAACGCTGAGAATACAAAACGCGAGAGACGGTCATCAGCGGACAATTCAACAGGGCGGAGGGATAAGAAGGCGTACCCCCAACGAAGAGCGCGGAGATGGCGAAGGCGCGGGTGAGAATGAACGTCGCTACCATGATTCGGAAGATACGTGGGTACGTAGTGTGTATTGAGAGACAGGGTACAGAACAGATGCAAGGAGAACGAAAAGGGCAACGGAGTGCAATCAAGTGAGTGGCAGGTCCTGTTGGAAGAGCAGGTCTCCCAGTGCGCAGCGCGCTGCAACGGGTCTTATAGGGAACATCGTGAGCGCACCCCAGAGCGGAGCGCACCGCGGGGAGCTCTCAAAGGACTCGTCGAATGCGGTATGGACGAGAAGCCACTGAGGGCGCCTACTGTTGCAGTGGAATCGGAAGCGTTACGAGGCAGCTCCTCCGCCAGGTGGCGCTATCATGGTCACGCAGGGTTCGAAGGGGAGGCTTTGAGGGATGGGAGCTGCTGACGCGAGATGGGCATTGAGTACTAGAACCGAGAGGATCGTCGTGGGGAGATGCATCGTATGAGGGCGCGTTGCGTGGAACACGAGATGGTGACTTCGTGGGTCCTCTGTACCTCGATACAGTCAATGCATCGGAGCTGCGACGGAGAACTCGGACTAGGCTCACAAACAGAGCCCGAGGCTTCGCAGGGAATTTGACTTGCTCGGTCGAGAGTCCGTCAGGTTCGCCCAGCACATACCGCTCAATCTTGTGTCTGACTGGCCGCGCGTTCCAGCGCGGATCGAACGCTGGTCAAGAGCCTCAGTGCGGGGCAACCCGCCTTGGGAGGATCGAATCTATGAGTCGCCGTCCGGGGGTGGCCCATGGCCGACTCTTCCAGGTCCGATCGTGACGAGGACGTGATTTGCTCACCGCGCTGCTGCTAATCAGAACCCTGATTCGGCTAGATCTTCGACGAGAACTTACCTGTGGTAACAGAGGGGACATCCAGCCACCGTGTAGAGGTTCAAACGAACGACCCAATATGGCAAGAGGGTCACGGCGCACCGTGACACGTTCGCGAAGCTGATACGTGCTGGCCGCATTTGGGCGTGCTTGTTCTCGCTCTCCCATCTTCTCCACCCCCGGACCTCTGACCGAGGTCATTCCCTGCGATGAGAAGGGGCGCAAATTGCTGAAGGGGAGCCTTATGGCATTGCGAGGAGCTGCGTGGGGGCGTCGACGAAATACACGTGGTCAGATTGCAATTCGCAGTCCAAGTCGCCGTTGTCGCAGCTGGCTGAAGAGGGTACGCTGTGTTGTTTCTGTCTGCAGTGTTCGTCAGAGTTGCTGGTGAGCAGTCTTGAGTTGCAGTGTGTCCTCACCATCTGAAACAAGTGGGTCCCAGTTACGCTCGAAAAATGAAGTCTAAATAGGCTCGTAAACCAGCCTCACGTTCGGAGGCGGAAGACAATCGTTCCTCCCGAAGGGAGGCTGGAACCTCTTGTGAGGGGGGGTGGTGGTGACCCCCGTGGGAACGACGCGCCAAAAAGTGTCTCGAGGCCTCTCCTCGCCTCTCCTCGCACGCCGATCTACCCAGCGAATATTCTTGAAAATAAAGGGGCGGACTCACAGCACCAACTGTTCGTGATAGAATTTTTTGTCATGACATTCTGCACATAGCCCGCCATGCAACTTTCGACGACGCAGGGCTTCAGCCACCCGTTCAATGTCCGCTGACATCTCTCGCCCAGGAATTGCAACTCAGCCGTTCCCACGGGGGTCACCACCACCCCCCTCACAAGAGGTTCTAGCCTAAGTCTAAACGCAAGCCGGGAGACGCTCGCGCCGGCCTCGGCGTGTCCACCCCAAAAAGGCAGTCGTTGTTGATCGCGTAGATGCCGACATCGCCACTCCAGCTCACAAAGACATCGCTCAATCCGGTCTCATGTTATGCCACACACGGCAACATGAATGAATGGGCGAACTCCGATGCCTTCCAGCCGCTCGGGGACCCACGGAATGCCAGCGTGCCGGCGCGCGCACCCATCCGGCGCCCCCAGTTGCTGCTGGCAGTTGCCTTATTCGACACATCCTTTGAGGCCTCTATAGTGAGCGAGTTCATTCAGCCTCAGTCGCCCGTGCGTGGGTGCGGGCGCATCATCCGTCAATGCATCGTTGTATAAGACGATGGGGGTGTTGTGACCGAAGGCCGCACCAACTACTCTCTGTCAATCCAGAGTCGTTCTGTACATATCTCCCGCCGGCCATCTTCTCTCCTCCTCCCCACTTCTAATCCTTTTCTTCGTTCTTTGACTAAGTGGGCTTGAGCTGAATTCAAGATGGTTGCGCCGACGTTCATTCTTACCCGCACTTTCGCCATCTCCGCGCTGTTTGTCGGTGGTACGTCCAGCCCATCTTGCTACCCTACCGAGCTTGTATGCTTACTCTGCAGTGCAGCATTCCCGATAACATACGCTGCGCCGATACCCACCAAGGCCGCGGCAGTCTCGTCTCACCTCGAGCCACGCTTTTGCCGGGCGATGGGTTGTCTCTACGCGCTTCCTGACGCCGACTCCGTACGTCCTGTCCGCCTCGCTCTCATCTCTGGGACGGCCTCCTCATTCGTTTATTGCTGTTCAGTCAGACGCCGCGGGTAACGCAACCACCACTACCGCCGCCACTTCCCCCTCCGCCGACGCATCCTCCTCTGCGCTTCAAGTCATCGACCTCCTCATCTCAGCCTTGCAGTCAGCCGCTTCGAGCCTTCGTCAGTCGTCGACGGCGCAAACGGCGATATCCTCTGTGAACGCCGCCGTTCCGGTTGCGGTAGACGCTGCGGAACCCGTCGAGACGGACTCACTTGCGGCGGCCATAGCGGCCATCGCGGCGACGGCGGCACCCGAGACCGAAGCGCCGTCGGCAGACGCGCAAGAAGACGTACCGACGCCGGCGGTGGAGGTCATCGGGTTCAGTACCGTAGCGAGTACAGACGTAAGCACACTTCAATCGCTCCGCCGTACTTGAGTCTGACCCAAGCTTGTAGGTCGATACCTCCGCGTCGGCGTGATACTCCCCCAGGTTCCACCTCCATCTCCTCCGCTTGAGGAGAACAACCCCACACTCTTTCTGGACACAGTCTTTCCATTCTTTCCTACATCTCTTCCTCGCCGGGTCGCTCCCCTCGCCGCCCGTCATCGCCACATCCTAATCGCGCACTGGTGCGCTCAAAACCGTGTAGACGGCTAGAGGATACCCCGCGCGCTCCACCTCGTTCGTCGCCACCTCATCATTCCGTTCTCAAGAGCTACAAGGGCTTCTTGTGCTGGACTCTTCACCGCCCCTTCCCCCTCCCCTTCTCACGACGTGTACGTCGCGCGTGCAGCTGTTGTACTCCTTGTGCTCCCTCATCCTTGTTTGTGCTACCTTTGCCCGTTCTTCCCCTCTCGCGTTACCCCGTCTTGTCGCCTCCGCGTCACCTGTCCGCCACGCGCACCGTTATCTATCCGTAGTCGTCGCTCAGTCAATCCGCAGCTCCCCCGCTCTCGCAGTCCGTCACAGTGTATTTCTAGTCGTGCAGTTATCCTTAGAAGTAGTGTCGTTCGCCAAGCTCTCCGGTCGTGGTTTCTTGTCGTTGTGTTTTAGTAGTTCACTCTAATTCAGCCGTGCTCATTCCGGCACCCTTACAGTCAAGTAAAGCGTGATTCTGCATGCTTGCATATCTGGACACACGCTGTTGGTATTAGGCTCAGAAAGTGCGCGAGCGTATTCGAGTGCGCTGACAGTGACCCAAAATGAGTACAGGCCGCGCGCAAGTAAACAAAATGGACATGTCCGGGATTGAACCGGACCCCTCTCGCATGCTAAGCGAGCGTGATAACCAACTACACCACATGCCCATATAGACGCCTTGATCATCGTGTTCCCTAGTCCCGGCGCTCACTGGCTGTCAACTATCCTCTCTGGAGGCAGCGCAGCCTTGCGTTGACTACTCACCCTACGTTGGCTTCGACCTCAGAGTACAAAAATTCTCGGACTCCCAGACCCAATCCACCTTGGACCGTTTGTATTTTGACTACGCATATAATGAGGGTGGGACTGACCTCTATCCCATTATTAGACTACAAGTGTTCGATACCGTGAGGTATGTCAGGTTCATGCATAATACCAATTTTATGCATCTAATTGACATCGAGAGACCATCATTAGTATCTTCCGACTGCAAATACATGGACGATCCGACAACAAATGGCCTGAATGAGCGACGGTCTGGTGTTGGCGGCCGTTCACCATCCCTTGCCGACGACTACCCCAGCCGGCGCAGCACGGAGTGTAGCACTTCGGCCACGAGGACGAGACGTCTGCTCCCTGCGCTGGCAAACAACTGGACCACGTTGCTTGCTTGACCTGATTCTCGCGCTGCTAGTATGCCTCACGCTGCTGTCCTGAATCCTGAAATACTCACGAGGATCTTTTGGCAAGCCTCGCCGGAGCCATCGGAGGATGAGTGGCCACGAAACGATGTCGTGGCGAAGTCCGCCCGCGTCTGTCAGACTTTTGGTGAACCAGCCACCCGCGTTTTATGGGAGCGCCTGCCTTCCGTATTTCCCCTGCTCAAGCTGCTCGCCCCGAGTTTCGGGAGGATAAAGGGTGGGCATAAGACAAACAATGAATGGGGGCCAGACAGAAAAGATGCATACGTAAGTGGCTCGACCGTCATAATCACAATCGTTTACTCATACGTCGCGCGCAGGCCCTCTACAATATTCCCGACGCTCACCAGTGGACACGCTTCTGCTACTATGCCGAACGCGTGCGTGTTCTCGTCCACCGTGGTTCCGCCAACACCGACGTCCTGTTCGATGACTCGCACGCTGGGTATCATCCAGACACCGCAATTGACCAGTACCGACCCGACAACGCCTCTGACGACGAAGCTGATGACGACTTCCCATGTCCTACGCTCATCCTCCCCTCTGTCTGGTTTCACCTCAAGCAGCTCTCTGGGGGCCGGCCTCTACTTCCGGCTCTGCGCGAGCTGGAGTGGATGACAAGCCCCTTTGGCACGGAGCTGTTTGATCTTGTCTCCCCCTCCCTTCAGCGAATCTACGTTCGCCTCAACCCAGCGTATTCCCATACGAATGCCGAGTGGAGCGCCCATCTGCCGCTTTTCATACGTAGCATAGCTGCGCTCGCCCCGGAGCTACATCGGTTCGAAGTCGGTGCCGACCACTCAAATACCCTGCGCGCCGCTATGCCAGAGCTGCACAAGATGAAACACCTGCGATATCTCGCTGTGGACGCCAACTGTTCCTCGGGCTGCGATATAGATGCACAAGCACTTTCTGAGGCGAAACTGGACACCATCAAGAATTTGGAGTACCTCCGGCTCGGGCTTGAAATCGTGGGCGATCCCGTAGCTGCTCACTCCATAATCACGCTTCACGCTCTGCGCTCTCTGGCGGTTGTAGACTCCAACGGGAACCCGAAGGCGTACAAGCTGTTCAGCGTTCCCTCTCTACGCTCTCTCGATGCCACCATCCGGTCTCCAGACACCGACACGAACGGCTACAGAGACATCCTCCTTGCGTTCACGCAGCAATTCCCAGACATATATTCCCTCGTCTTAACGCTAGACGGGGGTCGAGCAGACCTGACCCAGGTCATCGAGCCCCTCCATCTCTTCTCCGCCCTTCGAGCGCTCTCGCTCACTCTGAAGGAAGCACTAGCAACGGTCTCAAATGCGGAGGTGCATGTCCTCCTCAAGCGCGTGCCGTACCTCTCCTCCCTCGCCATCGACTTCTCGCCCACCATGGTACGTCTTATGTGGATGGTGCCTCGGGCCGGCGCGCTTCTCCACATTGCGCAGTTTGGGTCACGGTTGACGGAGTGCCTCCTGAGCAACCTCCAGCTCTCCGAGTACGAGCTGGACCGTGCTCTTCCGCAGGCCGCACTAATTCCCCCAAACACCCAACTCGTCGTGCTTGCTATCGGCTGCGTGTTGCACGAGGGTCGTTCCGACGCACAAAGCGACCTGATGAAGTGCGCCGCGCTGGTGCACAGGCTCTTTCCGAACCTGGACCTCAGGCGATGCCGCGCATGTCCCCCGAAGTCGGACCACTGGGAGACCACGGGCGCGTGGAACACAGTCCTCACCGAGGTCGAGCGGCTTCGGCATGCGGCGGTTACTCGGATGGCCGTTTAGCGGCTGTAGCACCCTGACATCCCTGGATCCATTGACGCATATACCCATGTTCAGTGGGCCAATGCACACGGGCTACGCTACCACGGGATGTATCAATAGCAGGACGATATGGTCTTGCCAGGGCTCTAGGTATGGTGTGAGTACCAACAGTCTCGTAGAGCCTCATGCCGTACTGACCACCGCTTTCATCTCCGTAGGTGGTGCACTAGAGATATCGTCCAGGTACCAAACAGTGATGTACTTACCTTGATGATGCGTTAACTCGCCCTCAACGTCACGAGCGGCGAAGACATGCATTCAAAGTCGGCTTCGCTTGATACCCACTCTTTTGCCGAACATACGGACAGTGCGCTGCCAATGCGGTCTCACCGTGTGGCTATATGCGCCACATCTTGCGAGCGCGGACAGACCCTGGGCATTTCGCAATGGATGGGTGCTCTGAGGTATAGATGCTGTTCGACTATCATCCAGGGCGGCCACTTGTGATGATCATACCGCCCGAGTGCTCGCTCGGATGCGAACTCGGTAAGTTTGCCTGCTACTACCACCCGGCAGGTTGCAACTAGAGGCAAAATATTACCTTTGGATGCGACTGCTCCCTCTAAATTGTACGTCGTTTTCTTTCAATGCCGCATAATCTGAGGTATCCGCTGCTCACAGTTTGTCAATGCAGGAAGGTGTCCGCCCTACACCACCATGACCAACCGTCAAAGATGTTTGATTTTGTGGGTGTCAGTGGGCTCACTGGTATGATTTCGCGTCTATCTATCTCGCTCATTTCTACACCGCAGCACGCTCGCCGTCTTCCTAATTCAAACTTGCTTGCCGGTGGCGAGACGGCCGGTCTTTTTGGGAGGATCTCCGCGGTACGTCTGTGTCTTGCCGGTCGTGAGCGACTTATGGACAGAGTACTTAAAGGGTCTCTGAGCCCCGAGGACGGCGGACTCAGCTTCGCCCTTCGTTCTCTCCTAATTCCTCGTGTCTCAGCTTCTCTTCGCGCACGTTCCTTCTGCCGCGTTTCGTGAACTTGTTCACCATGGTCGCCACCTTCATCCTTACTCGCACCTTCGCCATCTCTGCTCTCTTTGTTGGTGGTACGTCCCAGCTAGCTCACAGTCACACAGCGTGCATGCTCACAGAATGCGTTTGCAGCGGTTCTGCCGTTCGCCATTGCCGCGCCCCTTCCCTCGCCGGAGGTTGTCCGCTCTTTCGTACGCCTCAATTTTATTTGCGACTCACGGACAATGCTGAAATTCCTATCCCTACTCAGTCCTTCGACAAGCGGTTCTGCCGCCAGATGAGCTGCCTGTTCGAGGTCCCCACGGACACTACGGATGGCCCCTCAACGGAAGCTGCGGACACTGACGCGCAACTCACCAAAATGGCGTCGGACGGCACGGAAGCTGTATTCGTCGCAGGGGGCATCGAGCCGGAAGAGGGCGATGTCGGAGACATTCCTGTGCGTACTTCCTGTCTACTTACATGGTGGCTTCTTTTAACATGGTGCTGATCGCGAATCTGTGTCTCTAGGAGCCTACCGAAAGCTTTTGAACCACGCGCACTCTGCAGCTCACAAGCCCCCGGCCCCCCCCCCCTTCGCTTATTTCCAAGCCAACTCGAGTCTTCTGCCCATACCACTAGCACTAGCACTCCAGCGATGCGCCTCACCTAATGTCTATTGCCTGACATCCCCTCCTTCACGCCCCGAGCCCTCTTTCGTCAGTTTATTTATTGGTTTCTTGTTGCCGTACGTTATCCTTCAAATTCTGCAAGACAATACAGTCAATTGCAAGTTGGAGTGGTTCATCGTACGCACTCGACGATGCCCTGCAGCTTATTGCCCGTTGATATGGGCCTGTGAAGGCCTCATTTAAGGTTTGTTCAAGGGCATGTGGTGTAGTTGGTTATCACGCTCGCTTAGCATAAGACCATTGTGTAAGGTTTGCGAGAGGGGTCCGGTTCAATCCCGGACATGTCCATTTTGCTCGTCCATCTATGGTCGTCTCGGCGGCGACGTTGCAAACAGACTTGCAGAGACAGTCGTTGTGAAGTAATATGGAAATATGCATGGTGTTCGCCCACGCCAACCTTGTGAGTTTTTCCGAGCCGCGGAGAAACACTACAAAGGACGGACTAGCTCGCCGCAGATGTAGATGTTCAAACTTTTATGGTATCAATTACCACCACCAATTCCCAGAAAAAATCATACGAGGCACAAGTATCTAGGTTCTATATCGTACAACGCATCTCTACACAGGGACCTTCTCGTTGATAGACTTTTCCGTCCCAGCGTCCTCCTCGTGCTGCACGGCCCGCTCGCGCTCCTCCCTCCGGTCTCCAAGCCGGCCCCCGATGTCGCGAATAACAAGCCATGCCGGCACCAACGCGATGCCCCACAGCCCGAAGTTGACCGCGCTGGCCCCGACGGCCGCGAAGCTGCTCACACTCGACAGCCCGTAGCTCACCGCCTGCGCCGCGCTCTCCGTCCCACGCAGCAGGCCCGCGATCCGCACGACGTCCTCTGGTGTCTTCGCGAGGTGGCCGATGACGAAGTACAGGTAGAGGTACTGCAGCTGGAACGAGAGCACGAGCACGAGGAACAGCGTGAACGCGCTCCCGAAGCCCGCGACGCCCCAGTCGAACGTCGGCTTCGTGCGGTCGAAGCGCGTCGTGAGGATCGTCGACCAGATCCACCACCCGCCCTGCGTGGCCAGGATGAAGAAGAACGCGCCACGGGCGCGCAGCTTCAGCTTCACTGACTTGTTGTCCAGGAACCACTGTGAACATATGGGTAAGAATTATATTCGGGTATTCGAGCAAGTGTGCGTACCCCGAGCAGGTTTCCACCAGTCAATGCCACGATGGCGGAAAGGAAAGAGCCCAGCGCGCGAGCGCGAACGCTGAACCAGACTGTCGTATAAAACATCAGCAAAATTGAGGGGTCTAGGAGGAGGTTGACGCACGTGAAAGGTAGGTGAACATCACAGCCTCGGAGAAGACCGCCTGAGCGATCAGAGGCACGATGAGAAGGAACTGCAAAGCAACTAGCGGTCAGATAACCTGCGTCGTTGAACTAGACGGTATACGTACTTCGCGAGTGCAGAACAGCTTGACCGTCGCGACCAGCTCAGACTTGGTGGAGCCCTGGATCTCGAGCTTCACAGCCCGCCCGTCCGACCGCTCCACCTTTTTCGGCGGCGTCAAGAGCAGGCCCGCGAACGGCGCAAGGGACTGTAGCACGATGAACACGATGTACACCGTGTACGAGACCTTGCCCGCCTCGCCGTTCTTCGAGTTCAGGCCCAGGTTGACAGCGCCGCCGATGAGCTGTCCGAAGACACGGAAGGTGAGCCAGAAGCCGAGGAACTTCCCCTGGTTGTACGGCTCAGGGTAGGCGAGCGCAATCGCCGCCTCGGCCTAAGTCACACGGTGTTCAGCGACGAGAAGAGTAGCGCTAGGTATAGCACGCACCATCCAGAAGAGCCCGGCACTGAGTCCGCACAGCGCGGCGCCGACAAGTACAAGCCATTCCGTGCCGAAACGGTTGTTCGTGTACAGGCCCGCGGCGTATGCTGTAACACATGTCACGATTGAGGAAGCGGCTACGATGGCGGCAAAGGTGGCGACTCACGAGCATAACCCATCGTTCCGATGATGAGTACGGACTTGATACCAATGACGTTTACTAGTGCGCCTTAGGGAAATGGGTTAGCTATGATATCTTCCCTACGTGCGAGTAACATACTGGAGAAGAAGCAAGAGAGGACCATGCTATACGAGAGGTTAGCGGAGGGTAAAACATGCATGAGACAGTCGAAGACGTACAGGCAGAATGTGAGGGCGTTGGCGGCGCTGAGGGGAGGCGCGGTTAGAGACTGTTCTGTCTGCGGACGCGGTGCGCGGTGAGACTCACTTCACGAGATGCGGGCCTGTGTACGGAGTCAGTATTGCACGTTGACTGCGATGCGGAATTGATAGACTCACTAGCTTGACCACCCGCGCCTAGCGAGTTCATGGCGCCCCAGATGCCTGCGTCGGAAAAGTGTCAGTTCAAACGTTGCCGTCCCGTGTATATTCGACGCACCCGGCGCGAGGAAGTTACACAGGCCAAGGATCACCGCATTGTAGAAGGTTGATCTGTACCTGTGAATGCCATGACGTCAATTGCAATGATCGGCCTCCCCGAAAAGTAGCGGCGTACCATCGTGGCTTCCGGACATGATCATGAGGAAGCGAAGCAGAGTCCTGGATCGAAGCCGAGGTAGACATGGCAGCTGTGAGACTTTGCGCAACAGAGGATGCGACGAGCTCTGACCCCGCTCCAAAATGACTTTTGAAGGGGAGAATTTGATGCGCTCATCCCGCCAGAGGATGGCGTAATCCGCGAGGCGAAATGGCGACGTGATTTTGGCCTGCCATTTTGAATCTTGTGGACCCCGGTCTTCCAGAGGCACCGTCCAACACCCGATGAGGGATTGTCGATCAGGCCCCGGCCCCGTAGGAAGAACAGCTTATTCTGGCGCGGTTGTAACGGAATTGGGCACAAGTACAGTGGCGAGATTAGACGCCCGTGGGAGTACGAACTGGCGCCCCTTTCAGCTGATATGCTTGGGCGTGCGTGCTACGGACGCGTTTATCGCATGCTTCTCCGCCGATGACGAAAGTAGGTGCCATTTCTGAGTGGGGGAAGTGCGCCTCTGCAGAAGGCGAGGTGGTGTCGACTGAAGCAAGCGAAGGACTTCAAGCAAAGCTGGGCGGACCCGGTACGATCGAACTTCCCGTATGACCATTGCCTCAGTACGAGACCACAAACGGTTCAGGATGACATCTGCGGATGAGCGCGAGTTTTGAGTTTCATCGAGGAATACATACAGCCTCAACTAGACTCACTGATACTAAAGAGGTCTAAACTACGCGTTCGAAGCTCCGTGCGAGGATGGGCAACCCAAAATTATGCACCTCCGGTATAATTCGGATTGATTGCGCGTCGCGCGGCGCAACCAGAGCCTATATAGATCATATTCGTCAGTAGAAGGACAACACTGCCAGCACGAACGCAAAGAACGCTTGCATCATAGTACGATCTTCTTCCTGGGTAGGACGAGATCAACATGTTCGAGCACTTTGTTCCATACAGGCTCCTCCCGCAGTGGGTGGCGCGCGGCAGTACGAGACTTTTTCGTGTCGATGTTCGGGAACAGCTTGGCTACCAGCATCGCGCATTTGGACAAACGGGGTCCCTCGGAGTCCGAGTACTGACCGCAGTCGGTCTCCGCATGGTCGACTGTGAGTACTTCGATGCTGGAAGAGCATGGTAGGGGGTTCGTCCGCGCTCGCCGCCCTGAGTACCCTTTGAGGTCGTCTAGAGTGATGCGCAGGTGATCGAGATGGAGCACCCGGAGCCCAGAACCGCAGCGCGCCATGTCCACGAGCGCGGAGACTCCGAGGCTTGAGCCTTGATGTCCCCAAACCGACCACCGGCCGAGGTCGACGGACAATGTCGAGAGGTGTGGCCATGCCTCGGCGATGGCGCGCATATCAGCAACGGAGAAGGCCATCACGTCTGCGCTGCATTTGAGCGAGAACTCCCGCACAGAGGAGATGCCGAACAGGGGCTCCAGGGCCGACAGGACTTCAAACGGGGTCTGGAAGCGCGCCTCCCCCTTGCTAGGTCGCTGAAGATCCAACAATATAGAGTGGGCAGCGGGGAACCGTTGGACGAGCTCGGCGCATAGTTTCCTGCATCCTGTAGTGGTCGAACAGATGCCAGGATCGATTCGGAGCGAATGCAGATTAGAGGCGGATAGAGGTACATAATAGTGACGTGTCTCCGACCGCGAGGAGCAATCGTATTTCAGGGCTAGAGTTTTCAACGGTAGTAGTTCGAGGGGGAGGGAATGTGTTGCCGTTTCCGAGGGAGGTGCGAGTGCAATCGTGAGGCTTTCCAGCTCTTGAAGCGTGTCCAGCCTGGCGTCTCTGAGAGCGTCCGCAGAAACTACACCGAGGATCGTCAAGATACGCAACTTCGGCATACCAGAAATGCCGGATAGGCTGGCACAAGAGCTGATTTCGAGCTCCTGAAGCGTAGGTGACAGGCGTGCGATGTTCCGTAAGAGGAGCGGAAAGGTGAGAGCATACTCTTCCTCTGAGGACTCCACTCCGTGGGTTGGAATGAAGTGGGCAGAGAGTTTGCGGAGACATGGCCCGGCAAGAACATCGAGCAACACAACCTGATCTGTACCACGCATAAGCCAACGCACTTCGCGCAAGGTGGGAAGCATCGGCTCCGTGCCGGCTAAGCGTGCGAGGTGGAACCAAACTGAGGACGAGATGATCCTCCCTAAGGGCTCCGGGTCTTCATCATCGTTATAGGCGTTGGGGTAACAGCATAATCCAGGGTTGTACGTTTCATGTAGGACGCGAACGTACGCGGCGTATTCGCGAAATCGCGTCCACTGGTCTTCGTTTGGTGTATCCGTAAGTACCTATTAGGGAGTCGGTCGCGCAGGCATCAGTACTTGTGGCGGTCGCTATGTATGCAGGCACGGCACGTACGTAGGTGTCATACTCATGGCCTTCACCCCAGTCCTTGTCCCCCTCGCGTCCGTGTTCAAGTTTCCGAAAGTGTGGCGCGAGTAGCTGGAGCAGCGGGAGGACGGAGGGGAGGTATTCCCACAACACTCTGAGCGATGGATCGCGGAACGCCCGACATACACGCGCACATCTTGCAAGAGTTTGTGTCTCCGCGTCGTTGTGGCACGGTTCGTCATCATGCGTCTCGCTGCTTTGGCGTTGTCGTCCAACGTGTTGAAATACTTCGAGGAGAATGTCTTGGTTCAGGAGGGCAAGAAGAGCCATGCCTGGAGGCGGCGTTTGTCTCCCGTAGAGGTAGCTCAAAGTGATGGTGGTGGTACAGGTTCAACAGGAATTCGCCTCAGATTCGGCTGCTGCAGGTTTGTAGCGATCAAAACATACAGTACATTTAGGGCGCGTATAAGCTCTAGCTCTCACTGTGATACTACGTCATGTTGCGAGAGACTCGGTAGATTTTACACACCTCTTTCAGTCGACCAGGAGAATCGCAGTTGTGCGTAAGAATGAGGGAAGAATGTCCGCAACAAATGGATATATGTAATGTACCGAATCGAATCCAACGTACTGTACTACTGCCCCGACTAAGCATCAGCTTAGTATCCCGCCGCGCCTGGTGCGGAAGTCCCCTCGCGTTTGAGGCGGAGCAGAACCTCCTTGAAGCGGGTCAAGTCAGTTGCGCCCGGGCCCGTCCGCGCAATGGTTTTGCTCTGAGAGTTCTGCAACTCGATGACCTCGCAGATGCGCTCCCATGTCGTGCCCTGCGAGAGCGAGGCGTTCAGGGTGGCGAGGAACTCTTCCTCAAGATCCCTGAGTGTTTCACGCGTTAGCGCTGGGATGCCCTGTATGCGGACACAGGACGCACTTGTTCTCCCGGATGTTCCGCTCCTTCTTCGCCGCATACTCCTCGTAGAATTGGTCAATGGCGTGCTCCGCCTTCCCAATAGTCTCTTGCCGCTTGGCTCTTGACGCCTCATCCCGGGCCTTGATCTCCTCGGCCTGCTTTTCCCGCCAATCCCTGCGCATATACTCAGTAACCACATCTACTGTCGCAGTGCAAGACAAGTACACACTTGATGACTTGAGGCTCATCTTCCTCTATGGCTTGGTTAAGAATAGGCGTGGACGAGTACGCGGGTTGCGGCGCGAAGGTAGGGGTAGTTCCAAACGCAGACTGCTGCTGCAGAGGTGGCGAGAGCACTTGCTGTTGGTGCTCGTCAGCTAGCCCACCCATACTACACTGATTGAAACACTCACCGAAGGGACCTCAATGTCAGGGAACTCATTCTCGAACTTCTCGATCTCGTCATCACCCGTGACCTTCACATCCCGCGGAGGAGGGCTGCTGAAGTCGGAGAAAGAGGCAAAGCTCGCGGTCGAGCTCAATGGAGGTGCCACAGGTGGTGCGGAGGGCAGGGAGATGTCGCCGGAGCCGTCTAGCGAGATCTCGGGGAAGGCAGACGCGGCGCGGTCCAAGTCGAGGTCATCGCCAGTGGCAGTCGCGTAAGTCCCGCCGGTGGGCGTACCAAACTCCTCGCCCAGAAGCTCGCTCTCGCGTTGCAAGAAGTCACTCATACTATGGAGCTCGTCGCGGTCCTGGTCGTTGTAGTTGTTGACGTATAGCTGCCCGTCGTCACAGCTAGCGAGCGCAGCGTACAAACAATGCCAAACAACACAATGGGCGCCTAATGACGCTCCCCGACCGCATCGCCCGACGCCCGACGTTAACTTGAACGTCGACCACGCCCTCCTGCGATTTGATGCTCAAGCAGCGCGTGCCTCTACTTGTCTGCTGCTTACTTTTATTGTCTCAGTGTCGAAATCGCGGAACCGCGGCACTCATTTAGGATGACGGTCGACAGGTCTGGGGGCTATATGCTCTGAGGTAGAGCTCACTGGGGTTGCTGTCGCTTGGCCGAGGTACACGTTCAACGAGCCCGGGACTTCCCTGTTCTATGCTGCTAGGCCGGGAGAGGGTGCTGGGCTTGGACCCTGGTACGGATACGATGTCTTTGTGTCGAGGAGCACTTATTGTGCGTCTGCTATTGTTCTCTGCCTCACGCTCGGATGTGGCTACGACCACGGCTATGGTCCTCGGGAGGCCCATAAAGCTTCCAAAGCGGCTGTCCGTCCTCTCTTCATCTTTGACTCTGCACACGACCTCTTGACGAGCTATGAACCGACATCAGCCTCCTCCATCTTCCGACCAGTACTGGGATCGCAACCCGCGTCCCCGCGCTCCTTTAGCAATCACTGTGCCCCCTCCAGACTACCCTGTCGAGTCTTCACGCTTCTCGCCCGAATCTCCTCCCCTTCCACGACCCACCCACAAGCGATCGCAGTCCGCCTGGACGAACACGAACACGCTCAAGTCGGACGCGACGCCGCCAAAGGATCCCGAGCTAGGCCCGGTGTCCAGTCCTCAAGCCCCGCATTTCCGCGACAGGTTCACCAAGTTCTTCTTCGACATTCGCATGGCCAGACAGCGCGACCCAGTCCTCCTTCCGATACAGCAGCCTCCTCTGCAACAGTGGCGCGGGATCGAGAAGCAGGACCAATGCCAACACTGTCACAAGAAGCGGAAACGGGACAAGCTGCTCATCATCGCGATCATCGTGTTTCTGCTGTACTTGTTCAGCAACATGGTGTTCTTGAACGTCCGTGTCCTGAACATGTCGTCGCCACCACCGCCACCCTCCACAAACTCAAGCGCCTCATCCTCTACGTCCTCACCCAACACTCTCTCTGCCGACGCTCAGCAATGCATCTCGCAGTACACTCTCAATGCGCCTACCGATCCGCAGTCGTATCCATGTTCGACGTGCTACCCTGTGCTCAGCGCAGTTCCCTCGAACTTCTCCGACGGGAACTCCCAGGACGCCCAGACGATCGCGGACGCGGTCCAGTTCTGCGGGCTGCGGAGCATATTTGAGACGTCGAACAGCGACGGGCAGGCGGCGCTGTCGACGGGAGGTTGGGACAAGGACGTGCGCTTTTGCGCATGGTCCGGGGTGAAGTGTGACGGATTTGGACGCGTTTCCTCGCTGTGAGTCCCCTATATGCGCCAATTGTTTACACTGCTGACCAATAGTGTTGCAGACAACTCTCGTTCCCTTCGGTCCCTGCGAGCATTCCAACTGAGATCGGAGGTCTGACAGGCCTCACCAGCCTGCAGGTCATTGGAGACACCAACGTACCGGGTAAGCATCCCCGTTCAATGCCTGGCCGTGTTAGATGTATTGACGCGTTCTTGTGCGATAGGAGGATCCTTACCCTCGACCTTCGCCCAGCTGACAGGGCTTACGAGCCTTGACCTTGAGTCGACGGCTATCACCGCGTTCGACACAAGCTTGTTTACGTCGTTGAACAAAGTCACCACCCTTACCTTGGTCAAGAACGCGAACATGGGAAGTGAGCTGCCATCGAGCGTCTCTGCTCTACCTCTGCAAAACTTGTGCGTACTTTCGTATACCTCCGTCCGTGGCGTGAGTTGCTGACCATCACTCAGGGTCGTCAACAACCAAGCATTGGCCTCAGACACGCTCTCTACGCTCGTATCCAGTACCTCTCTCCAAGGAAGCCTGAAGCTCCTGTACGTAGCCTACCTTTCTTCCGTCTTGTACACATCCTCACCTACCTCATACAGCGATCTGTCTTCCACCTCCCTCTCAGGTTCTATCCCTTCCGGCATCTCCTCGTTCACCTCCCTCGTCGAGCTGCACCTTGACGGCAACTCGCTCACGAATCCTCTCCCCTCGTCCTTCCCACCATCCCTCCGCACGCTCACGCTCACGAACAACACGCAACTCTCCGGCGCCGTCACCTCCGGCACCTCCTTCTGCGCGCTCTCGGGGCTGCAGACGTGCGACATGCGCGGCACGGGCCTCAGCGCGCAGGGCGCGTGCGGGCCGTGCCAGTTCCAGTGATGCACGCCGTCGCCAGGAACTTCCGCCCGACATTCATTTGCGCGTGCTTTGCCGCGATTCCTCTCTCCCACCCTCGTTTGTTAGATTCATTCGACCCTCATGACGATATGCATGACCGCCACGACACTCCTTTGTAGCCTACTCTGTTATTCGATCTGTATCCCTGTATCGACGCCCCTCGTTTCGTTCGGACTGTATGTATAATTATTGTTCCCCTCGCTAGATCTGCTGTAGCATATAGCTAGCTGTTTTCGTGTATACTGCCATGTGCTCTCTCTGGACTGTCTGTATAGTCTCGACGTAATCATCAAGTTAATGGTATCAGTTGTCGTTTTGACTGAGAATCGGCCTCATCTCTCATAGTAGCATTGGGATTCTGTGTAAGAACTGCGAAGGTACCCGACACCGTTTACATATAATCAGGCACCTTGAGTTCGTGCTTCCTTTCGTTCTTACCACCATCCCCCTGGTTTTGTTACACCTGCTCGCCCCACATCTCCAGCTGCTATGCTCGTCAGCCTATCCCAACACCTCGACGATATTGGTTTCGACACCTTGGGCAGCTGCAGATGATACAACGGCGCATATAGCCAACGCCCCGGCTCAAGAAGTTGCTTACAACAGCTACACACATGCAGACTTGCGCACGTTCATGCAGCATGCGTCGACGTCGCCGCGACGTGCAACGCGTGGTCGCGGCAGAGATGTGCAGCCACAGGAACGGATCGTCTCCTTGGACATCGGACAAATGACGACGGTGTGGATCGGCGTTCGAATGTGTCGAGCACTCTGCGACCTCGAGGCGCATGTTTTGGACTCTTATAATCAGCGGTATGTTCACAACACAGGGACCTGCCCCGTTGCTCAGTGCTCACCATGCCCAAATTCATGTCTCGCATATACAGGACTACCTCAGGGCCCCGCGCCGATCCCAACACCGAGTCCATCACGTCAAGCGCAGTCCTCGAGGGTCTCAGCGCCACCTGCTCGAGGACTATGTGCGTGTCGCGCTTCCCATTGGGATTCCCAAGGCTCGCTCACATGGTCTCCGGAGAACGCGGTCACGTCGCGTTCGGCCCACAAACTTCCTTGGTTCTGCCACATCCTGCGCTGCTCTACGATTCTAGACCCCCGTATACTCGAGCACGTTCGACTGCTGTAAACGAACGGAGCAACCCAGGAGCCCATCCCACTGGCAAATCCTGCCCGCACGTTCAAGAATCAGGGGGCGCCGCGCCCTAACCCCGCGACCAGGACCCGCGATACCGATTGCTGGACAGCCCCGGTGCTAAGTTTGTCCTGGAATCCGAATATCCGCTGTCATTTCAGTGGGAGATACGGGGGCGAGCCACGCGGGCCTCATGTGCGAACTGATACCGCGCATCACTGAGCAGCAGCAGTGATATCAGCTCCTGCCGTGTTCACATCGCGCTTCCCCCTGGCGCCGCCGAGCGCCTCGGCGACGCGCGCGCTGTGGCATATAAGCTGCACGTCGTCCGTGGATCCGCGCGCCCTCCCCCCTGTCCGCCCCACAGTCGACTCGGAGAATGCAGCTCAGCTCGTTTATCGCGCTTGCGCTCGCAGCCGTCGCGGCCCACGCGTGTCCGGGCGAAGAACACGACCATGCGCATGAGCACTCGCGCCGCGCGTTTCCGCAGACGCCGCTCACCCCGCCGTCGAGGGCGCTCGAGTGGGGGGACGTGAACATCATCCACACGACGGACAGCCATGGGTGGCTGCTCGGGCACCAAAAGGCGTCTTTCCCGGAACCCAACTATAGGTGCGTCACGCGGGCGTGGGCGGAGTATGCGGCGCGAGCGAAGACCTGAACTCCGCATGCAGTGGGGACTTCGGAGACTTCGCGTCCTTTGTGGCGCATATGAAGCAGATCGCGGCGGTGCGTGAATTCCAAACTGTGTACACGGCAGATAACGAACGCGTAGTGCCCTGTAGGAGAAAGACGTGGACCTGCTCTTGGTCGATTCTGGAGATCTTCATGATGGTACGTTTATATGTGCTTGTTTGTCACAATATCAAGAAGTCTCACCGCGTACACAGGTACCGGCTTGTCAGATGGTTTCCCAGCTGGCGGGGTCGATGCGCACGAGGTAAGCCGTGCCCACGCGTGAAAGTGTATTACCTACGATTCTAACGCGTTTGCAGAGCAACAAGTTCATCCTGGACCTGCCCTACGACGTCATGGCGATTGGCAACCACGAGCTGTACATTTACGCCAACACGCACGATATGTACACGAACTTCGCGCCGAAGCTCAAGGGACGCTACCTCTCATCGAACGTAAACATCACGGTTCTCAACGAGGCCGGAGAGGCGGTCAGCGTCCCCGTGGGTAGCCGGTTTACGAAGTTCAAGACCGGGAAGTAAGTCGAATTTGCGGCTATATGCATGCAAACATCGCTGACCACGAACGTTCAGGGGTCGCAAGGTGACCAGCCTGGGTGTGCTGTTTGACTTCACCGGCAACGACGTAAACACGACCGTGCAGAAGGTCGAGGACATGGTAAAAGAGCAATGGGTCTGTTCTCGTTCACTCCAAGTTGAGGTACAGTCTGTCTGACACCGTAGATCGTGATTGACAGTTCACGGAGGCGATCAAGGAAGAGCCTGACTTCTTCCTGCTCGTGGGGTGCGTCGATCTATGATCTGCGTCAACGAATGTGATGTGATCCTAACTTTACGCTTTCCAGACACATGCCAGTCCGGAAGGACAACTGTATGCGCAGAATGTACGACGTCAGGTAGACAAGGCGCTGATATGTCTGCTGTGTAGGGCCCACTGTGTTCAACGCAGTTCGTGCAGTACACCCGACCACTCCTATCTTGATTCTCGGAGGTGCGCCTAGTCTCTTGGCCCATACTAGACGGTAATACTGAATATTGCATAAAGGTCATACCCACATTCGTGACTGCTGTGAGTACTGCTAGTAACAGAAGCTGGGGGGGCCGAACTGAATAACCGGACAGTGCAACTGGACGGCCGTTCTATTGCTCTGGAGAGCGGTCGCTACATGGAAACTGTCGGTACGTCCGCATGCTTTTTGGCCTAATATCAAGGATGCCTCGCTCACCTACACCGTTTGCTAGGCTGGCTGAGTGAGTTGAAGCTCTAGTACAGACATGCTTAGCGCGCTAATTAGTGTTTGACCAGGTGCGAAGCTCGATCAAGGTCACGAAAGCCACGGAACCAAGAAGAACATTACCTTTACGCGGCGGTATCTTGACCCCAACCGTGTTACCTTCGAGGTATGTCCACTGACTGTGATGCTTCCTGCGGTCACTCATTTCTTGGATCGATACTTTCCAGTACCACACCCGCCGGAGCAACTTCACCTTCGACACGCTGCAAGGCGCACTAATCACCAAGGGCCTCAACGCACTCTCGAAGCGCTTCAACCTGAGCGATCTCTTCGGCACCGCCCCGCACGACTTCACTATCAGCCAGTCCCCCTTCCCGTCCAACGACTCGCTCCTCACGCTCTTCGCCGCCGAGGCGATGCCATACGCGCTCACGCTCAACAATACGCGCGCGGACGTGCCGAACATCATGATCACGAACTCGGGCTCGCAGCGCTTCGACGTGTACGCCGGCCCGTTCTCGAAGAACGACCAGCTGACGGCGTCGCCGTTCGCGGACTCGTTCCTCTACATCGCGGACGTCCCGTTCTCGGTCGCGAGCCAGGTCCTGCCCGCGCTGAACCACGCTGGGGCGAACGAGCGCCGTACGTTGGAGGAGCGCGCGCTCGAGCAGGAGCGGGAGATGTACGCGCGCGGAGAGGTGGATATGCGCTACCTCAGGTGGCTCGAGGACATGGACCGCCGGAGCAATGGTCCTGAGCGGAGGGCTGCGCGGAACGCGACTCTTGGATACGTTACTCATGATGTACGCCTGTTCGCCCATTTCGCCTACGATTGCGTGCTAATTTTGTTCGTAGGACTGCCCTGGTGTTGGCGACGATGTGCTGCACGCACCTCTTGTAAGCTCGTTTTCACCATAGTTCCTGTCACTGCGCTCACGATTTTTCTAGCCGTTCTTCTCTTCACCCGACTTCATCGGCTCGGACCCTCCGAGCGTGTCAGACGACACGCCCATCGACCTCGTCTTCGTCGACTTCATCGAGACGCAGCTCGTCCAGACCCTCAACAGCCTGCAGACCACGACGAAGTACACCACCGCGGACGTGAAGTCGTACACGCCCGTTCTCTCTAACGCTGTCCTCGGCCTGTACGCGCAGAAGTTCTGGAACTGATCTTCATGCGAGGATCAAGCTGGGATTGAGTAGTGTTTTATCTTGGGATTGTTGTGGCGGAAAATGTACTGTAATACGCATGGGTCAGATCTGTGCAATATTGTTGAACCACTACCAGCTCGATATCAGGTTGGGACCGCTTGAAACCCTCTGTTAATGATTAGTGTGAACTTGAAGTCACCGATAGCTGGAAACGTTAGATCTACTCAAGCCGTATACGTGGGAAAACGAGCTTGAATGTAATGCTGAGTCGCTGATACTGATACATAAGTAATGACACTCCTCACTAGGGTCTTCGTAGTTCGTTCTTGCCCTCACACCTAGGGGACCTGCGCTCGCTGGTGCTTGCGATGGTATGCTCGACATACGAAATCTCGTCACCTCAGACTACTTGCTTGCCTGCCTCATCCCCCTGCTCCTTCTGGTGTTGAGCCTGCAAATCCTGGGCAATCCTCGAGACCTGCTGGACGTCATCTTTGGGAAGACTAGCAAGAGAGTTGTGGGGTACTTCTCCGTACGGCGGGCCGCAGCATCCTATGCACAGTATGCGAAGCTCTCGCGGAGGGAGCTCGCTGCTATGCGCGCGTCATACAAGCGAATGTCTTGGGCGCACCGACGCATAGGCTACGACCTCGGGTACACGAAGAAACTCGCGCGACTGGAGGAGTCCATCCAGACCAACGCACGCGTAGCAGAGGCTATCGCGTCCCTTGCGCGCGAGGAGTTCCCGGAAGAGTTCGAGCCTTCGAGCCTGCTTCAGCCTGAGGTTGTTGGGGACGTCAGTCGCGTACGTGAATCGATCAAGCACTTCGTGCGCGACTGGAGCGAAGAGGGCCGCGCGGAACGAGAGACAATATTCGGGCCCATCCTCGAGGTGCTGAAGTCTGTCCCGACCCAGGAACGTGCATATATGCGCGTTCTTGTTCCAGGCTGTGGACTGGGAAGACTCGCTTGGGAAGCCTCGCAACTAGGTACGTGTTCAGCGCCCCCAGTGTCGCTCGCCTATGGGCCTACACCGCATGCATGCTGGTTGTTTGCTGCGCGCTGACTCCTGTTAGGTTTCCAGACTACTGCCAATGAGCTGTCATATTTCATGAACCTCGCCTTCCGCTTCCTCCTATCTGAGAAACATACCGAGCGGCCGCAGCAGCACATCCTCCAGCCTTATGCGTCCTGGTTCTCCCACCAGCGCAGTGCGGACGCACTATTCCGCAGCGTCGCGTTCCCAGATGTCGTTCCGCGATTAGGGGACAAGCTCGCCCTCGCGGAGCAGGATTTTCTGTCCCTACGATCGCCAGAAGCTAGTAAAGGTGGCGGTTACGACTTCGTCGTGACGCTTTTCTTCATCGACACCTCGCTTAACGCAATCGAGACGGTCGAACACATCCACAGTTTGCTGCGTCCCGGGGGCAAGTGGGTCAACCTAGGTCCCCTGCTGTGGACAGGCGGGGGCCAGGCTGCGGTAGAGCTCAGCCTCGAAGAGGTACTGCGGCTGGCGGAGATGGTTGGATTCAGCGTAAGCGGACAAGACGAAGAGGGCGCGGAGAGGAGACGCACGGTCGAGTGCGAATATACAGCCGACAAGACAGCGATGATGCGATGGTTATACCAGGGGGCGTTCTGGGTCGCGACAAAGGCGCGGTAGGATACACAGTACGTGCACCTCCTTGAAGTTGATAGTGGTATCGCAATGGATGTTGACGAGTTTTGCAGGTAGCAGTGGGCAGGCTGTAATGCGCCACTGCGGTAGGGGACTTGAAATGTGACACTTCGCGTTTAGCCAGACAATGAGCGTGACCGGACGCGTTGAACACGGCGTCGCAGCCAACTTAGCCACATAACGAAACAAACCCCGCTCCCCTTTGTCCTACCCGCCCCTCTCCCACACTGGCGCCCTAATATCTACCGCCCTCACCCTCCTCCATCGCCGTCCAACCTCTCCCCCTTCCCTCAACCTCCTCAGCGAGTACCATGGGCGACTCGTGCATCTCCGAGCTCGATTTCTCGTACGTCGCAGAGGACGCCTACAACCTCCCCTGGCCGCCTCCCGAGAAACCACGTATCTCCGTTCCCGACCGGTGCAAGGTCTCTCTGCGCGCTGGAGTCGTGCCGGCGCCCATCCCCATAGACGACGACGCGATGGACATCGAAAACACTTCCTCCACTTCCTCCAATCTGTCCTTCGGCTTTCCTGTTCACCATCACGACGCGCCCGTCCAACCTCATCCCACGCGCAGGGCGACGTCGTCGCGTCGCAAGTCCATCTTGAAGACGTCCGCCAGGCGGGGGAAGACGGGTCATACGCCGTCGCAGAGTGTGCGTTTCGCACCACCGCCCGTCGCGGCGCGTGCAGAGGTATTCCAGAGCATCACCGCTACCCCGGGGCTGGACGAGCGTTCCTTCGAGGTCGGTCACGCTTGCTTGACTTCACGACGACAGTAAAGAATTGACAAAATCCATATCAACAGGAAATGCGAGCCGAATGCTACGCTATATCGGCCATAACGACTGGGAAGCCCCCACAGCCTGTGCCAGAGGGTACAGGTATATCGGAGAATCTCATGATGTCGGCGTTCACTCCGTTCGTCGTGCCGTCCGCTGTTGAGCCTGGGGTGAAGCAGCGGATGCCAGAGGAGCAGCGCGACTTTGCTATGTCGCACGACGTGAGTGTCCATTCACTGGCGGGTCGATTGTTACAATGTGGCTAAGAGTCCTGATTACAGGCTCTCAGCGCGGACTTCACGTTCGCGGCGCTGCCGATGACCAACAAAGCTTGATATACCATACCATCGCTGTACACTATGGACTCGAAGATACTACGCTGAAGGCTGGATGCCCAACAATCTTATTTGCTGTGCACGTCATAATCTTGGCACGCATTCGTGAGTGTCAGGGTCACACGTTATTAGTCGCCCTATCCGCAGGGCGACCCCACTCTGAAGTACATAGTAGACGAAGTGAGTGCGGGGAACACTCATTCGCACGCCTTACGAACGCGCTAGCTGCCTTATACGGCCAGGCACAGCAAGTCGAGTACTGACATCTGATTGGCTGACCACCTCAATCTCGAGGCTATCGAACTCCCCAGGTTTGGCCCATGTGCTATATACGCTCCTGGGGTTCTGTAGTGAGTTGCCAACATATTTAATACGTACACAGGCTGATGTTTGGTTCGTTCGGGTCCAGGTCACCCGCAGGAACATAGTGTGTCGAGCACGTCTTCACTTGTGGCGACTCCACCCATAGAGGCGGCCCAGGCAGGTTACATGACTAGCTTGCTCCAAGCCAAAATATCCTGGACAGTACTCATCCGGACGGACTTCGGCTCCTTGACCCCCCTTGCGCTAGATAGGAACAACAATCATCACCCCAGGGGAGGGTGCAAGGCGGCAGAGTCAGTGATCGTTACGGTGTTTCGTGGCGAAATGACGCCACCAGGCTTCCCGTCGTCGTGCTCGCTCGTGCTCGAAACGCGCCGCAGCGCCCAGCATCTCGAAGTGCTCGATCGGTCGGCCGAGGACTCGAAGGCCAGGCAATTATGGCACTGCTGCAGCGGGCTCGCGCAACGGTCCTGCAAGTCTGACGCCATGCCCCGGAGGCCGCGTCGCGGGTTATCATCGCGAGGTCTTGAAGCTGCAGACGCACCATTCCCCCATTCTCCCCCTCACTCTCCCATTTGTGTACACCTACCATGCCTGGAATCAACTCGGACATCCCACGCTGGCAATACCCGCCCACGTCCGACAAGGAGTGTATGTGACTTCCGTTGATTGACAGGATGCTATGTATACTGATCAACGTTCGCAGTCGACTACGCTAAACTCGAGACGCTCGACCTCTCTAAAATCACCGGGAGCGACTACGAGAACGTACCTGAGGATGTGGTGAAGACCATCGGCGACGCCTTCGCCCGCGACGGCTTCATCTACGCGACCAACCACGGACTGTCATCAGAGCAGATCCACAGGTACGCATGTCGCGATTCACCCCTGTTTTCGCATAACTCACACAACTATAACGTACAGGCAATTCAGCATCGCCCAGTATGCATTCGACGGTGTGTCCGAGGAGGACAAGGCGCGCTACGCGGCTAAGATCCTCGAGGAGGGCGACTTCACCGGATACAAGCCGCGCGGGCACTGGAAGCTCCGTGGCGTGCGCGACCAGATCGAGCACTTCTCCCTGGGCGGGCAGAGCTACACGCCCGAGCGGCGAGAGAAGATCTTCCCACCAGCGTTGAGCCCGCTCGTCGACGAGATCGAGGAGTTCACCGAGGTGCGTACCTGCCTTTCCGCGCATGTACGGATGGTGAGACTGAAGAGACGCGCGCAGTACAACCACGACCACATCTACCGCAAGATCCTTACCGTGCTCTCGCTCGTGCTGAAGCTGCCGCCGAATGCACTCTGGGACCTCGCGTCCAACAAGGACGAGCGGTTCGACCTCTTCCGATACGCGCTATACCACCCGCCTTCGCCGGACGAGGACGCGAAGACAGATGGTGTCCGGCTGCAAGGCCACACCGACTTCAACGCCGTATCTCGTGAGTCTGCCATTTGCTCTATCTAGCTGGGGCTCCGCTGACCCCGCGAACAGTTCTCTACTCACAGCCCATTGTAAGCTTGCAAGTCCTGATGCCCGACAACGTCTGGCGCTACGTGCGCCACGTCCCCGATGCGCTCGTCATCAACCTTGGCGACGCGATGCACTGTACGTCCCTACCCACCACATCCTGCCCGCACACACCTTCTCACCGCGCCCCGCAGTCATCTCCGGGGGCTACCTCAAGCAGACGATCCACCGCGTCGTCTCCCCGCCCGACGCCTCGCAGGTGCCCTACCGCCGTATGGGCGTGTTCTACTTCGCGCAGTTCAACCGCTCGACACGCCTGTCGCCGCTCGCCGCGTCGCCTGTCGCGTCGAGCACCGGCACCTCGTTCTTCGACAACGGGCGCAAGTCACCCACGGCCTGGGAGTGGGAGTGCAGCCGCGTGAAGGCGTACGGGCAGGACGGGGCGAAGAAGACGATCGAGGGCGGGCACGAGGAGGAAGAGATGATCGGGGGCGAGAAGGTTGTGCATTATAACTGAGAAGTCTGTATACTTGTACCATAGGGAGCGTATCGGGGTCGGCCTGGGCGACGACAGAACATCTGGAAGTCTACTAGGCTACTGCGCGTGAAGTGAGAGTCATTCAAATCTTAGACAACACGACGATAACAAAGTAGTAGACGAGGTGGTCGTTCGGACATTGCATGTTGGCAAGCCTGTGTCAATTGATGCGCCTGGTCTGCCAGCATCCTACAGGGGCGTCCTTCCGTCTCACCAGAAGCGCAGTCGCACACGCCCGAGCGCTGTCCGCGCCAGTATCCACCAACACGCAGACGAAGTCCCTCTCCCCGTCCCCTTTCTTCACCGGCGCCACGGGCAGCGCGACCACAGCGGCGCCGACCTCGATCAGCCCAGCGTCCTCTGCCCGAAAGACCGCCTCCCCCGCCGCACACGACACCACCACGAGCGCCGTCGTGCCCCCGCGGTGGAACCACGCCCCCTCCGCCCGGTTCGCGTAGTCCAGATACGCAGCCTTGCGCGCCCTCTGCCCAAACTCAAACGACACGTTGTAGGATTCCCCGTTGCGCGCGTCCCGCCGCGCGACGATCATGCGCAACGTGTGCTCGAGCAGCGGCCCCGCCACAGCGGCGTCCTCGAGCGCGGCGGCGACCTCCGCGGCGAGCCCGACGGACAGCCCGAAGAGCAGGTCCCAGATCTCGGCCGCGGACCGCCCGCCCGCGCACAGGTGCGCCGCCGCCGCCTCGAGCGTGAGCGGCCCCGCATGCGCCTGCACACGCCCGAGCGGGCGGACTGGGAGCGCGAGGCCAGACGGGCCTACGGGCCCGCATTCCAGCGAAGGGGGGAGCGCGGGCGCGGCGGTCCACTCGGTGGTGACGGTGAACGGTGATGCCATGACGTGCGTCGGGGTCGGGACGAGGCCCATGCCAGGGTGCGGGCTGTTGTCTGCGTCGCGAGGAATCGCGGCACACCAGAGCAGCCAGCTGTAGTCGCCGTTGCCGGCCGCAGCCTGGAAGAGCGCGCGCAGCACGTCGTCGAGCGGCGTGTGGTAGGACGGCGCGACCTGGGCAGAGAGCCCGACGACGCCGAGGAGGGAGTAGACGAGGTCGTGGGGCAGCGACGCGCTGCGCCGCCAGACGCAGGCCATCGCCTCGCCGAGCGAGAACGCCCGCGTCGCGGCCGCCGCCAGCGCGAGGGCGCCGTCCCAAAACGCCTTGCGGCGCCCGAGTACCTTGTCGTTGGTGCGGGAGGCCTGTGTGCAGCGCGCGACCAGCGCGGCCTTCAGTGCGTCCGCGACAGGCACGCGGTCCCCGCCGTCCCCAACAAGGAACGTGCGGGGGTTCAGCGCCGCCTCCTGGAACGTCCACGCGCGCTCCCACCATCGGTGCGCAAACACCGCTTCCACCTGCTGCTCGCCGTGCAGCTGCCCGAGCATGCACCACAGGAGCAGGTGCGCCCCCGCCCCCCTGTCCTGCTGCCGCTTGAGCGAGCCGTCCGTGACAAACCGCACGCAACGGTCGATCGCCTCGCGCGCGTTGCGGTCGAGGCACCCTACGAGGCACCACACCTCCGCCGCGCCGCGGTAGATGTCCGCCATGTGCGGCAGCTCCGCTTGCTTCGCCACCTCGTCGTCCTGCGGGATGCACAGTGCGTCGATCCAGAGCGCGTAGGACGTGCGGGTCGCTAGGGCGCTGACGACCCGGAGCGCCTGAGCCGTCACGCGGCGGCCCCAGGCGACGACGTAGTCCGGATTAGGATCCCAGGTGTAGGAGATGGCGATGTATGCGGGTGTGGGCACGTTGGGATCTTGGTTGACGGCGAGGAGGCAGCCGTTGTAGACGAGGTGACGGGGACGAGCATAAGAACTGGTGGCGACGTCTTGAGTGGCCGGCGGTGCAGGAGGAGATGCCGGAGCCAGTACGGCTGAGCACGGTGGGGGAACAGGGATCTGGACAGCGACGGAAGTGGTGAAGGCCGGCGGCGGTGTCCTGCTTGATCATTGTAAAGACTGTGCATCGGCAAAGATAAATCACATACGTCTGAACGTGCCCAGATACAACGCCTGCTGGAACGTATGTAGGTGGGCGGTAGGGAGAGGATGGATATGCTTGACCCGCTTGATGCCACGAAGAGGGCGGTGCAGTTGGCCAAACCGGCGGACTGCTTCGAGACTGTCAGACTTCGCACAGGGGGCCGCAGAATGTAAGTACCTGTTGTACAACGTGTTCCACTGCGCCGGTAGAGCCGCGTACTGTACCGGTGATAGTGCGTATTGCGGCGGCGGATACTGCATCGTCTGTGGGGCATACTGTACACTCGGCGGCCCTGCGGGAGGAGCGTACATTGGCTGCTGGCGCGGCGGGTATGCCCAGGGTGGAGCCGTCCTTCAAAGTGTCAGTGAGCGGACGTGTGGATAGTCACTGGCTTACGAGTAAGTGGCCGCAACCGCACTCCACCCGTCAGGCGGATAACCACCGCTAGTGTTCGTCGCGTAGACATTCTGCGAAGGCTGCTGGACACTACCCGGGCCTGCTGGGACTTGGTAGGCGTAGTTGTAACCGGACGGGAGCGGGGAATACAGGGGCTGGTAAGCGTTGGCCATAGCGAACAAGCGGAGAGCTCCCAGGACGCCTGCCAGGGCGACAAAGACGACATGTGTATGCCCGCCCGACACGTACGCTTTCGCAGATCAAACGGACACGAGTTGTATGTGCGCCGTCAGCTTCCGGGCTCTGCAAGATATCTCACTGCCGCATTAGGCGTTTGATGCCGAGGCGGACCGCGGGGGGGAGGGGGGGCGAGTGGTTGCTCGTCGAAGCAACTCCATTAATGCTGATTCTTGCTGAAGGGGCGAGACGGGGGGTGACACGTTTTCCAGAGATGAAACCTTGTCCGAAGTGGCGATCACCACGGGCAGCCCGCAACATCGGACGGCATTTCTCCCAGGGAATAAGAATCTGTATGAATGATTTCAGCCATTACACAAACAACTTTGGATGATTGTCGGTGGATATCGTCCCAAAATTCACGATGTGGGACAAAAGGATGCCTATGCTCACCACTCTAGGATGGTATGGTAGGTCGGAATGCCCGTCGTGGATGTCCATACCAATGCACCACTTCTCACTGGATCGAACTTGTCTCCCCAATAAATGTGAGATCACATATACGGATCGAACTGACTCCTGAAGCGACTTGAAAGACAAGGACAGAGAATGGGAGGTTGAGCAGGCCCGAGGAGAGGACTGGCAAATGGATAGAGAGCTCCCTAGGAAGCCAAGGTACGTACCCCTACCACGATCGGAGCGTCCATTGCTGCCGCCAGTACCAGTAGTGAGTGTGCGCAAGAACATGGTGCTGTTCCAGCTGATGGGCGGGGAACGAACGTTTAGCGCCTCTCACGTGCACGACGCGTCGCGCGTCGGCGTCAATGTCGCGTTGTGGCGCACGCCCGCCCGTTGTGGCGTCGGCCATCCTCACTTCAACCAACCACACGGATCGATCGTTGCTAACCGTAGAGACGGGGTAGATCGTGAAGGGGGAAAAAGCGGGTGTTGAGTGCGGCGACGTGCGCCGCACTGCTCAGGAGGGTGCACATCGGCGGAGAGTACGGGGCGCATACAGTCAGCCTCATCCCTTCGACAAATACATTCGCGGGGCTGACCGTTGCCACGATCTATGACAAAAGCAGAGAACAATAGGCTGTGATAAGGCGCGGAACAGGCCACAGTGGCGGCTTACCGGGAACTCGCGGCGGAGTGCGAACTGCCGCGCACACGTATAAATCCCCGCATGGACGCCTCCTTGTTCGAGTCGTCTCTTGTCTCCTCCCATGTCACTACCCATCTCCAACCACCCCCTTCCCCTCCGCTCCCCTCTCCCACCGCTACAGGGCCTCGTCGCCGCTACAGGGCCCAGTCCACCTCAACCGGCGGTTGCGCCACCGCACGCCTCGCCCTCCGACAACTCGCCACATTGGCTCGCGCCGCCCCCGACGATGCAGCCGTCGCGCAGGACGCGTAGGGAATCATGCCAATCAGAAACCACACGTCGTACGCACCTTACTTGTCTGGCACGGCCGCTCGCCACACCTTTCGACCGCGACGCCACACCCTCTCCGAAGCCCCAGATCAGCTCAAGCTACGTCCCTCTACTGCCCGGAGTGGCGCACTCATCAATCTCTCTCTATGCGCCGACGATCCTTGTGGAGCGTCGTCTTCATGCCGTGCGTCGTACTACCTGGATCCATGTGCTGATCGCGTACCAGGGCGCCCTCGCGGCAGGTATTCCATCCGACCGGGAAGAACTACTAACCAAAACGATTAGAAAGACATACACCAAGGCGATAGATTAGGATTCATCATACCGGTGGCGACTACATTGGATTGCGCGCGACGCGCGCGGGGTCAGTGGGCCGTAGCTCCCGTACCGCCACTGGGCTGCTACCTGAGTACCGTCCGTGGGTCATTCCTCCAATACCGTCCGCGGGCTATTGCTCTCGGACGGTCAGCGTGCGGTGGCTCCAGTACCGTCAGTGGGCAAGGGCGCCGGTGCGGTCAGTGGGCTACTCGTGGCTCCCGTACCGTGAACACCAGACAAGAACCGACACACCAAATTGAAAACTTGAAAGAAAATATAAAGCTTCGAAGGAACGGAGCGAAGTCGAAGGCGGACCTAGAAAAAACATTCGTCCCCGAGAGGGAACCACATTAACAGGAAAATGTCTCGCCACACGGTGCAGCTGCGACGTGATATTTGCGTCTCCGGCCAGCCATACCCGTACGGCGCCGGATGCAAAGAACGACGCACTCGTCGACACCTCGGTGGGGGCCGACCGGACAACCGACAGTAAACACATGCCGCGAACCGCGATGGATGTACGTGGTCTTACTATACGCGTCGTGCTGATTGCGCGTAACCTTAAGGACCATGTTCGCACATACTCCCACCGGGCAGGAAGCTGAGTCAAAGAATGTGACCTGGAATAACATGGCCGAGCCGTGGAATTGGGAGCATACCTTGATGCCAATGGATGCGTTCGACAACAACAGGCGGGATGCCATGTCAATGGCCCGCCTCGAAGTAGAACGTCCAAGCAGAAAGGCCAAAAAGGGACCAAGCCCGATAACCCTGGGATATTAGTAGAAGATGCCGAGCAAACACGAGGCTCTCGCGGCGCCGATGAAATGGTTTCAATGACAGGCAACTTCTCCAAGGGCCTTGAAGCCTGCAGAAATATCGTCAAACTATCAATAAAAATATGTGCGGGGAGGCACAAACCTAGGTGCTCATGGGCCAAGCATATATCGCGGAACGCGTGGTCGCGGAATGAATGGGCGAACTGACGGCAATGCATGACGATCAAGCATCTCCCATGCCATAGGGCCCGGCCCTCGAGGGCAAGAGACAAGGATACAAAAGAAAACAAATCTGCCATCGGAGAATTCAACGCCCATGGGGACAATATGAAAGCCGGCGACTTTGGGCTACATTGACTGGCAGTGTCAACGACATACTGACCGCCCCTTGCACTGCTAGTTCCTGGGACTTTGAAGATATCAATGATCATTCTCAAGCCGCCGGAAAACGAACAAAACATACCGCCGGGAATCAGAACGTTCAATGGGTCCCCTTCAACCTCGGGGGGGAATTGGGCGCTGTATGATCAAGACTGACAGGATTGTACGGCGACAGCCTGTGGAAGCAAGCCGACCGACACAGTCACGGTGAACGGAACATCCTGTACAGAGAGGGCGCACGACGCAGGGGATTTGGATAACTTTGGAAGTCCGGGTACCAAGGGCAGAAGCATGCCTATCCTTACCCTGTGCGAGGTGCTCAACGATCTCAAAATCCGAACAGTTTTTGCAGACTGGGTCGGACAGTGTGCCTAATTTTTAGGCTCGGAATGTACTAGCCTGTATATATACATCAGTAAAGGCAATTCGACAAAGGCCATTCGAGACTTACCACTCAGTTCCAAGAGGGTTAGAGATAGTTTCAAGACAGAAGCTATGAAAAGAGCCTATTGCACCACTAGAGCATCCATGAATGCATACGTAAATGAGAAATCTGAGCCGCTGCTCGGCCTGAAGGTTATGGTAAGTACACATTAGCAGTGGCACAACCGTGCATATAACCTACTCATATATCGGTTAGACCAAGTCCAAAACCGTCTGTTGATAGACACTAACGTACGATGTCTATTGCAACCCCAAATGCGCGTCAAGCCGCGGACTCGGAGGCTTGCCCCGCGACGGCGGCCTCCTCTTCCCCACGGATGCTCTCCAGCGCGGGCAGTACGTCGAGCCATTCCGACGTGCCAGGCGCAAACGAGTTGATGCAGAACGTCGTGTCGTCCCGCGACGGCCCAACCTCGAGACCCGGAAACATGCGCCCGACGACGACAGCACACGCGCGTGCGTCCGCGATTCTCGCGCGACAGATGCCCAAGGAGCGGAGCGGGTGGCCCAGCGTCGCTGGCGGATCCGCGATGTCCCCGGCCGGGACGTACAGAAGGGGCAGCCGGAGGTTGTCCAAGCTCTTGCAGTGTTGGGCGAAAGCGGCCAGGGCGCGCAGGGTGACCGCGTGCGGGTCGGGGTCCCCTTCGCTCGGGGGGTCGAACAGGGTGAACGTGCGGTCTGTGTGGCAACAGAGGCTGAGGGAGAGGAGCACGGGCCACGCCTCGGCGAATGCTGTCAAGACGGCGTCGGAGAAGCCGATCGCCTCCTTCCCGCTCCAGAGCCGCACCTCCTTTAGGTCGTGTAAGTCCAGGAGAGGCCTGACGGCGGCGAGTGTGGCCTCGGACGCTCGCTCGACGTGCCGGATGGTCATGAACATGAGGGTGAGATGTTCGAGGCGTGGGGAGTGCCGTGCGATGGTTGAACAGAGCGAGTGCATCTCGCGCCAGGAGAACGCGGGCGTGAACGGGCCGCTGGAGAAGATGAGGACAAGTTGGCGGAGCTCGGGCGAGCGGAACGTCCCGAGGAGCGCTAGGACGTCGCCGCCGCAGTCTGTCATGCGCAGGTTTCTCAGGGCGCGAAACCCCTGGAAGTCAAACCCGGCTCCCGGAGACCTGAAGTCGATCTGGAGGCGCTTGAGCGCGGGGAGAGTTGACAAAACACGCAGGGAGGCGGCGTTCGGGTACCCGTAGGCTGGCGCCTGCATCGGCGTGCGGGCTAGCCTGTCCAGGGCCTGCACTCTAATTTGCACGTCTTCGAGACCAATAAGCTCCTCTGACGTGAACAGAGCGAGTAAGTTGCTGTCGAAATCGGTGATTCGCAAGGAGGTGAGCACGTGTGTCTTGTTCAGAGCCTCTCGGAGCGGATCGACGGGAGTGGTCTCCGAGCCGGACTGCGCGCTCCAGGTGCAACGTAGAGACAGGTTTCTCAGCGATGGTGATACCAAGAGGGTGAAGTCTTCGTATGTACGCATGGGCTCCCACACCAGGTCGCGAAGGGAAGGGAGTAGCGGCGCGCCGGCCAAGAGACGACCAAGATGCGACCAGCCGTCGCCCGAGAGGAGATAGTTGCACGGAAGCAGAGAACGAACGTCGTTGGCTAAGTTGCGAACAAGAGCGGCATGCTGCCTGAAGCGTGTCCAATCCTCTGGGCTGACAGACTTTGAGAGGGTCTGCGGGGTCGGTTGATAAGTTCAGCGACCTTTCCCGACAAGAACCAATGCAAATTGCGCTCACGCATTGAAAAGGCTGCGTTGATCCGCTGAAGATGTACAATCGATAAGCGTAATCGAATTCCGGGAGGAGCGAGAGTAGAGGGCGCAGAGAAGGGAGTCGCGCCCAAAGCACTTTGACGGCAAGGTCGTAGAATGTCTTGCACACTCTGCACAGAGAGGCGAGCTGTTGTCGCTGCTCATCCGTCGTACATCCTCCTTCAAGATCTGCATATTTTTCGATGATCTCATGTAGGATATCCGTCTTTTGGAGTGCGCGTGAAGACATCGCTTTGGCTAAATTCTTCGATGCAAATTCGTCGCCCTATCTGCTGGTCAGCACTCGCCAGACACAAGAAGAGACAACGCTCACAGCGAGCTATGACAACGACATGCTAGTAGGAGGATGGCTACGTATCCGCATCAATCGTGCATATTCGCTCGTGCGGACCAAATAGAGCCAGACGCCAGTGATCCTGCGCGATATTGCTTCCGTTCGGACCGATACGCCCATCCCGTGGGGAAACTGTATTGTAGTCCTTCCTGAACTGAAGGCATAGAAATTCCAGGGAGCATATATCCCTCGTAGCGGCGCTCGCAGTGGCTGACCAGCAGTGCGCAGCCGAAATCCGTAGCTTAGCTTGCTAAACAAGTTGTCATTAGAGTGAGCGATATACCGTACAGAAATATGAGCAGTTCCCCTCTCGTCCGGACGAGCATTGAGCACGGAAATCGACTAAGCAACAGAGCGCTCCTTGCGACGCTCCTCCACAGCAAGCAGGATGTCCCGCCATCCCGAAGTAGAGCTCGAAGGTGTTTGGTAGCACAATGACTCTTTTAGCGAGTCCCCGACGTGAATGTGCGGAAACATGTTCTCGACGGCCTGGGCTAGATCATTGACGCGCGCGCCGTCCGCAATGTCGCATCGACAAATCAGTAATTCGCGAAGGGGGTGGTCTGGGCGCTGAGCAGGATGCGAATTCTCTCCAGGAGCGGCGAGGTACAGGTACGGCAGACGCAGCGTCCGTAAGCCCGAGCAGTGCTGGGCGAAGGCGTCAAGGACGCGAAGCGTGACCGACTGGAACTCGGGCTCGGGCTCCAGGGGAGGGGCGGCGAGCGCGGGGAAATCCAAGATGAGATCGGGATCGTCGGCGTCGATAGGTAACGGGTGGCAACAGATGTCAAGGCGGGCGAGCGCAGGCCACACCTCTGCAAATGCGGCGAGGATAGAGTCGGAGAACTCGAACGTGCCCTCGTTGGCGCGAATCTGTACTTCCGACAGGTGTCGCAGCGCGAAGAGAGAAGAGAAGGCATCAAGGGTGTGCTCCGGGGACCATTCGGATTCTTGAAGCCCCTCGAAGCTGAGTGTGAGGGATCGCAGTTCAGGAGCCCGGTGTGCGACCACAGAACAGACCGTTCGTAGCCCTGTCCAGGACTCGCGGACCCAGAAGTCGAGGTGCAGTTCGCGGAGGTGGGGCGAGGAGCACATTGTGAGGAAGTATGCGGCATTGTGGTTGAAATCGGTAATCTTGAGGCTTGTGAGAGAGCAGAACCCGTAGAACGCAGGCGCCAAGCTGAAGTTGAGATCGACGGTAAGTCGCTCGAGTTTGGGTAGAGTGGACATGATGCGAAGGCTCTGAACGTCTGGGAACCCGTGATGAGGGACTTGGCCACAATCCATCGACCTTCGCGCCCCAACCTCTAGCTCTTTGAGCCGATAGAGCAATTCCGGTGCGACCATCGTCAAGAGGCGGCTGTCGAAGTCTATAAGCTGTAGATAGGTGAGGGAAGGCGTGTTGGTGAGGATGTCCTGGAGCGCGCTTGGAAAGACGTGTTCAGAGCCCGGACGTGTGTTGAATGAGCAGCATAGATACAGCTCGCTCAAGGTTGTGGACACCAGGAGTCTGAGGTCCTCGCATCGTTCGCTAGACTCCCCCAGGTGCAACAGCTGTAGGTAAGGGAGAAGGGGGGCGCCACTGGAGAGGCGGGCTAGATGCATCCAAATCTGTGCTGAGGGCGCGGGTATTCGTTTGGATGGATGCAAGGACAGAAGCCCGAGCGAACGGACAAGGGCGGCATAACCACGAAAACGTGTCCAGGTGTCAGGACTGACTTCAGAAAGGGGCTGCGCGAGATCAGGCAGAAACTTAGTGAGCGATATACATCCTGATCAAAAGAAGACCATACTCACATCCTCGAACACCCACTCGGTGGGACTCCCGGAGTGTGCTCGATAGGATCTTTCATATTCTGGGAGGAGAAGGAGAAGTGGGTGAAGAGAGGGAAGATTCCACCAGAGAAATTCGACGACGGGATGATAGAAAAACTTGGATACCCTGGCTAAGGATACGAAGTGTTGTCGTCCAAGGTGAGGGTCCCGATATCCTTGTAGACTTGCGCAGTGTGCGATTATCTCGTAGAGGATATCCACGTTGTGTAGCACGGCAGCCTGCGCGGTCACCGTGCCTGCTGCAGTGCATGTGCCCTTAGCTAGCATTGACGACTAGTCTATATATGCACGCAGTTTAGAGCTGGAACATAGTTCAAGGTATCAGCGGGCTAACTTCGAGCAGGTGGGCGCACCTACGCTGGAGCTGCACCCGTAATACCTTCACTGGCTCGATGATTGATCCTATGCGCTGCAATTAGTGTCTAAGACGATATTGTCGTGGCAGCGGCGGGCTGCTATCAAACGGGAAGGCAACGAGGATTGTTGGGAGTGGCGAGAATGAAGACGATGATGAAGACAAGGACGACAAAGGCGACGGCGAGCCGGGAGGAGGGAGGAAAGGTCAATTAATACATGTTAAGTTGTTCTATAAGCCTATTTGGGATACTGAATATGTTGACCTTCTGATTCTCACGAGGGCGCTTATTTTGAGGCTTTACACGTCGCTCGCCCATTCGCGCTCGTCGTCATCTCCCTTCTGCTCGCCGTTCCTCCTCTTCCCTCCGCACCTCTCTTCGTCTGGCAACATGAACGTATTTAGGCTGCTTGGTACGCATATATGCAGAGTTGTATATGCTCGCACACTCACGCTGGCGGACGCAGGGGACCTCTCCCATTTGGCGTCGATACTCATTTTGTTGCAGAAGATCCAGTCAACGCGGTCATGTCGAGGTATGTTCTGTCCTACCGGGTACATGGCACCTGTGGCGGAAGAGGTGATGAAGAATGGAGGAAACGACGTCCTGACGCGGACAAACAGGCATTTCGTTCAAGACCCAGGCATTGTACGCCACGGTATTCATCGCACGCTACCTGGACCTGTTCTACGAATGGGTGTCCCTCTACAACTTCACGATGAAGGTCTTCTTCATCGCGAGTAGCTGCTACATCCTCTACCTCATGAAGTACAAGTACCGGTGCGCGCCCTCTTTACTGCGCTTCGTGCTATTCCTGACGCCACCTTCAATCAACCCCCCATATCCACCGTCTCACAACGTCTTCGCGTGTCTTGGGCAGGCCAACACACGACCCCTCCATAGACACGTTCCGCGTGGAGTACCTGCTCGGCCCCTGCGTCGTGCTCTCGCTGCTCTTCCACTACCGCTTCACGATCCCCGAGCTGCTCTGGTCTTTCTCCATTTTCCTAGAGGCAACCGCAATCCTGCCACAGCTCTTCATGCTCCAGCGCACGGGCGAGGCGGAGACAATCACCACACACTACCTCGCCGCACTTGGCGCGTACAGGGCACTCTACATCCCGAATTGGATCTACCGGTACGTCATCTGCTACGTGTCGCGTGCACGGCGTTTGTGTGTATACTGAGGCGCCCGGACTGGACGCGTTCGCGCTAGGTACTTCACGGAGGACATGGTCGACCCCATTGCCGTCACCGCGGGCATCGTCCAGACCGCGCTCTACCTGGACTTCTTCTACGTATACTTTACGAAGTACGTCTCTTCCCGCTCGACGCGCACTGGGGCTTATTGACCGACGGATCTTTTAGGGTTCTGCAAGGACAGAAGTTTGAGCTCCCTGCATAGTTGTCTGCGCTCCGAAAATAATGTATTGCGTTTGCCATCTTGGTTGATGGCACGGCTACGACTGCGCAGCGCGCGCTCCGACGCTTCCGAGCCCTACGCCCTCGGTATATAGGTTACGAAAGCTTCACTCTTGTAATGCATTCACGTCGTGTTTTCGCGCTCCTGACCATGTTGTGCCCTAGAACACGTCGAGCATCCCAGCTACTTGCGCATACACGGACTCCTTTGGCTTGGTGGACTCGCCACGCGGTCTCGTGTACCCGATATTGCTCCTACAACGTCCTCCAATGGGCGTGCGTCGTATGTTTGGTCGGAATGGATGACGGTTCGTGCGCCCCGTCATGGTGCGATGGCTATGTTTGCATGCGCAGTTGACCTGCCGGAGTATGTTGCTTGAAGACGCGGGGCGTATGAAAGCTGCGTGCGAGACGACGTTCAGCTAAAGACCCCACCCAACTCGAGTGTGGGACTTTGCTCAACGTCCATCTGCTCCGGGTGGAAGACGCGTCCGACCCGGCGAATGCGCGTATACACACGCCCCGCGAGCTGCACGTCCACGACGTACAGGTCGTCCGGCTCCTGCTGCCGACGACTGAACGTGAGCCGCACAGACCTGTCCGCGTCGCCGAACGTCTTTGACCCGTCCGGCCAGCAGCTGATGTGGTGCCGCTCGCACTCGTCCGGGGACGTGTACTGGTGCACCTCGAGCGGGTACGCCTCCTCCTCCGGCTCCTCGTCCTCGTCCTCCGCCGCGCACGTCGAGGACGACCCCCACGCGGGCGTGAACGACACCGTCGCCCACAGCGCGTCCTCGCACCGCCCGAGCTGCACTGCGAACGCCTCGCCCGTGACCGCATTCGCGAACACGACGCTGCGCATGTGCCAGCGCGTGTACAGCACGGGCGTGCGCAGCGCCGCCGGCCGCTCCTTGTCGCCCGCGGGTGCCGGCGCGGCGCGGAACCCGCGCTTGTCGAGCTCGACGAGCAGCCAGGCGGGGAAGAGGAAGCGGAGCGGAATGGTCCGTACGCGCGCGGGCCCGCTGCTGCGCTGGGGCGGCTGTGCGAGATAGAGCTTCCGCCACTTGAGGGCGAGGCGGCGGGCGCGTGCTGGCGCGAGGTCGTGTGCGGCGGGGTTGATGATGAGGAGCCGATGGCGCTTGAGCGGCTGCTGGTTCAGGTTGTCGGCCTTGAGGTGGGAGGGGAGGCCAGCGTAGTACTGTGCGGACTTGGCGTTGTTACCTGGTGCCTCGGTGCGCTGCAGGACGAGGCCGATGCCTGTGCGGATGCCGGTGTCGTTGCAGACATGCTGGCACGCGAGCACGCCGACGCTGAACGATCCGTCGCCTGCGCGGTCTTCGATGACGGGGAGGCGGCAGCGTATCCCGTGGCTCGTCACGGTGAACTCTGGTACTTGCATGCGAGGGTTCTCCGTGTGCCCAAGCCGTTTTCGAAGCAGTTCCCGCATGGCGTGCTAGTACAGCGAATATCAGTATAAGAATGTAGAAGACATGATGCGACTTCGTACTAATTTGCTACCGCGAAAAATGGCAGACGCGGTCTCTATCGCGACGTCCATGGGCACAGGGACCATGTCTGCAGAATGGGCAAACGCGGCTGGCGACGGCGCGAGCAGGTAACTTTCGGGGTCCCGAGATCGGGGCGAAACCTTCTCTCCTGTTGAGAGTGGGAGCGCAGATATTGGGACTCTGTCACCCCAGGCGAAGATGGTCTGGTCGGGCGACTGCTTGATGATCTCTTCCTGCAGACGCTGGAACGCGCGGCGACCCTCCCCATAGATCGTCGGCATGCTGACGTTGAAGATGCCCATGAGCGCGTACGCCTGGTCCTCGATACGCGTCGTGCGTCGCCCCGCGGCCCACGACATACGGCGCGCGACGCTGATGTCCGACAGCTTCCGGCGGAACGTCAGCACGTCCGCGTCGATGCCGGTGACCTCCCCGAGCACCCGCGCGAGCGCAGCCTTTGTCCCCAAAACGGTCCACGTCTTTGAAAGGAAGACGACGGAGTCGGGCGCGATGAGCTCCTGCAGCGTCCACCCGCGCGTGAACCACTCGCTCCCGCGGAACGCAGACCCGGGCGCAGCGGGCGACTCGTGCTTCGGGACGTCGTGCAGGTAGACGTAGCAGACCTGTGCGCGCGCGTACCAGTCGAACATGGAGTTGATGGCCTCGGAGAGCTCTGCGCTGCTCGTCTTGTCGATACAGCAGGTGTCGATCCACAGCCACTGGTAGCCGTGCGCCTCGGCGAGCGCACAGCACTCGCGAAGCTTGGCGGATGCACGACTGCGCGGGACGCCGTCTTGGTAGAGGAGGCCCTGCACTTCCTGGAAGGACTGCTCCTGCTTCTTCCAAACGTGCGAGAGGATGGCGTAGCCGCCTTTCACGTCCTCGGGTCCGTTAAAGTACTTGAGTACTGCATCTTCTGTGCTTAACAGCCACATCGTGTAAGGATCGACTGGACATGTTTACTGTATGTCAGTACTGCCGCCTTCTAACACTGCTGTCAACTCACCTGAGAAAGGAATGGACAATCAAGGACTGTGGGTCTAAGTGACTTGCATCTAGCTGCTGGGGAAAGCTTCTCGCGACGCTGGGACTGCCTGATTATATGCACTGCGGTAGAGCGTGGCGTGCGCAGCATGTCCGATCGTCCTCGGGCGGTGTTGTCATCAGTAGCGTAAAGAACCATAATGCGGTGTCGCCGTGTCCCATACGTGCCGCACCGAGGTTGATTCCGACGACAGGCAGGCGCGGAACGACACGTCGCTCAGGAACGACTGAATCGCTGATGCGTAGCGCTCTGTTATCCGCGATCGATAAAATGGTGTCGCGGGCTTTTTCATGAGATTGGAAGACATCTGTGATAGAGAAGAAGAGGGTTTGACGTCGTGCGAGCTTTTGTTGTGCCCATAGAGTTGGTGTAGAGCAGAAAAGACGGAAAGCAGCTTGCTGGCTAACGGCAGATGCGTAGAAGCGTTGTTAGTTGCTGTTAGGCCGCAGATCCCGACAGGCACAGCCCTACTAGGCTCACTGGACTCGTACAGCAATATGGCAGTCCCCAGGCAACCAGTTCAGATTCCAGAGAAACGCCAGCAGATTTAACAAGACAAAGAAGAGACTGCGTCCTCCAGCCATTATTCTGCGACGCTGAGAAAGATTGAACAGCGTCCTGAAGTCAAGGGGATGTCCTATGCGATCGCTATCTCAGCATATCGATACAGTGCGATACGTTCAGTCAAGCACTCACCAACATACTACTCCAAGAATCGAAGCCTTTCGGGAGGGATCCAGACCGGGACTGCAAGTATTCATATACGTTTTCCAATCCTCAGTTTGGTCGATCGCAGATCAGCCCATGAGGCCGTCCGGTCAGGCAAAGATTGATTGTCACATAGCGTAGAATTAAGCCGACTAGAGTCCTTGTAAGAACGCGCGAGTCGTGTTCCATAGGACTACTGCTCAACGCTTAAAACATGACGAGCCGCGCGATGCCTGCCAGGGAGAGAGGATTAGCGGCTTCATTTACGAGGGCAGATAGCTCACTGTGTAGGAAGTCCCAGTGAGTAGTTGTTTGTGTCAAAGCTGCCACAGACTCGGTAGTACGTCACGGTGGTAGTTAGTTCGAGCATGCATTGTGTACTCGACAGAGGAGAAGGAAGAGGCCAGTCGAGGAAAGGTCAAGTTTTGTTGGGAGTTAGGCTGATCGGGGTCTTGTACTGCTCCCGATGATATCTAAGGACCCCGGAGTACCCTACGTGCATAACGTTCTCACCGGTCACCTCCTCACCGCCACCACAGAACGTGTTCTCCTCGCTGCCAGCACTTGCCTGTTGTATTTCTACGTGCTGCCCAGCCTTGCTACGCTCTTTTGCTATCTGGACAACCCCCTCGCGTCGGTGGAGCTCTGACACACGCTGTCGAAGCTATTGGACTCCTCGGGCACTCTTGAACCGCTTTACGGAGAAACGCCATGTTCTTCAAAGGACTGCTATATGGTCTCGTGCTGCTACCATTGGGTATTCTAGCTGCGCTCGATGACAAGTCGAAGCTTGCGAACAGGACTATTGACCGGGTGAGTACCTGCCTACTCCGAATCGTACCCGGAATGCACCCCAAAACGCCGCAAGAGAGGGCAGAGCTTTCATGAAGGGCCGATCTGCTTGTGAGGGTGATTGAGATAAGAGGGTCTGTACCGCAGTGTATGTTCATTGCACGTATTGCTGGCAGAACACGCGGGCGGCAGGACCGCGTCAACGCCTACTGTGCAAAATGTGGCGCAGGACAAATGTGGGCGCGGAAGGGGGGATTGTTAATCACCCGCACGGCGGGCGATCGCTCGTCCTGGCATATGTCTGGGGAACGTTTGCTGAATATATGCCAACAAACGTGCCCCAGACCGTCATGATGTGCTGAGGAATCCGCCCCATAGGAATCGCCTGGGAGGGATGTGCTACCAGCGAGCGCGGGTGCTCATGGGCTTCAATGGAGGTCCCGTCCCCCGAAGGTTCGCAAGAGCACATTGGCCCTCTCTTGGTGGTCGGCTTGGGTCCGGCCAAGGATCCGACTCCAAGGTTTAACTGCCTAATCGACAAGCCCTCCATGTAAGATGAGGCGCAGGGTAGCCGCTGACGGATGCTTCGGTTGTGTGTCACACGAATAATGTTAAGGTATCTTTGAGCCTGTCCTCGTAACTGGTTTAGAACGCGGCCACAACGCTACGTCTAACCTGTGTTATGTCTGGAAACTTGCGTACAAATGTTTCTCGCCATAATGAGAAGATTGCTGACCCTCTCTCCAGACTGTGTCTCTGCGGACACACTCAATATACCCCCCATACATCGACCAAGACCTCCAAAATAGGTGATTAGCCCGTTTCCGAAGCTCACTGGATACGAAACTGACTATCTTGCAGGTGGTGGGACTTTGGCGGCGATGCCTACGTCGTATGTATCAGTTGAGATTGCGAACCAGAACAACAAACTCATTTGTATCCAGAACACCAACAAGCACATCCGCCTGACTCGGCAGGTCCCGTCTCAGATGGTGTGTGCGGTATTTGCAGCGCGGTAGTGTTTTGTAGACCTTACCGTCCTCTAGGGTTGGCTGTGGTCGCGCGTACCACTCTCCGCATCCAACTTCGTGATCGAGGTTGAGTTCAAGGTGCGCTCTGCAAAGTCTGTGCGAAGACACCGCTGGATGCTTACACCAACATCTACAGATCTCTGGTGACAACAACCACTTATTTGGTGATGGGCTTGCTATCTGGGTGACAAAAGAGCGTGCCCAGCCCGGCCCCGTATTCGGTAGCATCGGTGAGTCTTCTTGGGCAGACTGTGTATCGTCGCCATGTGCTGACCCAAAGGCGGCGGCGCAGACAAGTTCGAAGGCCTCGGCGTCTTCCTTGACACGTACGTGGCGCAGTCTGCGCGGCTCTGACAAACGCTCACTGATACCTTTCTAGGTATGCCAACTCGCGGCACCCCTACGCATTCCCGCGTGTCACCGCTATGCTAGGTGACGGCAAGACGGAATACGACCAGGAGCACGACGGCGAAGGTAGCAGCATCGGCGCGTGTTCTGTGAGTATTGGACTGCTAGCAGCACTCGAGTCCGCTCACCTCTGGTGCTGATAGGGCAACTACCGCCGGACGAACGTTGCGACGAAGCTCAAGATTACGTACCTCCGCGACCAGTACCTCAACGTGAAGATGCAGTACAAGGCCTGTGAGTAGCGTGCCTTTGCCCGCCCTTAGGATCATTTCTGACCATTCTCGACGCCCCAGGGGATGAGTGGACCGACTGTTTCACCGTCAGGGGCCTGACGCTCCCGCTCGCGCCCTACGTCGGCTTCTCCGCCATGACCGGCGACGTCACCGACAACCACGAGTACGCCCACTACTCTGCCCACGGTGCGACCATCCACTCACCCTCTCCCCTCCTTCAGCATCATCAGCGTCACGACGTACTCCGCGGTGCTCTCGAGCCCCGACGCGCAGCGCGACAAGCTCACCGGCGCGAAGGCCCCCAAGCGTGCCGCCACCTCCTCGGGTCCCCTCGCCTGGATCATGTTCTTCTTCGGGCTCATCGGGAAGCTCTTCCTCGCGTTCGTCGTGTTCGCCATCGGCGTGCAGATCTACAAGTGGTGGATCATGCGCCAGACGAACCAGCGCATTGCGGCGAACTTCGGGCCTGGATCCAAGTACGGCGCGATGTTTGCGGACGGGAAACGCTTCTGAGCGTACGTAGCGGGCGAGGGTGAAGGTGTCTGGCCGCGGTGCACATGTATGGGGTCGGAATCTTTCCATAAATATTATTTGCCAACTGTCAGACGTACGTCTGCACCGAATGAGCACTTACATGTGCGACAACGTCGTAGGAGGGATGGCTGCGTAGGGACTCGCCTATCTTGCGATAGGAAAAACATGGACAATCAGGGGATTGAACCCTGGACCTCACGCATGCGAAGCGTGCGCGCTACCACTGTGCCAATTGCCCTTGAAAATCAAGCTGTATCACACCATCAAAGCGTTATCCCCTCGGTTAAGAATCCAAGCTCAAGACTCGCCGCGATCATCCCTTAGCTTCCACCACTACCGACGTTTCACGTATATTCTTCGCTGGGACGTGTACGTCCCCGTTGCGTTAGTACATTACCATGCTACAACGCGGAACACGATTACTCACCCACTGTCCGTGTCACTGCGCAGAACGCAGCCACTCGTGCCATCAGTAGCTACCGTTGGTCCGCTGGATTCGACCGCGGTGGAACGCCAGAATGTTGGCGTCATCCCGAGCGATGACTTGCGCTGACATACTCCTTGAAATCGTACCGCTGCATCCGAAGAAATCCGAAACCAGGGAAGATCGTCGGCTACTCGCTCGATTGGCTCGTGTATGCAAATCCTCGCACTATGTCGCAACGAAGATCTTATGGTCAAGCCTCCCATCTATGTTCCCACTCCTACGCCTATTATCATCATTCGTGCTGGTCACTCAAGATCCAACTGACGCCGGTATGCCTGCGAAACCCGCTACATATGTAAGTGTGATCACGAGCCAGTACTGTGCGTCTGAGAAAGCTGATTAGTTTCCTATTAGATACTCTCCGGGCCCGTCCCTACAGACGAATGGGCACGATTCTGCCACTATTCTGCCTTCGTCTCCAGACTGAGGTGGTCCAACGCAAAAAACCCACCGGAGATCGCTCCACCTACTTGGATCTACTTGGAACGGCTCAGCCGTGGCAGGCCGCTACTCCCGTCTCTCCGGCATCTGCGGTGGACCTTGGCATCCGCCTGGAGTACAGAGCTCCTTCTTCTTGCGACGCCTGCTCTAGAACATCTCACCATCGACTACAACTACAAAGCCGTGACGGATGTCTCCGAGTGGGAGGATGCTGTGAATGCTCTCTTCCGCCATGTTTTCGCAGTCTCAACCAGGATAACGCACCTCATCCTGCATACTGGCAATCTGGACTTTCTTCGCCATGTGCCGCTCTTGACTACTCTTGGACAACTCCGGCAGCTCAAACTTCAGCAATTTTACGGTATGGCAGACGGCCATGGCGCAACCGAACTCCATATTCTTTCTCGCCTCCCAGAGCTCGACTTTCTGTCGATCGCTGTCGACATGTATGCTGACCCGCTTCCCGCCTTTCATGGTTTCAAGCGGCTCAGGAAGCTTATTGTCACCGACACCGGTGGAGTACAGAAACTCTTTGCGACATGCAACCCCTCCTCTCTCCGCGATTTAGACCTCACCCACGGGGGTGGCGGCTGCACCGTTGACGAGTGGATCGCAACTTCCGAGGCCGTTGCCGCAAACCTGCCGAGACTAGCCAAATTCGATTGGAGGATATCCCCAGACGACGCCGATGAGCTTTCCACGTCTGCGGACACGCTATCTCGGATGCTAAAGCCGCTGGCGTCTTTGCGGCTCCTGCATCATGTCACCATCACCATCGATGTAGCCTGCGCTGATCACGGAGTGCCAGACACACTGCTCCGCATGCTCGCCGAAGCGTGGCCCCGTCTGCGAACGTTCAGCCTGTTGTGGATGGCCGACGAAGTCGAGAACAACCACGCCTACCCTCCTATAGTCACGCCGAGCACCAACGCACTTGCCGCGCTCGCTACTTGCTGCCCCAAACTCGATCGCCTTTCCCTGACGTCTCTTTTCGTGCCCGAGGCCTCATTGGAGGACGTGATCGCGTACCCGCTGTCCAGCCATCCGCTGCGTTTGCTCTCAGCGAAGCGCTTTCGTTCCACAAATACGCAGATGGCGGCGCTGGTCCTGGACCGTTTGTTCCCCAGAATCGACATCGAAGGATCCCGCGAAAAAGAGGACGCCGGCGGCCCTAGCATCGCCGAGCACCCCAGCCATTGGGCTGAGGTCATGGGCACCTTAAAACTGTGCCGTTTAGCTCGAATAACGCGCCCCGACACGGTGGGCTTGTGAGAGTGTGGGTGCGTGCCCTATCTTTTTTTGTCAGCACCAGGATGACAGCTAATAGCTCTCACAGAGGATCGATCTGGCCGTTTGACCGCTATTAATCCCAGTGTATTACCCCCGTATTTGCTTTCACCTATGCCGAGGAGCGAACCACTATCACCTTACTGTGATCTTGAGACTCGTGCGACGTGTAATTCACATCCCTTACTTGTATATTCGTATAGTCATGCTGAGTCGTGACGTTCCCTTAGATAGCGTGTGCTTTTTCATAAAACGACTTTGGTCAGCCCCTCACCAGACCCGCTGCGCATTCTCCGTATAAGCAGCGCGACAGCACGGACATGTACCGCGAGTGGGATGATATCCACAGCGACAGTGCTCTTACCTCTATCTTTCTGCTGTACATGCAATACCTACAGGAACCCTAGCTTTGTCCGCCGACATCTGAGCTGCCATAGCCGTCAAGAACGCCAAAGTGACCGGTATGACCGCATCGCCAGCCTGTCAAGAGACGACGGTCAAGCCCGGGCGCCCTCTAGCCCTTTGTCTTCCTAGCCACTCATGCGCAGCCATGAGGGAGTAGTTCATGAACTCAACCCTCCGAGTGTGCGATAGCGCGCCGGCCATGTCGCTAGCTGCGCCCCCAGGGTTTTGCTCTCCGCTGCGCTGGCGAACATGTACAATCCGTAAATGTCTATGGCGTGGAGAGCGTCGTATGCTGGGTGAGGCTTGAAGAGCTGCGCGTCACACTGCACCACGGTGCAAGTCTGCGGGTCAACGTCGACGAGGGAGAGCACCACTATCGCACCGCGGTAGATATCCGCCATCTTAGGGAGCTCTTCCGCCTCGATTTCGTCGTCGTCTTGGTGGAGGCAGATTGCGTCAATCCAGAGTGCGACGGAGGTGTGGGAGGCGAGCCGTGTGGCGATGTCGAGGGTCCAGTTGAGTCGTAACACGGCGCCCGCGCCAGGACACGAAGGTAGGATCCTGGGCCCAGGTGTACGACACCGCAATGTATGACGTACATTGTACGGCGAGAGTCGACCGACGAGACCCCATTATGGATGAGGTTGCGATGCCGTGCGCACGGCCAGCTTTCGAGACGTATGGGGGTCGCGGTGACACCTCTACATAATCCGCTAAGGGAGAGTGCTGTAGTCTTATGGCATCGAATGAAAGAGAACTACGCACTCGCTCGTTTTCAGAGTATCCTCACCACGAAGGATAGCCCGGGCCTAGGTTCTTTCATCTGGCCGCACGAGTGCCGCGGCTCTACGCCCGCATGTCCATCTGATAAATGCTGCCATGACGGTAAGCGAGGTTCCAGCTAAAGCAGGGGGCCGAAGGATGGAATTGGTGGTTGTGTACTCACGAAGCTCGTGATAGGCGATCTCGGATGAGCGCATGACCTGCTAAAACGCCATGCGCGGAACGTTCGCGTGCGTTCTCAGGCACAAGTTGACTGCAGTCTGGAGGTCACCGACAACCACGAGGACGGCTGGTAACGGATAGTCTCGCTGAATGCGCAAACCCATGCCTGATAGTGACACGAAGGGATTAACCTGTGAATAAAAGTACACTCCATCTACAGTACATTAAGACAGCCTTATGCCGATGCCCCTACGATAATGCGTCTACTGCTTGCCGAAGGTGAGGAAACGCTTGCCCTCGATGGGCTCGAACGTCTTCTCGCCAGCGGGCGCGGTCGGCTTGCCGAAGGGCAGCTGCGCGACGAGCACCCACGACGTGGGGAGCTTCCAGGTATCGAGGACCTGCGCGGAGATGAGAGGGTTGTAGTGCTGCAGGGAGGCGCCGAGGCCCTCCGCCTCGAGCGCGGTCCAGATGATGTACTGGAGGATACCCTGTGCATCGGAATGCGCATCAGCATCGGTGCGGGTTGGTATGCGGGGTGCGGACGGCTTACGCTAGCGTGCTCGGACCACGTGGGGAAGCGGTCCTGGTAGAGGGGGAAGCGGGTCTGGAGGTCCTTGACGCCGTCCTGGTCCTCGAAGAAGAGGACGGTGCCGTGGCCGGCGGCGAAGCAGCCGTTGATCTTGCCCTCGGTCGCGGGGAGCTGGTCGGCGGGGACGATACCCTTGAGCACGTTCAGGGTGATCTCCCAGAGCTTCTTGTGCTCGTCACCGAGGAGGAGGACAGCCTGAAGTTGGACGGTCAGCGTCAGTGGAGAAGGGCTTGCGCGAATGGAGCTGGACGTACGCGACTGCTCTGGATGTTGAAGGAGGAGGGCGCGTGCTTGACCGCGGTCGCGATGATCTCCTCAATCTTCTCGTCAGGGATGGTGGACTCGGAGCCGATGGTGTAGATCGAGCGGCGGGCCTTGACGGCCTCGAAGAAAGCAGCGGAGCCAGACATGTTGGTGCGGGATTGGACGGGTGTGGGGAAGGAGGTGCGAGTGCGGAGGTGTGCAAGTGCGGGGCGGGTTGAGTTGAGGAGGCCCAGCACCGAGCGGGTGCTCTTATACGTGCTCGCTATCGATGGGAGGCGCATCATCTTGTTGGTCAAAGACGTTATCCGGTGTACGCAAGGGTGCTACAGAATTATTAAAGGGCGAGCGAGGGCGGACGACCGGGCGCCTGGAGTACGCGAGAACGTTGTATCGGCGATCTCTGCTGGATGAGGCTGGTCGCTGAATAATATGGTGGGAATATTCTCCGCTTTCTGGCCAGCCTCTGTCGCACTTTTCGTTCAGCCGACTGTTCGATCGGTTTCTTTTCCGCAGAAAACCTATATCGGGGAGGCGGCGGGCGAGTCGTGACTGTTCGTGATGACGCCGGGGGCGCCTCCATTACTGAGCTTTGTCGTCGACGTCCTTGTGCGTCTCGTCACCGTTCGCGGAAGCGTCTAGTACCACGTAGACTTGTTTAGGGTGAGGCTGCTTGATTTTGAAGCAGAGCCTCGCCAAGCATCCACAAATCTAGACCACAGTTGTCAACAGCGGGTCAGCAACGTTTGTCCGCAGGGTGCTATTTCACGAGCCTACCCGGAGGACCAATGTCTTTTTTTGGTAGAACGTATATTTAGATTACGCAGTGGTCCCCATTGGGGCTTGTCGTGCACTATCTAAACACGTCGGTGACACACAGACCAGAGGTCTCGTAACCCCCGGTCCCGAGCGCTGGTTAGTTTGTATATCTATCACCTTACCACGAGGAAATGCTTTTACGCACGTCGTGTGGGACTCCAGGCTAGCCATTCTGCTCTCTGGCCCGCCTAATACCCACTAAAACCCCGTTCCTCCCCACCCAGTCCGTCGGGAGAGAGTTTGCGCTCTGTACAATCGGTTCCCATATCGCTCGTACCATTTCCACGGCCTCAGCTTTCTCCCCTAGTGATTTTGCCGTCGAGGAGCGGTCCAAGCTCAGTCTGGCGTTTATGGTGGCGTACCATCGGTTCATCACCTCATCCTCCGTAAATTCCGCGCCCTCGTTTTGTATGACTCGCTCACACCTAAGTTTCCATACCAGATACACCGATTCTGTCGCCAGGATTGTCCAGAGCGAGTTGCTCGGTGACCGGCTCCGACTTCCTTCTTCGCCATCGACGGGTATGCATGCTGCTCCTATCGTCGAGCCCCACGACACACCCCTCGCGGTGTATCCTGTCAGCTGCCATGTCTCTTCTAGGAGCCTCCACACCTGCTCTTGTCCCTTCGCAGTGCAGCGGAAGAGGATGTGATCCATCGAGTCCACGTCCCCGCAGATCCTGCAATGCGCTCGCTCCTGCAGCCTGTCCGACATAGACGGTCGCAGCCAGTGTCGCCCTATCATGAACGCGTCGTGTATGGCCTTCCACATAAATTGTCGGCATTCTCTTGTTACCACCTTCTTCGACAGAGAGGACCAGATTGTCTGCTCGCGTACCACCGCCCCCGTCATGCGTTCGATGTCCGCGGTGATAGCCACAATCGCAGCACGCGTGGCTCTACGGGCTGGGAGCTTCTCATTTATCCTCTGTCTTATAGCCGTGTATGCTAACTTCTGTGTCATCGTTGCTAGTTTCGCGCCCGAGACACGCAGGGCGGGATGGATCTCGAGGTCTACCACCCCATGCACCTGTTGTCGCACAGCTTGTCCGGCCAGCGCGTCTGCCCCCTCATTACGGATGTGACCATTGTGGCCCTTTACCCATTTGAACAGAGTGGGGGCACGCCTCAGTCTCAGTGCCGCGAGTACCGCCCGCGTGATATTGGCGTTCTTCTGGTTTATGTATCCCGCGTCCTCGTGCCGTTTGCGCAGCGTGGTGAGGGACTGTATCACTGACTTAGAGTCGGTTTCCTGGGTGAGTTCGTGTGTCGCATTCACCGCCTTTACTGCTAACAGCGTTGCCACAATCTCCCCAGTCTGGTTGGTTTGCTCCAGTTGCGCCGGCAGCCGCACTGCCTGGTTCATGTGGTGCCCGTTCTCCACGAAGACACCCGCCCCCGCCACCGCATTCCTGTGTCCGTTGCCGAGGCAGGCGCCGTCCGTGGCCACCGTAATCGCGCCATCGCTCAGGCAGGGGGGGCGTACCAGGCGGTCTTCGTGCAGGGGAGTTGTGTCCGTGAAGATGCGGAACGTGTCGTTCAAAACGCCCACAGTCGTCAGCCTGCTGTCGAAGACCGATTCGTCGTCTCCTTCCGGAGCCTCTGGCACGTGCACTTCGTGGTCTTCCTGGTGCAGCCCTCTCGGGTCCCATTTGGGCTTAAGCGTGTCGAGCAAAAGCTTCGCTCTCATGTAGCATCGGTGAGGATTGCTGCAGCGGTCTCTTGTTATCCTGAGCTCACAGTGGGCACAGCCGCATGCGCCAGTCCCTGAATGGGACTGGTCCTCTAGTACCGTCGCCAGCTCCTCGCTCTCGCCCACCGTGCGCACCCCGTGGTTCTTCTTCAGGCACGCAGTCGCTCTCGAGCGCCCGGAGATCCTGCGGAGCTTCACGATGTCGCTGTGGGCATGGTCCCAGATTGGCATGGACCGTAGGATCTTCCTTGAGAAGGCTAGGCCCTCCTGTCGGAGCCCCCACTTCTTTGCTGCCACTACGATGGCTTTGAGCTCCGGCATGAGCCCGCGCAGCTTGGGGGACCAGTGCTGAGTGAAGGTGTTCGAGCGGAGTGCCAGCTCCTTCAGGACGGTGTCCTTTGGGGCCGCTCGGGCAAGCAGGTCGTCCGCGACTAGTGCCCAGAGGGGGCGCTGTTCATCCGTCGTTAGGTACGCACGCAGCCACATCACGTCGACCGCCTCGTTCCTCGCCGCGATGTCTAGGAGGCCGATACCGCCCTGCTCTTGCGGGAGACATAGGTAGTCCATCGCCACCGGGGCGTACGGTCTGTCATCCCATACGAAGTCCCTAATCATCTTTGTCAGGCGCTTTACAACTTGTTCGGGCATCCGTTGGACATCGGTCATGAACTGGGTCATACCCCCAACCACCATCTGCACCGCCAGGCGTTTCCCCACGAGCGTCATGTGTCCCGTTCTCCATTTGCGGAGGGCGTTGCTGACTTTCTCTAGTTTTGGGGTCCAAACTTCACATTGCTCGACCTTATTCCCCAGGAAGGCGCCCAGGATCCGGACCGCTTCTCCATCCGCAGCAACATGAACACCTCTCGGGTAGTTCTGCCATGCTCCGGTTTGGGCGTACGTGGCAGCCATCCTGCAGCGGTACTCCTCTGATCCTATGGGGATGATCTCGGTCTTTCCTATGTTGAATTTCGCCTTCGCCGCGGAGCACCACACGTCAAGGACACGCTGGAGGATGTTGAAGTCGTCCGCCTCGGCCAAGTACACCGTGGTGTCGTCCGCGAAGAGAGTTGCCTTCAAGGTCGTGGTCGAGTTCGGGATGTTAAACCCTTTAATCGGCGAGGCGCGTATCATCGCCGACAGGGGCTCGATGGCGAGATCGAACAGCAGACACGACAACGGATCACCCTGCCGTACCCCTCTGTATATGCGGTACGTCTTACTCGTGACACCATTTATGACTACCGACGTAACCGCGCTCGCGTATAGGGCCTTTATAACCTTCGAGAACTCACTCGGTATCCCGAACTTGTCGAGGACCTGCCATAGATAGTCGTGAGCAATCTTGTCGTAGGCCTTCTCCTGGTCAAGCGCTACTATCGCTCCGTTCTCCTCCGTTACTTCTGCCCACTCCCGCATCATCCTGGCTAGCTGGGTGTGGTTGTGGAGGCGTCTGCCCGGGACAAAGCCAGCCTGGGCGGGGTGCACTATGTCGCTGGCTACGCCCGCGAGGCGCATGGCTAGGATCTTAGTGAGGAGTTTGTAGTCCGTATTCAGGAGCGTGATCGGCCTGTAATTGACCACTTTTGTCAGCTCCCCTTTCTCCTTGTAGATTGGGGACATCCATCCTTGCGCAAAGCTCGACCCGTCCACTACTCCGTGCTCTTGGATGTCCTGGAAGGCCGCCTGCAGGACCCTGAGGGCATTAAATGCCTTCCTCGCCGGATGACGTGAGTCTTCGATATATCGCGCTTGCATCGTTTTCCAGACCTCGTATTGGATTCCGTCCAGGCCCGGTGCTGTTCCCGACTTCGCAAATCGTAGCGCCACATCGCAGTCTCCGATGGATATCGTCTCGCTCATCTCCCGCGCCTGCTCCTCCGATACCGCAGCCGTGATGCAGCCTAGGGCTTCATTCACGTCCGCTGCTCTTCTTTCCGGTGCGCTCACGTCTGGGCCGTCACGCTGGATGCCATCATGGTGCGCTCTCGCAATCTCCGCCATAGCAGCAGCGTCAGTCTCATACACTCTCTCGCCCGCGCTCGTTCTTTCTCCTTCCTTCTCGAACGCCGGGATGAGATCCCTCGGGGCAGGCGTCCTGTGCATACGGGACCAGTACTTCGTCGGGCTCTCACCATACTGTCTGTGCTTCGCCCTCATCCCATTCTGTTGCTGCCTAGTTCGGTTTGCCTTCATCTGTCTCAACTGCTCAGTTAGCGCGCTCATTTCTTCTGCCACCGCCCGCTCTAGGGGAGCCGCGCACTGTCTTAGTACGCCGAGGCGCTCTTCGCGTGCCTCTATTTCCTTCGTGAGGGTCGGGACAATCGCTTTCTCTCGCTGCCTCGCCGACTCCAGCCAGTCTTTCTTCAACCTGGCCAGGACCAGCTGCGGGTTGTGCGCCGCCGTCCGTCCTTGGCGAGCTATGTCTTCCAACTCACGGATCGCCTCTATCCCTCTCTCCTTCATCTTCACCTTGAGCTTCTTGTCGGGGAGGAGGAACAATGGGAACACCGGCCGGCCCTTGCCCACCGCCGGCGTGTGGGGGGTCGTCAGGAGCACCGAGACCAGACAGTGGTCCGTTTTTACTCCTACCGGGGTTATCGACCACTCCCTCGCCCACTTCAGCTCCTCCCCGCGGATGTACATCCTATCTAGTCTGGACATCGACAGGTTCTGGCCCGCTCCGCGCTGGAAGGTGAAGCCCCTCTCCGTTGGGTTTGTAGCTCGCCAGCCATCCGTCATCATGAGGCCTAGCGACGCTTTCAGGTCATCCAGGGCTTCGACTGAGGCGTCTCTGCCGTCAGCGGGCACCGGGACACGGTCGAGCGCATCCTCGACGTTGTTGAAGTCGCCTGCCATGAGGTGCGGTTTCGGGTGTGTTGAGTGCCGCTCATAGAACTCTTTCAGCTCAATGAAGAAGTCTCGCCGCTCCAGTGCTCCTTCCGTCGTCGGCGCGTACACGCACAGGATCTCTCGCACGTCACCTCCCCTCCACGGGACAGCCACTTGTATCGCTCGTCCAGGTATGATCTCTTTCATCGTGACGCCTTTCGCGCTGATCAGTTTCTTGTTTAGCACAATCGCCACTCCTTCTCTCTGTGTCGGCGCCGTCGGGTGCTCCGACGCAAAGATCTTCACGCGGTCGGCGAACATCCTGTGCAGGTGAGCTCTTCTTTCGCTCGTTAGGTGCGTCTCCTGGAGCAGGAGTATGCCGATCCTCAGTTCGGTCATCATGCGGTACATCTTCCCCCATTTGTTGTCGGGGTGATCACGGGCAAGCGAGCCGAAACCGTTCACATTCAGAGACGCGACACGTATGGCGCTCTTCTGCGCAAGCCTCTCTTCACGCGTCTTCTTCGGTCTGTTCGCGTTCCTTCTTCTCCTGTTGTTCTCGCTTCTTCTCGGTGGTCCACCTCCATTTTCGTTCTCACTCCCCCGCCCAGTCGCGGGTTCTCCCTCGTCGCTGAGGCCTGCAACCGGGACACTCCCCTGCCGCGAGGCGGTTCGTTCTCCCGGTCGCAAGCCCGAGTTCCGAGGTTCATTCCCGTTGCCGCCAGTCTCAGCGGGGCCTTCCTGGGGCGCGCGGTTGGCAAACGGGCTCGCGGGCCCTCCGGCACCGTTGAGGCGCTGTTCGTCCAATGCCAGTTGTGTATTCCATGTGGAGTTGTTATAGATTTGGTTCGTTTCAGTAGTTGCCTAGGTGTCCTGTGTGCTGCAACCAATACACACAGTAAGGACGTGTATCCCCACGTCCGAGGGCGACTATGCACATCGAGGATTGCCGGGTCGTCCAGTCGGCCGGCCAGCCTCTGGCTTCAGCCTCTCGGCACGGCACGTCGAGGCCTAAATAGGCCGCCGTTAAGTTCCGATTCTCACTGCCGCTTTCCTGTCCCCATTTCTGAGTCAGTATATGTGGGCCACAGTGGATCTCCGTTCTAGCCCCTTGCGCTGCTTCTGGAGGCAGTTACGAGTACTTGTACGGTTGTTGCGGCTTGTTCGCGTGGTCGATCACTCCACGCCGCTTTTCGTCAAGAAGGTATAGTGCTGATTGCTAGTGCTAGATACATTCATACTGTCAAGATTCCTGATTCATCGGCCGGTCTCAACGACGCCCGTTGCGCGACCGCTGTGTGCCCTGGCCCTGTGACTTCTGAGGCCTCTGCGGCGCGCCCCAGGCGTCGCCTGCCGCGTCGTCGTCGTCGTCGGGGTAGAAGCCGTCGTCCTGGTAGCCCCTCTGCCTGTACTCGTCCTGGGCGCGCCTCGCGTCCCGCGGGCGCCTGTCGTCAGGCCAGCCGTTGCTGTTGTCCCTCACTCGGGACGGGCCGGCGTGTGCGTTGCGCGGCCTGTCACGTTGTGCCGTGTCGCGTCCCGGCGGGCACCTGGGGTGCGTGTCGTCCCTCTGCTGGCGCGCGTCGTCCTTGCGGTGCTGGGGGGTGGTGCGCCATCCCGGTACCTTCGTCCTGTCGAGGTAGGGGCAGTGGGTGACTTGGTGGTCCGTGCCATGGCATCCGCTGCAGCGTTCAATCCCGCGCCTCGTCGTGACGCGGCCCGCTCCGAAAGACCAGGTGTGTCCGCGCAGGCCCCTCTGCCATTGAGCCCACTTAGCCGGGTCCGCACCTGGTGTCTTCATGTAGATGTACACCACCCGCGGGGATTCTTCGTTCGCCGCGTTCGCGTACCGGAGCTCGATGCGGATGGAGGCGATCGCCGCGTTCGCGAGCGATCGGAGCTGCGCCGCTGACTGCCTCGGGCCGACGCGGAAGATCTCCTCCAGGGCCGCCATCATCGTGTCCTGCTCGAACTCCTCGATGATCGCCGCGAGGATCTTGTCGCCGTTCTTCTGGGAGACGCCTAGTAGTGCCGCCACGAAGTCCGGGATCTCGTCAACGTCGTCGTCGTAGACGTGGAAGGCGACCGTTTGGTGCGACCACCCGAAGACCAACAGCATGATTTCTTTTGCCAGGTTCGGGATGTTCGACAGCATCCACGCTTTGGGGGCCTCGCTCGCCGGGATCCCACGCTTGTTCTCCTTCGGGGGGTCTAGACGGAAGGCGGCTGTTCCGAGGAACTCCTCGAGGATCTTCTCGATGCGGGTTTGCATGGCCGCCACCGTGTCGCCGTCCATGTTGCCGATCCCGAAGACCGTGAGGAGGCAGCGTCTTGTCTTCGGGCATGTAAGCCACTTCTCGAGCGCCGTCTCATCGCAGTTCCTGAGCCGGCCGCCGACTTCGCGCTCGTGCACTTCGGGGAAGCGGTCGCCAGGGATCTGGGACAGGCCCAGTCTCGCTACAGCCTCCCAGTACTCGATCTCCGTCCTCGCTGGGGGGGCGTCTTCAAGGTATTCGTCCATCCTGTCGCCGTCCAATGCCTCCTCCTCTGCACCGAGCGGCTGGAACGCCCACTCCGGAATGCGGCTACGGAGCTCCGCTAGTTCGTCGTTGTGGAACTCTGGGAGCCAGTGCGCGTACTGCGTGTCGTCGCCCATGTCGTAGTCGGCGGCTGCGTTCTCCGCGGGTGCGAGCGGCGGAGGGGGGTGCACGGGGAGCGTTTGGGGGAGTGGTGCATGCGCCACACTCGCCTGACGCGGCGGCCTCTGCCTAGGGTCTCTCGTTGGTCCCGTTGCGGAGGCGGGGATGGGCTGCGGGGCAGTCGTCGCCTGCTGCGCTCTGTTCGGGCCCATCGGAAGACCCATCGGGCCGCCCCCGTTCGTGGATGCCGATGAGAGTGGGCGCGCCGCCCTTCCCTGTCCTGTCCGAGTGTTCTGGTGCGCGGGACCCGTGCTGGGAGGCGCTGCGAGCTGCTGGCGGCTCGTCCTAGTCGCCGCGGGGACCGGGGACGGCGTCGTGCTGCCCTGCCAGAACGCGTCCGCCGGCATCTTGGAGAGGACGGAGAGGACGCCTCCTTCGCCGGTATATGGTGCGTCTAGTAGGTGCTCCGCTCGCTCTACTGAGATCCTCAGCTTTTTAGCCAGGACGGCCGCTATCTCGCGCTGGTGCAGGAGCCGCATGGTGGCCAGCGTTCGCGTCTGGGCGAGGTCCTGCGGGGGGTATGGGTACGGGTACACTGGTGCCGGCATGTGCACTGCTCCGGGAGCTCCGGGCGCGGTCGTGGCCATTGGCGGTTGCATGATTGCATGTGCGGGAGGTGGCGGCGGGGCGTACGGCGGCAGCGCTTCAGCCTGTTGGAACGCTTGGTCACCTTGGTTGTGCTGGATGGGAGGGCCGACACTTCCCCCGCCGTTCTGCGGGCCGTGTGATACTGGCGTTGCGTCATGCTCGGGCGGACGCCCCGCGGAAGAGTCCCTTCGAGCTCTCTTCCTCGGATTACCCTCAGGCAGCGCCCCTGCGGGCTCACCGTGGGGAGCCGCCTCCGCTGCGTCCTCGTCCATTGATGCCTGCTGGGTGGCCGGTTGGCGCTGTACCTGGGACAGGTTAGTACTGGCGAGGAGTGCCGCTGATGTTTCACGTACAGGGACGAGGTTCACACCCGTTTGACTCAACGGGACGTCGTCCAGGCCCGCGTTCTCAGCGAGGCTGTAGGCCATGTCCGTGTTCATGGACGTGTTGCCCATCCCGTAGGGGTCCTCGTCTGCTTGCGCGGCGGGGGCGAAGAGGTCCGGGGAGGGCTCGCGCGGTGCGCCCTCCTTCTTGCGCTGCCCGGGGGTCGGTGTGCCGTCCGACATGCGGTTGGCGTCGTCTTCACGATCTGAGACGTCGCCGAAGAAGGCTCGGAGGGTCTCCTTCTCTCGTTCGCTCCTGGTGCGCCATACCTGTCCGTCTCCCTCATCGTCGTCGCTGCTGACGTCCTCCGCGAGCTTCTCGTTGCTCGTGTTGACCTCGCGGGCCGCGCCCGGGGCAGGGCGTTGGGTGCGGTTCGCGGTCGTCGCCGCACGGCGTTTCTCCTGGGGGAGTTGTGTCGCCGCTCGGTGGTGGGCCGGGCGGCGAACCGCGGCACGGGGAGGTTGGGTGAGTGGAGGATGGGGAGGGGTGTCGCCGTCGCGCTGTGGGGTGTCCATCGGGCGGGTGCTCGGCAGCGGGAAGGTGCGGTGGTGAGGGAGAGGGGGAGAGGGGAGCAGGGGGGTCTGCGCGCAGGGGTCCGGTATAAGAACAGTAGGGGGGGGAGGGCTTCGTTGTGGCCGTTTGGTCGCGGTAGGCTCAGTACTCGCGCGCGCGCGTGCTTGTGACACCCGCTTCCTCGCGCGCGCGCGCGCCAGCTGTGACTGTGACCGGGCCCCATCAGCCTCGCTGCCTCCTCGCGCGCGATCTGTGACAGGTCGCGCGTCATGCCCGCGGTCACGCTGCTCCCGCACCCCTCGCTTCCCGCTCTCTGGCTCGGTTGTCGCGCAGGCCCTGCAGTCGGCGACCCGAATGCTCTTCGTGGTTTGCCAGGAACGGCCGCGCGTCGCCGTTTTGTTCTCGGTCTTCCCGCATTCTTCGTTCTTCGTGCAGCGGCTGCCGTCTATCAATCGGCACGTCTCCTTGCGACCTCGCGCGGGTCTTGCATCCCGCTTTCGGTGGTCGTACGTCTGTGCGTGCTGTCTCCCGGTGTTCTCGTTTGCTTATTCATGTCGGTCTCGGGCCGCTCGTTCTCCTCGTGTCAGTGGCCCAGTTCTTGCTTGGCGCACCATTGGCTCTGGCACGAACGCCTCTTGTTTTCTGCCAGGACGGTTCTTGTACTCAGTCGCCCACGCGTCCTTTATCGGTGCGCACGCCGTTGTGCCCTCCTTCCCGGGCGTACTTTGCGTGGCTCTGGTGGTCTTGCCTCTTGGCTGCTGTTTGCGCCCGCTTCTCACGCGTTCCTAGTCCGCGTCTGTTGGGCGCTTCTTATATACGCGTTCGCGGTCGTGTCTGCTATGCGTCACCTGATCGCGTTCTTCGGTGTTCTCGGGCTCACCCGTTTGGGCGCGTTTGCGCGACGCGACGCGTGGTGCTTGGCGCCCAGGCGTCTTTTGTTCGCGCCTCTACTTGTCACCTGACCGTGTCGCTCTGTTTCTCTTACCCTGGTTTCTTGCTCCGTGCTCCACCATCGAGTTTGCGCTGTCTACGTTCGACGAGGTGGGTTCGGCGGGGTGTTTTGGTCGTCTACATGTTTTCTTAGGTGCCCTCTTGCCCGTCTTCGTGGGCACCGCTAGCGGGACTTAGGCGGTTGTTGTGTGATCCATTATTTTGGATCCTCGGGTTCCCATGGCCCCTCCGCCTCCGTCCGGTTCGTCTTTTTGGTACGTGGTCCCGCCCCATTGCGACCCGGGTTCACCCTCCCGCTTTGATCTGACAGGGACACTGGCTGCACGTCGTTGTTCCACGCCTACAAATATTGTTGTCGCCGTTGGCCCGCTGCTCCCGCTACTCATGTCCTGCTCGCATCGCTATCTCCACTCGTTTACTCCGCCGTCTACTCTTCGCTCTCCGCCGCCATCAGCTCGTCCACACCAGCCCTCTCCAGCTCCAGCGCCAGAAAACGAAGGGGGTCTTCGTTGCTTCGCGGGCGCGCGTTGTGCTTGTAGACGATTGCGTTATCCTCCAGCGGGATGTGGCGGGTGGGGAAGGCGAGTTGTGTCGTTGCCGCCCTCAGGACTCTGTCCCAGAGGCTGACGTGGGTTGTTTGGCCTTGGATGAAGGGGACAGAGAGGTAAGCGTAGTCCGTCCTGGACCACTCTTCCTCGTTTCTGACCACGAACTCGACGACAGGGCCCTCGATTGCTCTGATGCCAACCACTGTTCCTCCGATACCCGTGTCATACGCTGTGTATCTGGTTGGGGCTCCTTCTCCATCCTGGAAGAGGGCGGTGCAGGATAGGAGGGCGTGGATGTGGATTCTCTGCCCTACGTGGATTGGGGCTTTGGGGGTGCGACAGACGTCGTAGAAAGTGATCGCCGCTCCCTGGCGGGCTTGGTTGCCCGTTGGTGCTGCTCCTCTCTCCTTTGCAAGGACAATGTTGCTGGATGGGGTGGGCATGGTGTGGTGTTGGTTGTTGTGCTTGGTTGTTTTGCTGCTGGTTGTTGGAGGTTGGGAGGAGGACGTGGGCGCGCTTAGTGTGTTTGGATTTTAAATACAAGCGTTTAACTGTGCTGACGTTGTTCGGGAGCGTGGTTCAGGATTCAGAGCTTTACCTGCTCACCTGCCAGCAGTTGCGTCTACTCTGGGTGCTCTGGTGATTGTGCGGTAGGCTGTGGGGGTGCTTTGCCTCAGTCACATCGCTCCGTTTCTAATAAGTTTGGCAGGCGTGGCGTGGGCGCTAGGCGGCTGGGCCCACCTAGCCCGCCGCGTCTTATCTCATCTTATCTTATCTCCCTTGTTCGGGTATCTCGGGCGTGGCCCTCGGGCGTCACCCTCGTCTGGGGTTGGGGCAGGGGGCGGAGGAGGAGGAGGAGGGGGGCTTCTCTCACTCCGGCGGCCCTCGCGTGCATATGCGCACCCTGTTGCGGTTCTTCTGCTTTTAGCAGGCATCTACTGTGTCGTAGGCATCCATTGGGCATCTACTCCTTGTAGGCATCTGCGACCGCAGGCATCCGCGAGCGCGGGGTTTCTGGAGTTCCACGTTCGGTCCTTCTGCCACGTCGTCTTCCTTACCTTGTTTGCTCCCTTCTCCCGTTACTATTTCCCTTCTCTCGTTCTGTTCTCGTTGGCGGCCGTTCGTTTGTTACTGTCTGCTACTATTGTGGTCATATCGTCGCGTGTTCGACCTGCTTTCCCCGGTCCGAGGCCAGCTCGGGCGTGGGAAAGCTTACCGTGGTGGTGGTTCGAGTGAGGGGAGGACCAATGTCATCATGCATGTTCATGCGAGCATGCAAAGGTGTGCATATGTATTGCACAGAACGTGGCCTACTAGTGGAAGAGACATGGCGAAGATGACGGTGTAGAATTGAGATCGGAGGCGCACGCGGCACGCGCTTGCCGACACGTAGTACGCGCCTGACCAGAACCACCACACTCTTCGCGTTCTCTTCGCTGCTGTACAGTCTCTGCTCATCGTCTTGAACATTTCTCGTGAACGGGAGAACTGCTGCGAGGGTCCCAAACTTTGGTGCAACCGAATCATCATGAACTTGTCCCTTTACACAGTCACAGCTTTCCTCATAATCGACACGGACGGCCACAGAGTACTGGCGAAGTACTACCACCCCAAGGGTCACCCCAATGGCGAGTCGAAGAAGTTGACGACGTTGAAAGAGCAGCGGGCATTTGAGAAGGGGCTCTTCCAGAAAACGAAGAAAGCAGGAGGTGCGTAGTGGTCTGGATGTATGCGCACTTACCCCCGCCCACACGCCCAACTCATGCAGGCGACATCATCTTGTACGACTCACACCTCGCGGTGTACAAGCACTCGTTGGACCTCATCTTCTACATCATCGGCGACCCCCAGGAGAACGAGCTCATGCTGCACTCCGCGCTCGTCGCGTTCTCCGACGCCGTCCACATGCTCCTCCGCAACCAGGTCGAGAAGCGTGGCGTGCTGGAGAACCTGGACATCGTCCTCTTGTGCTTGGACGAGACCATTGATGACGGGTACGCGACGGGCTTCTTCCCCTGTCACCCTGCGTTTTGTGGTGGTATGGGATGCTAATTAGTGCCCTCCTAGCGTGATCGTGGAGACGGACTCGACGACGATTGCGTCGCGCGTGAGCAGGCCAAAGGCGGACACGTCGGACATAGTCATCAACGAGCAGACGCTCCTGAACGCATACCAAACCGTGAAGGAGAAGATGCAGCAACGGATAGGACAGCTCTAGGGAGCACATGTTGTATTTGTGAGTAACACACCCTGCGCGCTCACGTACAACCAAACCCTGACGCTCTCACCAAGTATCAGATATCCCTTTCATCGGTTGTGAGCCCGACTTGCGACCCCGCTTCTAAAACATCATTCTGGCATTCTGCACAAACCGTTCGCCTGTCAGAACACGGCTTCCTCAATGGGTAAGAGACGCCATACCATGAGCTATGGCCATGTTCATACAGACTCCGAAGGCACATTTGAGGCGGGGATTTACCCCAGGAAGCCCCGTTCATTCGAGTCGGATGTTTGCGAGCGCCACCACGAAGGACGTATGCTCCTGAATCTCTTCCTCCGACAGACTATATGTGAATTTACTGACAAGCTGGGCGTATCGGCCGAACGGCAGCAGTATTGAGCACATGGCTCTGTTTGGTCCATTTGAGCGGATATCCACGATTGATGCAGGTTTACTGCTATCCTCCTCCCAGCATCTCTGCAGCGTACAGCGTTGTCAAGCAGCCTCATTCTCAGCGTGTGTAGTCTCTTTTCGTGCCTGGTGTATGCTGACCAACCACACAGGGTGACGAACCTGCATCGACGAACCCGCCAAAGCAAACGATGTCTTTGCGTGCGCTTCAAAACGCGGATATCATACACGAGATCATCGAGCAATATGCAGATCTTGAGCGAGGATGTACGACAGGCGGACAGCGACGGCAGGTCGCCTCTCTGTGCAGAGTGTGCAAGACGTTCTACGACCCCGCCGTCAAAGTACTTTGGACGCTACTTCCTTCGCTGCGCCCTCTACTCTCGCTCCTCCCCGAATTTGATGGAGCATATCGAGCGTACGTCGAAAGCAAATCCACAGAGCCCTTCGAATGTGTGAGTTCAACTCCATTGACCTTCGGTGGGAATGGTAGTCTAACTCATAGAGGCGACGCGCAGAATCTCTCAGAGCCTGTCAATCCGGAGGCTTGGACGCGCTTCAGGGTGCACGCTGCTCTGGTCCACCACTTGATCTACGACCATAGTCGTCCGATGAGACAGATCGTTTCGATCGACGGCTGGTCGCACCTCGACCGTCTCTTGGCTGGTACGCCGCTTCTCCCTTCCCTACGCGAATTGGTGTGGGGGCCCATTCGCACCTGTGAAGACCTCGGACTACTGGCATCCCCATCGTTGAGCTATCTCTCCCTACACGGCACCTGGAGTACGGAGCAGGGTTCGGACGACGTTATCGTAGTTGCGCTTCAAGACGTTCTTACCAAGACACCCGCGCTCACCTCTCTTCGACTCGCCGATTTCGGCAGCGACTTGCTGGCTTTGTTTCCGCCGGATCAGCTTAGTCGCCTGGAAGATGTACACATTGGCGTCCAGGATCTAGAGAAACTGGCCCGCAAGCCGTGGCAGTCCTCAGACTACGGGTTCCCCAACGCTGACTCCCTGCGCGTCTTATCCACCCTACCCGCGCTCAAGCACCTCCAGATCGACTTCAAGTCTCAGCGTCCCGGGCTGGACTTCGAAGGGTTTCGCACGCTGAGGAAACTACGTGTAACCGACTACGGCGGCGATGTTCTTGCACTCCTCGCGACGCTTTCGTCGCCCGACCTCTGCGAAATCACCGTCGTCTTCTCAAGTGTCACGTTCAATCCCACCTTCACCTGGGTCGACGTGCGCCCCCTCTGCTGGACCATCGCGCAGCGTTCCCCACGCCTGGAGTCTATCACTCTCCTGTTCATGTCTCTCCGCAACGTGGCGCGATCTCCGGAGGCGACTCTCGACGCCCTGAGACCTCTCCTCGACCTACGCTGCCTGAAGACGTTGAGGTTCTGGAGCATGAAGGAGGCAGTCGAGTTTTCCGATTCTGTCTTGGGGGCGTTCGCCGAGGCGTGGCCCGCACTCGTGTCTCTCAGCCTCTGCTGCCATACAGACCGCATGATGTCATTGGTAAACCCCCCTGGAGAACCCGAACCCGACTCGCAGGCGGTCACTCTACGCGCTCTGGAGAAGTTCGCTAAACACTGCAAGAGCCTGGAGACCCTTCGCCTTCCCCATCTATACGTCTCGCCCACGGACGTCGTAGATCCTTCGGCGCCTCTGGGACTACGGCTCCACGCCTTAGGCATTTGCAAGGCGAACGTCGCGGACGTGGGTGCATGCGCCCTCGCCATTGGGTTCTTATTCCCGCACATCCAGACCCAGGCGTCAATGGATCAGACGCTATGTATCAACTCGTTTGCGGCTAGTCTTTCGGGATGGAGTGATGTGCTGCTCGCTGTAGAGAGTATGCGTAAAGAAGAGGCGGCGGCAGGCGCTGGGAATCCCTCCGTGGCCTGACGTGCATTTAAAGTGGCGACAAGCACGGAATCGCCATGGTACGTTCTTGTCTAGCGGAATTCGCTTATACATGTTGTTCAATCGATTTATGATCAGGGTGTATGCGCTGTTTTATGTCGCTGAACATATGTGTACTTATCGTGGCTCACTGTGCCTAGAGCCTCCGAGTATGTATGATTTACTAATGCTTACGTATTCGCTTTAGAGATGCTGTGGTAACGCGCGGCGGACTGTCTTCACATCTTTCGTCTTGCTACCACCTTCAATTTTTCGGACCTTATACCAGTGAGTGATAAATGCTTGTCCGGAGTGCTAGTACTGAAGGATGCTCCTGCAAGTTTTTGGATTGCGAGCCTCAAAGAGAACAATGTCCGAATCTGCAAGACAGTTCGCGTTGCAGATCACGGATATTCTGGAGGAAATTGTCGAGCACCTTGCACCAGGCAAAGAGTGCACATCCGGAGACCAGCAGCAGGATGTTTCTGCTCTCACCCGGGTCTCTAAAGCGTTCCACATCCCCGCCACTAACGCGCTCTGGGCTCGGCTCCCTTCCTTGCATCCTCTCCTACTACTCCTTCCGGAATACGACAGACTGTATCAAGCCCATTGTAAAGACAAGCCATTTAACAGACTGACAAGCGTGGTATGTCTCCCGATGGCATTATCGCCGGTACAACTTCTGACAGACAATCATCGCATAGCGTCTCTCTGAGCCCATCAGCCCGGAAATATGGGCACGCTTCCGCGATCGCGCGGTCCTCGTTCGTAGGCTTGCGGCAGGTTATGACACCCTCAGTATTTCGCGCCTCGCACGCCAGACCTTGGCGCGTCTCTCTTCTCTCGACGGAGGCGCTGGGCCACTCCTCCCCTCCCTGCAGGCAATCATATCATGGCGGTCTATGGAGACATGCGAAGACCTTGTGCCCCTGGCTTCTCCTTTGCTACGGGTACTCTCTCTTCGTCATGTTGGGACCGAGGACGACGATAGGGCGGACGGCGACTACGCAGAAGACGATGAATCTGGAAGTATAGGTGAAGCGAAAATCGACCTCGATGAAGCGCAACACGATAACGTAGACCAGTGGCCACTTACTATACAGAACATGTTCGCAAACGCTCCGGGGCTCACCAAGCTGGACTTGAACGACAGCAACGGCGAACTCTTCGCCCGGGTTGCCCCTGAAGCGTTCTACCAACTCAGGACATTGCGGTTTTTTGTGAACCAAGCATCGGATATGGCCCCGGACGAGTTGTACCCCACCGCTGAAGCACTTCGAGCACTCTCGACCCTGCCCGTACTCCAACATCTTCGGATGGAGCTCGACGTGGATCGCTATGATCTCGAATTTGTGGGGTTCCCATCACTCGCTGAGCTGGCTATCGTCGACTGTGGACGCGGCGACACTGCATGGTTCCTCACGAGGTGCTCTTCGCCCCACTTGCATACACTCACCATCAACCTGACGAACCTGTACTTCCACCTCTTTCGGTGGGAGCACCTACTACCTCTGTGCTCCGCCATCGCTGGAAGTGCGCCCCAGCTGTGCGACCTGAGCCTATCTTTCCGCCACTTCCACAGCAGTCCTGAATTGTCGCCCGATATGCTCCTCACGGCGGCGCGCCCACTCTTGGCCCTTCGCGACCTCACCGACCTATCCCTCTGGTTCGATCACGGGGAAATCATACTGTCGGATGCGGTCCTGGAGTCGTTCGCGGAGGCCTGGCCCGCACTCGTCAGTCTCAGAATCTGCTTCCGCATGCTGCGGCAAAGCGTCCGACCCGGCGCTCCCCCCATCGAGTGCCCGATAACCGTCACCCTACGCTGCTTCCGTGCCTTCGCCAGACACTGCCCGCACCTGAAGAGCCTGCACATCCCGCACCTGTACGTCACGGTTGATGACTGCGCGGACGATACGGACGGGGATGGCTCCGAACACGCGCCAGACCACCGGCTCCTGGAGCTGGCTGTGTGCCGCGCGTACATCGATATCATGGAGTCAGGTGCACGGTGGTGCGCTTGGGCACTCAACCGCATCTTCCCGCACCTCGACGTCAACGGCTCTCGCGACCTGTATGTGCGTCGATCGCACAGCGGCCAACATCTGTTACGAGAGAATATCCGGGCAGACGAGCCCTTTGTCGAAGCCTGGCTGAGCATGTTGGATGCTCTCGAAGGATACCAAACATTCGTGCCGGACGTACCAGAGTCCAGCTCCCTTGACGATCTGCAGTGCGACTCGTCGGGTGAGTGACAACCACTCCAAGGCTTTTGTAGTGTTTCGTATGGTGTCGTCTTGGAGGTTCGTGTAGTGCGCGTGATGTAGAGATATCCACTAGCTCTTCAAATTGAGAAGTTTGGGCTGGGGCAATCGCACTCAGTGTGTCGCCTTTTTTTGCGAAATTTGTAAGACTGTTCTATAGTTTTGAGGCATCTAATCACCACCAAATCGTCATCAACATAAGAGTATACGACGTGCCATGGTGCGGGCAATAGTATGTATCGTCCGACTCTTTCCCAATTTACCCCTCGCTCTCTCGAAGATCGAGCCGCCCACTCTAACATCAAGCACATGTGCGTTACCTGAATTCGTCCGCGTGAATGTAAGCTGAATATTCCTCTGCGAGTCTCCAAACACGCGGCTTCCGTTGGACCAGGAATTGATGACATCGAGCCCGCGCTCCCGGTCGCAGAGGAACCCAGACCCGCGCCGCACAAGTGTTGGCAACACGAGCGAGGGCCAAGCTTGCACAACGTCGCTGCTAGACTGAGCAGAGCTCGACGATGGCGCATGGGTGGCGTCGCCGGAGAACGTCGCAGTGGCCCACGGCATATTCTTGCACAGTCCGACATAGATCCTAAACGCCTCCGGCAGATGCTCATGCGTGAACGTGAACGTCGCGAGCGCGCCCTCGCCCATCCGCTCCGCCTCCGCGCGCCCCGTCGGCAGCCGCCCATCCGGCCTAAACCCCTCCTTCCCAAGCTCGACCGCAAGCCACCGCGGGAAGTGGAACCGAAACGCCGCGTCCGCACGCGTCTTCTCCGGGGGCGCGCGCGACGGCGGGCGGTGCGCGACGTACAGCCGCCGCCAGCGCGCGGTGATCCCGCTGCTATTGAACGAGAGCGCATGGCGCGCCCAGTCGACCTGCGCGAGGCGGTAGCGGAGGCGCATCCACGCGTGCATGCCGCGCACGGTCACGCCGACGTGGTAGCGCGGCCAGCGCAGCCCGGTCTCGCCGTCGGCGCGCCGGCGTAGGAGTAGGCCGAGAAACGCGCCCGTCGCGGTGTCCTGGCAGGCGAGCACGGCGATCGCGAGCGTGGACTGCGCGGACGCGGCGGAGCTCTCGACGACGAGCAGGCGCGCACGCACGCCGTGGCTCGTGAGCGTGAAGTCGGGCAGCGGGATCCGCCAGGTCTGGCTGCGGCGGGGATGCGGGTGCGCGGGTGCGTGGCGCATGTCCTGCGGGGGATGTTAGACGGGCGCGAACGTGTCGAAGGCGGGGTCACTTGCCTGGGAAGCCTCTAGCGTCCACTTGGTGGTACCTAGTGCCTTGACGGCATTCTCGACCGCGACCTTCACGGGCACAGGGATGATATTCCCGGAGTTTGCAAAAGCAGCCGGGTAGGGCGCGAATATGTGGCTGTCTTGATGATAGTTGCTGTACGACATCTGCTCGCGGAACGGGGCAATGCGGATGGGCAGGACGTTCCCCCACGCGAAAAGGCTCTGGTCGGACGTCCGTCCTAGGATTTCTTCCTGGAGCCGTTGGAACGATCTGCGCCCCTCGCCGTATATGGTCGCCATGTGCACCCCGAAGATGCCCATGAGGCAGTATGCCTCGTCCTCGACGCGTGTCGTTTTCCGCGCAGACGCCCACCACATCCGCCGCGCAACGCTCACGTCGCCTAGCTCGCGGCGGAACGTCAGCACGTCCGCGTCGACCCCGGTGATATCCTCGAGGAGGGTCGCCAGGCCCGCTTTGGTGCCGATCATGGTCCAGTCCTGCGCAAAGAACAGGAGGCTCCGGGGCGCAATGAGCTCCTGTAATGTCCACCCCCGCGTGAACCATTTGCTCCTCCGCATGACGAGATCCCGAGGGCGGACGTCGCGGATGGGCGGGACGTCGTGCAGATACGCGTAGCAAACCTGCGCGTGCGCATACCACTCGTACATGGAGTTGATCGCCTCGGAGAGCTCGGCGCTGCTCGAGCGGTCGATGCAGCAGGTGTCGATCCAGAGCCACTCGTAGCCATGCGACTCCGCGAGTGCGCAGCACTCCCTGATCTTGTCTGAGACGCGGGAGCGTAGCAGATCGACTTGACCTGCAGACGCGAGCTGCGTGCGGAGTGCCTGCAGCTCCTGGAAGGACTGTTCGTGCTCCTGCCAGACGTGCGACAAGATCGCATAGCCGGTTTTGACGTCGTGTGGGCCGTTGAAGTGTTGAAGTTCGGCTGTGCTCGTATGCAGCAACCACATGCTTCTTGGGCATGCGATCAGTGTACATCGTAGCCATGCCCAATACGACAAGACTTACAAACTGAGTTTTGGAATGTGCGTCTTGGTCTGGCAGGCCTATCCGTGATCTTGTAGGTCAAAACAGACAACCGCGGCGGGAAGGGCACTGGAAATGGTGGTCGACGGTTGTTCGTAGATGATGGCTGAAGCAGATTCTGCAGAAAGATGCCATCAGCTACAAGTCCGTAATCATGCCAGACAGCGCGCAACCTGAGACTTGCTGGCAGCTTGGCGGCTCTTGGCCGGCTGGCCGACGACCTAATGGAGGCTCCTTGGGTACTTTTGTGTGCTATTTTATGATGCGTTTGTGAGTTTGCTATCAGCAGGAAGTAACGAGATCGTCTGAAATGTAGTAGCGACTAGGGTGCAGCCATGTGAAATTCTCTGGGAGACATGACCTGAGCTCGAGGACATCCATATAGCAAGCGCTTGTAGTCACTGATGTTTTTGGGAGTATGTTTAATGTTATTGCTGCCATCTGTATAAATGACACACCTCCTTCACCAAGCATGATTGGCAGGTAGTCTCGAGCCCTCTTGTGACCAGGAAGAAGGCCCAAGGAAGATATTCAGGTCGAGACGTCTTCGGAACGGGCGCCCCTAACTACAAGTGGTACCAGGGGCTGACGCCGACGCGGACCCCGCGGCCCGACTCCCCCACTGCGCCGTCCACTGAAACGTTGACCGCGGGCGTACTGTACCACCTGTACCACCACCATCCCGCCTGCTTCATTTCACTAACGACATATTCTGGCTGCGATGAGTATTTCACTGCTGCGTCTCAATTATTGCTGCCATGCGTCTTGGAGTGACTCCGACTGAATAATTTCTAACTGCCGCCCGCGTAACTTGAAGGCTTGATGCATAATGGCTTGGCTTCAACATGATTTCCGTCTTACCACTACATGATACATCCAACCCTCCACGAACCCTATGGTGAGTGACGGATGGCCCTCAGATTGTCAACAAACAAGGGTGCTAACACACATCACACTAGCTGGCAACGACGCGCAAACCAGCTGAGGAAGGAAGAACTTTGCAGGCCAGAATTGAGCACGTCGCATTGCGCGACGCGGACATTCTCGAGGAGGTCGTCGAGCACTCTACACCAGGGAAGGAATGCACACCCGAAGATCAACGGCAGCCTGTCTCCGCTCTGGCTCGGGTCTCCAAAGCTTTCCACATCCCCGCCACCAAGGCGCTCTAGGCTCGACTGCCTTCTCTGCACCATCTGCTGATGCTCCTCTCCGAATTCGATAGGTTGTATCGAGCTTACAGCGCGGAGGACCCTTTCGGGCACTTGACGGATGTAGTATGTATCCCTTATCATCATTATTGGTGTAATGACTTGACCCGGTTTACACATCACACAGCGTCTCACAGAAAGCGTCAGTCCGGAAACATGGGCGCGTTTCCGCAATCGTGCTGCCGCCGTACGTCATCTGTCGCAAGGATACCCTTCAGATTTCTTACTGCTCCACGGCGAGAGCTGGTCATATCTCGCGCGCCGCTTAGGCTACCACGGCCCCCTTTTCCCCTCTTTGCGGACGGTCTTGGAGTGGAAGCCTACAAGGTCGTGCGAAGACCTCCGACTCTTGGTATCCCCGCTACTGGACGGCGCACCCACTCTTCGCGCTCCGCAACCTCACGGACCTGTCTCTCTGGCTCGGTTACGGCGAAATCATCCTGTCCGACGCCGTCTTGGAGGCGTTGCGGAAGCATGGCCCGCGCTTGTCAGTCTTGATCTGCTTCCACAAGCGTCGGCCCCATACCTCACGTGGCCCCCTGCGCCTCCACCCCGCCAGTGTCACATTGCGCTCCTTCCACGCCCTGTCCAGAAAATGCCCACAGTTGGAAGTGCTGCATATCCCGCATCTCTATGTCCCGCCAGAGGACTGTTACGACACCAGCAACGTGGACGGCGCCGAGCACGCGCCAGCCCACCAGCTCTGGAAGCTGGTGGTCTGCCGCGCCTTCATCGTAGACGCGCACGCATGTGCGCTGGTGCTCCACCGCATCTTCCCCCATCTCGACGTCGACCACTGTCGCGCAGCGTACGTGCAATCGCACGACGCCTGTCAGGAAGACCACTTTTTCCGGGCCGCTTGGCTGAACACGCTGGACGCTCTGGAGGCCCGAGGGGTGCCAGCCTCCCGCGTCGCACACAGCGCCCAGCTGTTGTGACTCATCGCAGTGCGATTCCTCGAGTCCTTAATCGTTGCCTAAACGCCGTGGCGCTATCTCGTTTGGTAGCCCGGGATATTTGTGCTGTACGGTGTGAAGGCGTCAAGCGTTGATGTTTGGCAATGATAATCGTTCTCGCTCTTAGCGCTTTCTCGCACAGATTACTCCTCGGGTGGACATAGCAACATTGTTTTTCAGGTAGGCGATGACGTTCCGTGGTCGTTATATGCGCCCATTGGTTTGATCTTCGTACGTTGTTCGTACGTGCACACCTTCCAGCATGGCCAAGGATGCGCCGCCAGCGCAGTCCAACCACTGCGACATGACCATCGACATCTGGCAGCGCCGGCTGCTTTACCCGACTGCACCGCGCTCGCGGGTGGCGGAGCTTCTCGGGTCCCGAGTATGTAATATTTCCCTGCGATTCCGTTCGAAGCCCGGCTGCGCGGTTGACTTGCTAAGTAATCCTCTACGCCTCTCTCGTCGCTCATCCATATCCCTCACGAAGGTCATGCGTGCGTGCCATTTTGCTTTGATGGGATATTCAGCGACGTTGGCTGACTCTTTACGCTAGAAACGTGCCAGCCTCGGACAGGATGTCAGTAACGCGCGCCGCACTGCAAATCACCGATATCCTCGAAGAGATTGTCAGGTAACTCGCACCGGAGATGGAGTGGACGGACGAAGGGCAGCGACGGGCCCTCGCTGCCATGTCGCTGGTGTCCCAGACGTGTTACGTCCTGGCCAACAGGGTTCTGTGGACCCGACTACCGTCCCTGTGCCCTCTCCTATGGCTCCTTCCGGAGTTCGCCAGGTTCCATCACACTCAAGGGCAACGGTGTTCGACGGAGCAGCTACCTTCCGTACGTTTCACGTCCGCCTACTTGTCTGCGCCATATTCTTACACCACTCCGTGTCTGTGTCCAGCGTCTCTGGGAGCCTGTCACCCCGCAAGACTGTGCACGCTTTCGCACCCGCGCTGCCGTCGCCCGCACTCTACTTGAAGGCGACCCGTGCTGGAATAAAGGCCCTCTGGACGAGGAAAGCTGGTCTTACCTGACACGGCTCAGCGACGGGACCCTTCTTCTGCCGTCCCTTCGGGTGCTGAGCTGTTGCCCCGCGAAGACGGGAAAAGAGCTCCGGCTCCTGGCATCCCCATGTCTGCAAAAGTTGGTTCTTCATCATATTCCGTCTCTGGAGGACCGGTCAGAAGATGGTGTCCTGCTGGCCGTACAAGACATGCTCATCAATACGCCGACGCTCACCGAGTTCGAACTGCACAACTCCCACGGCGACTTCTTCACTCGTATCAACTTCACGGTGCTCCGACAGCTCAAAGCCGTACGGCACGTTAACCCGGAAAGTACCGCGATGTAGGTGTTCCACCCGGAGTGGTTCCCGGAAGCCGACGAGCTTCTGGTATTGGCCGCGCTACCCGCACTCGAACGCCTCTGTATCGAGCTCTCCCTGGACCGTGAGCCGGAGCTCGCGGGGTTCCATTGGCTGAAAACACTCCACATCGTGGACGGCGGCCATTGCACCCTATATTTCCTTGCAAACTGCACCTCGCCCCATCTGCGCGAGCTCACCATAGACCTTACAGGACTATCATCCCCGGTTTACGTGGAGAGCGTCATGGGTTCGGAGCTCCCCCCGTTTTGCACCACTATATCGCAGCGCTTTCCTCAGCTGCGTCGCCTCAAAGTCGAGCGGGAGAGCACGTTCATCGCGGACAACCTGGAGACGTTTTCCGCTGCAACACGGCCGCTGTTCACGCTCCGCCACCTCACTGCGCTGTACCTCTCATTCAGCAGAGGCGCTCTCGTGCTCTCGAATACCATCTTCGAGGCATTCGCGGAGGCGTGGCCCGCGCTCACCAGTCTTACTATCTGCGTCCGGAGTCTCGCACATAGCGCTGTGGTGGTATTTATTTAGTGACTGTCACACTCCGCGCCCTCCGCGCGTTCTCCAGACACTGCCCTCATTTGCGGGAGCTGCAATTCCCGCATCTTCATGTCGCGTCCGAGGACTGCGAATACGAAGACATCGGAGGCTCCGAAAGCTCGCCAGGCCACGGGCTTCGCGCATTGGCTTTCTGCCGCGCTGATGTAGCAGACGAACGTGCGTGCGCTCGAGCGCTCCATCGCATCTTCCCTCGTCTCGACATTGATGCCTCTCGCGACCTGCATTCCAAATCAAGCCACAACGAGTATAGAGGATGGGAGCAAGAACGCGGTTTGGGACGACGTGGTTGGATATACTGAGTGCGGTGGAACAGGCCCGTCGCCGAACACGCGCCGACAAGTTGACTTCTCCTTGACATGCTTGCCCCTCGCACAAAGATGACAACGTCATTCGAGGGAGTGGTGTCTCGCCGATACAAGCCGGGAAATTTGTCGAAGCTCGCGCTCGTCTGATGATGCTAGCAATATTTTGTTCAGCTGTAGTGCGGCGTCGACAGCTTTACTCCCGCTCCGGGTGGCGCACCGGCGCTTCTTTCTCGGAGCGTACCAGCGCTGTCCATAGAAGGCAAGCCCGGCTGTCCCGACGCTGTCCAACTAGGTTTAGATGCTTCCCGTTAACTTGACCACATACCACCACCATGGCGGCCTCTTCATATCTTCCCGCTGCCGTCTTTCAGACAGTTTCCACCGCAGGACCTTCCGCATTGACCAAATCTTCGTTATACCAGAGCTGTTGGGGTGCCTGGGAACGCCGGTGGCTGCAGTTTCCGGTCAGTAGTCTCGCCCGCGGATATCCAGAATACGTGGTGCTTACCAGTAGTTGTGGATCGTAGGATGTTCCATACATCGCCTCGTGTCACGGTGTTTTGAAAAAGACTGGCCGTTCAAGTCCGGACCGACCACGTCGGGCCGTTCCAAAATGCGTACGGCCTTGCAAACATGACTATATGCGGTATCAGCAAGGGTTTTATGCTAGAGAGAAAGTTGACAATCAACCAACTGGACGTTATTCAGGCCGACCGTTCACCGCGAACACCGATTTTGGGCCACACCAACTTCTACTACTCGTTCACCGGCGAACTTGATCGGCTTTGAGATACCTGGTGAGCGATATCACATGGTACGGCAGCCACCATCGGGCCACGGCGTACGACGCCATCGTTCTCCAGCTAGTACTACAAGGAGCTACTAGGGGCAAACATATGCTTCGGAACGATGGGTGGAAACCCTACCGTTCAAACAGCGTTGCGCATACGCGTCGGCTCGGAAGGAATCCAGGGATACGCACCCTATCCATAGGAGCGCCCCATTGTATTTCTGGCCAGGCCGCATCAGGATTTCCGTTCTAGACATCGGCATAGGAGAAGAGAAGGTGGATGTATGCGCGAAATAGGAGACAGCATTGACGAAGTGCCGAGCCGCGGTGCCTGGCGCGTTACCCCGGTGGCGGCCTTACCAAATATGGAAATGCCGACGGTCCCAACTCCAAGCCCCAGGTGATCGCGACCCGGACCGCGTGATGGTCAGGGCGTGCGCCGTGCGGCGCGGGGCCGATGACGGAAGAACGCTCACGCGTATATGATTGAGACGTCTCAGTGCCCATGCACCTGCATCCCCGTACTGCTACTTCGACGTACTGCAACACCTCCATCGCCCAACATGTCGACATCATCCTCACCTACTCCTCGGACGTTTACCGAGGCTTGGCTTCCTGGGCACGACGGTACCAAGTTCTACACCCGCACCTATCCGGCACCTTCTCCGCGCGCAGTACTCCTCTTCGTACACGGCTTCGCGGAACATCTCGGGCGGTACGAGTGGGCGCACGGAGAATACGCCTCCCAAGGCATCACGGTCTTCACATACGATCAGCGAGGCTTCGGCCGGACCGCTTTGGATCACCCGAACAAGAGCAAACATAGCGCGTACGGCAAAACAAGCTGGCCCGACCAGCTGAGCGATATCGAGTTCTGGGTCAAGCACCTGAAGTCGGAGTACTCCGAGCTGCCTTTGTTTTTGAAGGGACATTCAATGGTGAGTGCATTGCCGGACGTAGTGCGAGCCATCATTAATATTCTATACAGGGAGGAGGACTCGCACTTGCATTCGCGACCCGGACAACCCCGTCCCCAGCGCCGGAAACATTAGCATCACTCTCCGGAATCATATCCTCGAGCCCTCTGCTCCTGCAAAGCCAGCCCGTCCCGAAGTTGATGCGCTATGTCGGCGGGAAAGCAAGCCTGCTCTTCCCCAACCTCCTATTTGATGCGCCCGTACCGATCCAGGTCAGTTGTTATGCTCCCCTTCAGAGTATCCCTACAAGGTTGCTAACGTTCCCCTTCGGTACGTTCCCAGGATTTGTCTCACAATACTGCCGCGAACGAAGCGAATTCGACAGACCCTTGGATTGTGCAGAAAGGATCACTACGAGGGCTTCGCGATATGCTCAGCGGGGTACGTTTTGGCGCGTCTATATTATCAATGCGTGAAATCTGAGGCACAGAACCAGGGCGAGCAGCTGCTCTGGAATGACCATAAGCATTGGCCGCAGAGCCTCCCGGTATGTGTCTATGTCTCTGTACCTTGAACAACCCAACTCATATCCTATCAGCTCCTCATTGTACACGGAACTGCCGACCGAGTGAGTACCTCCCTATGCAGAGCGTACGGTGCGGGTCCTTCGACAGCCTGTCGGCAACGCCGAGAGCGCTTTGGCGAGAGGCTGTCTACACGTTTGCACGGCCCCGTTCAGGCGGGACCTGGTGCCAGGAGAGTGATAGTCTAGCTTGGTTGTCAAGGCAGCAACGAGATCCCTGCACATCGTCGCGAGGGATTGACGTTATAAGCCGCGATGTCCGCCCGCATCGAACATCACGACTCGAGCGCCTTGCAGTCGATGGAACGATGTGCAATCTTCGAGACCGCGCCCCGGCGAAAAGCGCGGACTCCTTCCGTCGAATTCCAAGTGTGGCGTACGACGGGTGTCTTCCCAGGCTGCATTGGAAGAAGGTCATTACCGTCTGCTTGCCGCATCGGTCATACAGGCATTCTTCGTACACGGCTCGAGTTTAATCGCGTCCTTCGAATTTGTTTTGTACCTGCGTGCCCTACATGTGAAGGGTGGATGTGAAGGGTCTCCGCTCCCCGAGCTGGAAGTTCCCCCGTCATAGTCTGCATCCCTCCGCTACTCACCACCTCCTATTTGCTGCTTGCCGCCCCACAATTCTCATGTATTGACTTGTTCTCCCCCTTATAGGTCACATCATTTAAAGCGTCGGAGGAGTTTTATCACAAAGTGGACGCAGCGGACAAGGAGTTCAAGCCGTTTGAGGTGTGTGCCTGATTCTCGCCTCGTTGCCGCATCCTGGCTGAACGTTGTGCCCGCCAATCAAGGATGGCTTCCATGAACTCGTCCATGAACCCGACGGCGTCAAAGAGAGATTCGTCGACGAGTGTGTGTCGTGGCTATTGAAGCACATCGAAGAGCAGGACGATACTCCCCCACCAGTTACCAACTCTTCGAAGCTGTGATTATGGACAAATGATAATGATATTTCCGGCCTTGTCGTTGTTTGAGAATCATTTCCGTCGGAAGATGCTATGCCGTTGTCGGAAGGTGGTCCGTGCGGTCGCGTCCGGTCGCGTGGGATGCTGATCGCATACACCGACCATCACCACTTCTCGTTTTCTACTCTCTCCGTCCGTTTCGTCCCATATTTCCCTCTCTCTTCCTTCTTCCGCGCGGGGTGGGCACCGATTCAAAGAGCTTTTTAAATAAGTAGATCCCCTCCACCCACCGCACTCGCCCTCTTTTTGTGCGTGTCTTTTTCTGCCCACACTCGTTCGCGCCCGCCCCCTGCTTTCCGGCCGACCCCACGCTCTCTGACTTGCTTTCTCTCCTTTATTCCTCCTACCCTCCTCTCTCGCTCGCCATGGACGACTCCCAGACAGCGTTTGCGGCCCAGTACCAACCCTACGCTGGTTTCGATATCGACATGATGAAGGTACGCACCCACCCGTTCTCGTCTCTCCCTCACGTCCCCCCGCACCCCCGACGACGGAACGGCAGCTTACGGAGCGCGGCAGAGGTCTATGGACGCTGTCGGCGGCCCCGACGCGAAAAAGGCCCGCTGGTCGCCCACTTCGTTCGGCCCCAACAACGGCGCGAACGGGCTCGCGGCTGCCAGCGCATCCGGCAACCGCGACGCGTTCGCCAACTACGGCTACGGCCCGCAGGCCAACCTCGCCCAGAACGGCTTTAACAACTCCCCGCCGTCGTCTGGCTTCGGTGGCAACCCCCTCTACTCGACCCCGTCGCTGAGCGTCAACACCGCCGTGGCTGGCAACGGGATGCCCTCGCAGATGAGCCCCAACACCGCTGGCCCCTACACTCCTCAGCAGCAGCAACCTCAGTCTGCGAACCCGAACAGCGCCAACCCCTACAACCCCTTTAACGGATACAACATGCTCGGGATGGGTCTGCCGCAGATGGGGGTACTGGGAGGATTTGCGTACAATGGGCAGATGGCAAACTTCGCACAGGTGAGCTTTCATCTCCCCGGCTTGCGTTTCCAGGTCCATGCAAGAGACGTGTCACTTCGCGACGACAAACACTCGCTACACCTTGGCCTCATACTATGGTCCGCCTCCTGGGACTTAAGTGGGCATGTGGCGACGGGCATCGTCCGAAAACCCATGTCGTTGCCTGGGGACGGCTTGGGCAGCGACACTCTTCATTTTTCCTGGTGATTGGCGCGCTCCTTCTTCGCCGATTTGATTCGGCTGGCACATGCCGTACACCTGTCGATATCCCTATCAGTAGCCCCAGACCTTGCTTGTCGGGACCGCTGGGTGGTCGGGGCCGATGTGTGCTGTCAGATGGACGCATACAGCCGTTCACGCGCCTGTATTTACTCGTCCCGGGCCTCACCACTGCTGTTTTGACCTTTTGGATTATTCGTGACGTATACGGTTGTGCTAACGCGGTTTCCCTTGAATCTGCAGCAGCTCAACCAGCAGCGTCTACCCTCGCTCACCATCCCCTCCCCGCAAGCGTCGCCCTACTCCCCGGCAGCCATCACTGCGGCCTTGTCCGCTCAGAGCAACACGACCGCACGCACCGTTTACGTTGGCAACCTCCCTGCAACGGCTTCTGTCGATGAACTCCTTAACCTCGTTCACTTCGGGCCGCTGGAGTCTATTCGCGTGCTTCCCGAGAAGTCTTGTGTGTTCTTGTCGTTCCTTGACGGGTCAACTGCGGCAGCCTTCCACGCGGATGCGCTGATCAAGAAGCTCTCGCTCCACGGGCAGGAGCTCAAGATTGGCTGGGGCAAGCCTTCTCCGGTGCCGAGCCAGGTGGCACTCGCCATCCAGCAGAGCAACGCGAGCCGGAACGTGTACTTGGGTGGTCTTGACGAGGCTATGACGGAGGAGCAGCTTCGCGACGATCTCAGCCGCTTCGGGCTGATCGACCAGGTGAAGATCGTGCGCGACAAGAACATCGGCTTCGTGCACTTCTTGAGCATCTCGACCGCGACCAAGGTAAGCTTACTTACACGTGTATATGCGCGTCTTCTCATCTTGTCTTTCATAGGTGGTGAACACGCTCCCCACGGAGCCCGCATGGGCTGGCAAGCGCGTCAACTACGGCAAGGACCGCTGCGCATACATCCCCAAGTCGCAGCAAGCGGCCGCGCAGGCTGCTCAGGCCGCGGCTGCCCAGTCGTTGGTGGCGCAATCCGCGGTGCTCTCGCCCATCGGCGGCGGCAACCCGTTCGCGTCGCCCCTCTCGCCATACATGCCGTTCTCGCCCGACGCGCTGCAGAGCCTCGCTAGCGGCCAGAGCTTGAACCGCACGGTGTACCTCGGGAACATCCACCCCGAGACGACAACAGAGGACTTGTGCAACGCAATCCGCGGTGGCGTGCTCCAGAGCCTCCGCTACATGCAGGACAAGCACATCGCTGTGAGTGTTCAGAGCTGGGTGTATGCGACTGCTACTGATCATTTCATACAGTTCGTGACGTTTGTCGACCCCGCCGCGGCGCTCACCTTCTTCCAGGTAGCGTCGTATCAGGGCTTGACGCTCAACAACCGCCGGTTGAAGATCGGCTGGGGCAAGAACTCTGGGCCGCTGCCCCCCGCACTTGCGCTCGCTGTGCACTCGGGCGCGACGCGCAACGTCTATGTTGGCAACATCGAGGACTTCGACACGTTCACGGAGGAGAAGCTGAGGAGGGACTTTGGCGAGTTTGGAGAGATTGAGCTCGTCAACTTCTTGAAGGAGAAGTGAGTGACGTTTCCTATGTCTGGTCTATCAGTTTTTGACCGTTTTCGTAGGAACTGCTCGTTCATCAACTTCACGAACATCTCGAATGCGATCAAGGCGATCGACGGAGTCAAGAACAAGCCGGACTACGCGAACTTGCGTATCGCGCACGGCAAGGACCGGTGCGCGAACCCCCCGCGTTCGGGTCCGCAGGGTGGATCTGGAGGAAGGAGGTCTGGAAGTGGGAACAACGCGAACTCGCAGCCACCTAGCGCTGTCGAGCCCACAGAGGACGTGAACATGCTGAAGAACGTGGTCGAGAACGGTACGATCAAGGAGGAGACGAGCGAGGTGGCCGACATCCCGTCCGGAGAGGTCGAGGCGTCGGCGTGAAGACGAGACGATGACATACGACAACACAACACACCATACCCCTGCGTTGCTGCCCGCGCTGCGAAAACTCATTGTATGATGAAGTGGCCGCTTGGATACCCGCCCCCTGTCTGTGTATATCGTGCTCGCTTCCCCGAACGTTCTCTCTGAAACTGCTCCTGCGACTGTACCACTGAACTCGATGACTCGGCGCCCCGGCCCGCTGTCGTCATGGCTTTCCAGCAAAACCGTCTTCTCGTGGATGGACAACAACGCCGGTCAACAACATCCGCAAGCCCGCTCGCCTCCGTGCCGAGCGTGGGCGAGTGCCACGATAGCACGCGACGGGGACTCCGACTGCCACACGCGCGCGGACCTTGGGCTATTGGTTGCTCGTTCTTTATCAACTTGACTTTCGCCGTTCGCCTCCTTTATTCCCCGCCCCCTCCCCTCAATCACCCGATTCCTTTCTCTTTTCACTCTCGCTGATCTCGCCCCCCACCCCCGTTTACCTTTCTCTTCTCTGCTTCTTCTCTTTCTCGAATGTTAATGCGGGGCGCTCGGGGTTCTTGCGACCCGGCGCCCTCGCTGCCGCTCTTTGCCTTGGTACCATATATGCATGCCCTTGTCCCCTGGTCCCGTCTGACTGTGAACGTCTGATCGTCTCTGTTCCCTGATACCGGTACTATACTCCCCTGGCCGTATTGCCATCGATGCGGGTGCTATAACGATGCAGTAATCTTGCGTGTATCTCACTCATACTCTCTACACCCGAAGTAGCAATGGAGTTTCCTTTCCTCTCTCCCTCGAAGGCCTCATGCCCCAACCGACCACTCCCGTTGTGTGAGTAAGGCTCTCGATTTGATGTCAAAACATTGCGAAGCGGTCGCGCCTGGGACAGGCATCGCACGGTCAGTCAGAATGGCATATTTATGCAGCGGAGACTCAACGCGAACAGCTCTGCGCCAAGGTCGATGTGTATAGATGCGATCGCGATGTCTAGCATTCCTCGGAGCTGCTGATTCAAGTTGGATAAGCTCTCTCTCTCTGGCTATAGTACTAGCCCTATGTGATATCCTCAAACGTCATCCCCCGTGCCTGCTGCATCCACCAGCCTGGAGGCTCCCGAACTGCTCAAGGCCTCAGGCCTCAAAGTCTACTAGCGCCAGGGCATCTCTTCCCATTTCGTCCTGCCATACCCCGTCCTTGGGGTCGATTTGGGCCCCGTCGTCATCATCCAGGCTGCGGAGGCGATCTACCATATTGATCATGTCGTGGATTGTGTACTGCCGACGGATGTCTCCACCGTTGAACCGGACCAACAACGTGTGGAAGAAATGCTCGCGGAAAAACTTCTCTTTTTGCGGGTCCGGGGCATCGAAGCGCGCAGGAAAGCCCGTCTCGGCTGCCGCCTTAGTGAAGGTGCAAATCCGCCATCCGTCCTGACAAAGTCCGAGCACATTAGTAGCTATTACATAGACAGATAAGTCATCTATTGGTGCTTACATCAACGTCGACGCTCAATTCGTTTGCAAACCACAGCTCATGCACTTCCGCACGCATGGGAAGCAGATTGTCCACGACACGGCAAAGCTCCCGCGAGAACTCATACTCTCGCTCTGCAGAGTTCTATGGCAATCGTTGAGTCAGTGACTCTATTTTGAAGATATTTTACATACGGGGTTACACATCTTCGGGTGGAAAATATAATAGAGTTCCAGCGCAGTGGTACCGACATCGCTGGTTAAGCCACTGAAGGCGCACTTGTCGCGCGGAGCCCTGAACTGCTCACGCAGAGTATCTGATACGACTGACTGAAGGGCGCACACAGAATCGCCGCCGTTGAATCAGCGAAATTCAAATACGCATTTAGCCAGCGGGGACCTACTTGTTCGAGGTATTGGGCCAGGCCGGAACCATCATCATCGAACATTCTTATGCGCTCTATGTTGTTCTTTTGGATCTTCGTGAACGTCGAAACACCTTGAGGAGGTATGATGGGGACTGCATTCGGGATCTGGGTCGGGACTTCTGCATCTGCCCCAACGAAAACCATAAGTTTACACCTCATGGTGGCAATCGATAGGCAGCCATCGCTTGCCTTGCAGAAAACAGCCGTACACTCCTGGTGACAGGAGAGCAGAGCTTTCTAAAGCATCGGACAGCGGTTGCGGTTCATAGTCGAGGATATTCCGATGTCTCAACTTCACCCGCTTCACGACGATGATCTCGTCCGAGCGGTCCTCCTCACTCTCGTCCAAGTCGTCCTCACTCTTGTCCGAGTCGTCCGAAAGCTCTTCGATCGATACGCCTATCCAGCGGAGTAGTGTCTGTACTGTGACTGGAGTGACGTCTGCATTGAAGCCTGGTATGCAGTCAATTTGCACTTTAGCTCGAGATTATCAGAGACGGTGTCGCTCACATGCAATGAGACTTCCGGAAGGCCACCACACGAAGACATCCGCGTTGCGTTCCAATGCCCATTTTGACCTAAGGACGGGGAGCGCGAAGTAATCTTCGGGCGTTGCGGTATGCGACGCATCTTCAACAGATGGTTTCGTTTGTTTAGAGCTAGACATCATGTTGTAGTGAGTGAACAAGACAGATACTCTCGACGTGCCACGCCATTCCACATCTCAGATCTCGCGTAAGCCGCATACCACCCCGAGGCCTGGAGGCGCTCTACCCACACGTTCATTTGGCGCGATCGCACGGGCCAGCTTGGAAAACGCACCTGTCGAGGCAAACTATTGGATATTTGTACCACCCCAGTCATACAAGCTACCAAGCTACACGCCAAGCACAATGCAGTGGTGCTGAGGCAATTGTCGTTGACCCGACGGCCCTTCGTGCTGGGAACCCTCAACTTGAAAGCGGCTCTGCGCTCGACGTGGGTGACTGACACCCGTCAAAAGCGTCCAGCATGCGCTGCCAGGCTTCGCTGAAATGACGGTCTTCTTTGACGCGGCTCGCCATGATCATCGAGCCGTCCTTAGCTATGATACACGCCCCTGTGCCGCCTTGCCTGACAGTCGGGCTTTAGCATGCACCTTGGTGACTACAGCACCGCCCGGGCCTTCCTCCAGGTCTCCGCTGGCAACCGATTGTGAGGCCGCATTATCATGCAGGTCTTCTTCACCGTATTCCATGTGCTCCAGGCGCCGCAAGTCGCTCTCCCATACTAACAAACGTATTCAGTATGCACACATCACCGAAGATATCGGATGTACTCACGTTTGACCTCCGCAACCTCGTCCGGCTTCGCAGTGTACCACCCACTGTGGCCGATGGCCTCGATCACGTCGGAAGCGAGCGAGAATGAGCCAAAGACAAATGTGCCCAGGTGGAGGGCATTCGTGCCAGTCACGAACACGTTCGTGATCGCCATCTGCAAGGTCTGCACGATGTGCGAATTGCGCGTGACGGGCGCCAGCCTGCCCCCGGACGCAGCCCCGATCGCGTCCGTGTACATCTGCCGGAACCTTCGGTGGTGGTCCTTGCTGTCACGGGCGACACCTGGGTACGACTCCCCCATCCCGTACATCAGCGGGTCCCAGTCGAGGATGAGCCACAGGGGGTACGAGAGGGCTTGCAGCTGCCGGGGCCCGACGAAGACGCCGTCCCAGTCGATGATGCCGGCGACGCGGCCGGTGTCGTCGACGAAGATGTTGTGCGTGTTGAAGTCCGGATGGCCGAGGCAGAAGGGGGCACCGTCCCACTGGGGCTCCGGAAGAGCGCTGAGGAGCATCTGGAGGAACGCGAGCATGGGGGAGTCGTCCTTCGCGCGCCGCACGTCTAACTGAGCTGTTAGATATTCGCGGGTAGAGCTGAATGGCCCGAATTCGTCGTCGGGTCCCTCTTCTTCCTCTAAGAAGAGGCCGCCGACGGATGGAAAGGGCGAGATGGAGTGCGACCCATCCGGCTCGACGCGGTCCAGCCGTCCGATCTGGTCGAACTCAAGCCTGGCGAGTTCTACCATGAAGCCCGCGAGGGACTGGAAGAGGTGCGCCTTCTGTCGCTCGTCTGTCCACCACGAGGCGTCGTGCCAAACCTCTGAGAGGAGCCGTCCATGGACCTTGTCCATGATCATGTAGGGGTGGTGGAGGGGATTGTCGACGTCGCATGAGTAGGCATGGATCGCTGGAATGGGGACGGATGTGCGAGACTGTATGTATTCTATCGCGAGAATGTCGAGCCACATGCAGCGTGCGTCGATGGGCCCCCATTCGTCGATCGGAATACGAATGATCCATGATGTGGCGTCGGAGAACTGCACCTCGTACGCGACGTTGGATGCCCCCGCTCGTGGAGGAGTCACCACAGTGCAGCTGAGGTCACTCAGCGGTGACGGTTTCTCCTTGGGAAGCTTGTCACTGAGAGACTTCACCCGTGCGCCGAGGGCCACCTGGGCGATGACGGCGATGTCGAGAGCTTCGACGAACGCATTTACCGCTTTGTTTGCGTGGATGCTGGGAGGGGAGCTGCGAGACATTGTGGGATAAGCAGGGAAGCGGGCACTGACTGAGCTCTGGGTGAGCAACGAGTCATAGTCCTGGGATATCACGACGTACTCGCTTCGCGAACCCCATCCTGTTCTGTCGTAGCCACGGTCCCTGCGCAATCTGGCGCCCTCCATGCCGACGCGCCCATGCCGCCCGGTCTCCCCGCATCCGGCGCTCCCGGTCTTCTCGCTCTTGAGCGTATCACCGTTTGTATGCGCGCATCTGTGTTTCCCGGATGGAATGGTCTGTCTCCGCGCGAGCGGCCTGACGGTTTTGTACGTGGAACGTCTAGAAGAGTGTCGCGAAGTGCACGTTGGCTGGTGGCGGGGGTAACATGCGAGTCTGCTTAGCTTGGCGGAGGTAGTAAAGGTGGAGGGAACGGAACCAAGACTCACCTTGAAGCGCAACAGCCGCTCCGGAGAGTGGAGATTTCTTGCGCCGCTTTCAAGATACATTTCTCCTGGAAATAGGGAGGCCTGCTGGGGAGATTTTGGTAAGTGCAAAGCGGCCGGAAATACAGCGCGTGTGGACGAAGTGAGTGTGCTTGAATGACTACTCGCCGCCAGAATCACGAGCCCTTGAGTTGAGACTTACCACAGAGCCGTGATTCCTACCCCATATCTTAGGCGAGAGGGTGTTGAAGGGCACTAGAGGGCTTGTCGATTACGAGAATGGCGGCCTTCATAGAACCGTAAGAGCATATATGCCTTACGACCATCGCCGTTACTTAGTAGCAGGACCTTCTGCGCGCCTCAACCTAGCACTAGAGCTTCTTTGGGTCATGCTGGAGGGAGATGTCGCATAACTGTGATGTTTCAAGTCCACCAGCGAGAGGGATAGTAACGCGCGACTGTATTCTTCTGGACGCTCGGAAGCCACGCTCGGGATATTTTGGAATGCAGAGCTTAAAGCGGCCATGATGTTCATAGAAGCTCGTGATTCAAGAGTGCATGTCATAGGGTGGGAGGTCGCACAGCGAGAGAGTGAGTGAAGGGGGAAAGAGAGAGATGTTGTGTGAGTGGTTTCCACGCCTAGTTGCCCGATCTGGATCGCTGCTACTCCACGCTTTCGAATTTAGCGCTCTAGCTCGAAGTCCTCACTGGCACTCAGTCGGACCTCCATAATGTTCCACATTGCACGAACGCGTATGAGCCACAATGCAGGTGAATATCGCATCTGTGTTTTTATGGAGAGGGTACGGACTTTTTAGCTATGACATGCCACTTCGCGTCGTCACGGATAACGTCGAGTCTATAAAACCCGCGACTGCTGGGGGACTTGGACTCCTAACGCACGCAGTCTACCACAGGATCATGCAAATCGCTATTCGGAAAGCGACTGTACAACATAGGACGTATTATCTGACTCATCGTAAGAAACCGCCTAATCGCTTTCGTCCCCCGAAGTCACCACGTTCTTATCCTTGTCTTCCGTACCCTCGTCCGTGTCCGAGTCCTCTAGACTACCGCCTCTGAAGAGATGCTCAGGAAGTTCGAATCTCAGATCAGGATTCGTGATCTGGATGTGCTGAAACGCCAGCTCTCCCATGCGGGTTCTCCATTTCTTGCGCTCGAGGTCTCTGGGCCTCGGAGTCACCCCGTCTGCAGCAAATTTGACATTGCCGAGAAACCACTCGACATCGCCATGTTTGACGTCGTCGGGGATCAGGTGCCCTCCAACAAGGTGTATGGCCAGCGTGTAGCGGAAATGCTCGCGGAAGCAGTCATCGCGCAGGCAGTCTTCTTCGTCGAATTTGAGCGTGGCCGAGAACTGCACGGCTTGAGCAGTCTTATCGAATACAATCATTCGGTATCCGTCCTGATGCACAAGGTTACAATGAGCTATGGGGGGGATAATACAGATCGATGGCGCAGACTAATATCAACGTCGACGCTGATCGCGTTAGCCAGCCAAAGCCTGTGGACGTCTGCGCGCATGGTGACTAAGTTTGACGAGACTTGCATGTCTTCTTCCTGAAAATCTATCGCACTCGTGTCTTGAAATACGCCGATGTGCGCTACCATCTGACGCAGTGTTTCAGTTGGTACGGTCGTAATACTTAGAGTCGAAGAAAATCTGCTTACATGTCCGTGCGCTGCAGGAGGGTAGATCCAGTGAGCTCCCACACGACGGTCGTCCGTATCGCTTGTGTCGCTCGTTGATCCGGTGAATATGCACTTAAAACAATAATTCTCCAAAGCCACGTCACGGAGCTCGGGAGAGATGGCGTTCTGCGGTAGCGTGTTGTCTTAGGGGTGAGAGATATTTCGATAAGTGAACGAGGCACTTACAACCAACACAAATGAGTTTGGGGACTCCAGATCCAGATCTTCGGCATCGGTCTGAGACATCTGTGCCCGAAAAGCCACAGTGTCCTCCAATAGGACTTGGAGTGTTCCAAGAAGATTGAAACAGTTGCAGGAGAAAAAAGCGGGGGGGGGGTGCTAGAAATCTCCCCACAACCTACTACTCGCGTCCAAGGTGAGTACATCAGGTTTTCTGCGCGGAAATGACTCACCGCCCGTGGGACTGGCGTAGCAGCAGGCGTAGTCTCCACGCGTGAGCACCGTCGAGTCATCGAGCGGGCGTGCGCCGTCGGGCACTTCGCAGCTGAACAGGAGACAGTCCACGTAGTTCACTCGCTCAACTGGCGTGATCGCAAGCGGGCGGCTCGAGGTCAGCATCCCAAACCAGCGAATCAGTGTGGGCGCCGTTGGCAGAGGGACGAGTGCTTCATCGTCGAAGCCTGTCGAGGATCTGGTGGTCAGGCCCGAACTCTATGTAGACGGTGATTTTCGGGAGGCTTACATGCCATGATCACACTCCCGACCCAACTTGTCGACTGCCACCAGATGAAGACGTTTGCATTGCGGGATAAAGCCAGTCTAGACTGATGAGCGAATTTGGGGAATGGTTGGTTAGTGACAGTAACGCGTTGCATGGCGCCGAGTAGAGCTTCTGGGATAGGTAGACGGCGGAGCAGGTTCAAGTTGTGACACGAGTCAAACACGCGTGTGGTACCACGCCTCAGGCCTCATGACTAGCACATCTCGCCTAAGAAGCGACGGTCGCGTGCAGGAGACGGCCCCTCTAAGCACGCGCTCAAAGCAGAAGGCACTATGATGACAGGCTTCAGTTTGTTTCGCTTCGGTAGGCAAATAAAGACATACATTTAGTGACTTCTCCTCCTCTTTGAATGCGTGTTTGTGGAGCGGCGTGTAGGTCATTACCTTGCCAAAACGAGTTTGCGCATGTTTACTGTGACCTCAGGCCTAGGCTGGCGGCATAGATGGATTGCGCACGGACAGATCGACATGCGGAGTATTTGATAGACACAAAACGTCGAAGGACGCGGATAGCATAGATACATACACTGGACGGCTACTGTCATATTCAAGTTAAGTTCCAGGTGCGAAGAATTATTAAATGAGCATGCGATGACGCGGGCGAGTGTAGACAACAGATGGAAGCGGTGTACGCGTGAGGCAGGAGTCGGGGATCTTCGTGCCGTGTCGCGAATGGCCACGGCGAAGGCGGCAATCGAAAATGGCGAGTCTGACGTGGCCTAAGGAAGAGAAGCTTCCTAGTCAGCACCGTCGGGGATCATCTGCGACACGCGAACCTTGTGCGAGCTGAAAGCAGGACCTACCGCGGTGGCATGGACCTTTATCTTGTGGGGAAGCTCAGCCGAGGGCGTAGGACGCCGAGTGTGCGTTGACCATACGTGTGAGCGAGCGACCAGACAGACTCGTGCAGGAATGCGAAGGCCGGACGACGGGGACACAGCTAGAATCAAGACGAGCTCCGCAGAGAAGACGGCCGGATGGAGACCGCGGCGCCGACTACAGCATAGAAGGCGGAGCAGTCCAGGCGACGACCCTCCAGAGGCAGGGTCCGCGTAGAGAGCATCATGCACCACGCGCCGGGCGTTGTGCTATAGCGGGGCACGGCGGGGAAGATCCGCTTCCATACCGCTTTCGACATGGACAGAGGACGCTAGATCCATCGTGTCTGTCGTCAGCTCGCGCAGGTGAGGCGAGGAGCATGTTTCGAGGAAATACATGACACCATGCCCGTGTAGAGTGTTTTCAGGGTAGGAAACCCCGGAAGCAAGGCTCGAGCTGCCTCGGTCCGGGGGTGTGCCAATGCGGGCGGAGTGACTGGTGCTGCCAAGTTCCAGAGCTGATGGCCTGGAGAATGTTCGGAGCCGACATCATCGAGACAGTACTGCGTCGTCGAGATCGTACTCCAGCGGAACTCCAGCGGGGCATAGAAGTGCGGGATGTGCAGCACTGCAAGATGCGAAGAGATTAAGAAGGGGGGCGCCGTTAAGGTGTTTTGGCTGGGAAGGCGGCCGTGGGCTGGGACGTGGAAGCGAATACTTGGGTCAAGAAGGGCCTTGAACGGCGACGGGACCCACCGGACAGCATAATCTCGTCGTATCCGGAGCAGAGGGACAGCCGAGTGAGATGGCGGAACACGTACGGGGGCATGTCGCATGTCGAGGGCCTACTCCGCCATCTGGGCGTTGTGGTGAAACATGATCTTGTCTGCGCGCAGCCGGGGTGTGTTTTGCGACGGTACTGCACAGGGCCCGGGATACAACATATCATATCCCACTCGGGCTCCTGAGACTACAGGTCGGTGAGGCCGATAGTCAGCTCGCGCGGACGAGACCAAGAGCACCTTTTGAACGACCAGTCACCATAACTGCAGTCAAAAATGCTCACCATGATCATAACGATGCAATCCCGCCAAGTCAAAATCATCGCTGCGAGTCAATGTTGTGCGCGACCCAAAGGCTTCTCCGCGCTCGGATACCACTCCTGGGGGCGATGTCCGTTGATTGATCCACTCCAGAAACGGTTATTGTAGCTGAGCTAGTGCCTCCAGGACGATGAGGGTTTGAAAGAAAGCATAGCTAGGACCAGCTAGCAGTTTTGAGCCCGACGCGATGATGGGCAGAGACAGAACAGACTCTACAGAGGGCGGTGCGGGCCGCGGCACCGCAGCGCGCGTGCGGCAACACAGGCGCTAAATTTCCAAATCGAGCAGTCAGGCGCTTGATCGCTTCGGTACGCGAGCTCCGACACCGGCTATCCCTCCGACGACGACCTCCTCCGAGCCCAGTAATGCAGGGAGTCCACTCGCATTCTCGTGCAAGATCAGGGCGTGCTACACATTCACAAACTAGTATATTTGTGAGTGATTCTGGATTGCATCGACGGCCGAACAACGCTAGGCTCTCCGAGGCGATCAGTAACTCCGCCGGGACCCATACTCACCCCTCCGTTTCGAGAGGGGATGGTACGCAGCAACGTAGCAGCTGTCATCCTTTCAGTACTTGACATATTTTCCTTCAGAACTCTAAACTCGGATAACATGATCCCCATTTCCATGCCCCTCACATTAACTTTGTCTAATGTCGCCAACGCGTCAGGCTGGGCTCTGAAAGTCATTAAGGTGAATAGTCTTCCATGTGATACGTCTATGTATGTCTGACATCCCTTCCAGGACACGCAATAGGAGGCGAGAACTTCCTCTCTCTCGCCTCATCACCGCATGCTAAGCGCGCCTCTCTTTATCGTCGAAAGCTCAGCCGGCCAGTCCACGCCCGCCGTCGCCGGGCTCGTGTGCTAGGACACCACGGCGGGGACGATCTATCTCCAGCAAAACGGGACTGCGCTCGCCGCGCCACTAAGTAAAGCTCACCGCGCGCGGCATGCATGTGTAGACGCGTCGCCGCGGCTTCTTTCGCAAGTCGACTAGTGGTCACGATATACACACTCGTTCAACCGCGTTCACTGCGCTCTCGAAGCGGCGCCCTATCGCGTACCGCCCGCGCTCCTACAGGCCGACGCTTCACTTGGGAAAGCTCGGGCAGGCTGAACGCGCGACTGCAGACAGGGAGAAAGGGGACGCGGCGGAGGGACAAGGACGGCTCGGCAGTCGATGAACAGAATACACTTACGGTGACCTCGAGCTTTCTCAGGTGACGCACTTAGTATATCGGCAACGTTGTTCATGCATATCCTAGCTATATGCGTACAAACTTGCGGCACAGACAATAACACTCCTTCAAATCTCTTCTCCACTGTCTGAGGCCCCGTCCTCGTCATCAGAGCTTGGTAGATCTAGCTGTTTCCCCGCGTCCAACAACTCCAAGGCGTCCTTACCCATCTCAGTTTTCCATATCGCAGCCTCGCGACTTGCTAACGCGTCCGCTTTAGCTATAAGGACGCTCAAGTCTGCCATCCTGCGATATCCGTACTCCGTACGAATATCGCCGCCACAGAATCGTAGCAAGCGCGTGTGCAGCAGATGTAGGCGGAAGTAAAGGCCCCATTCAGGATTCGGGTTATCCAGCCGCCCAGGCAAGCCTGCCATGACGCTGGCCGCTGCCTCGGAGAAGGTGCGGATGCGGTATCCGTCCTAGCGTAGAACTTCAATATCAGCAGCCGTCACACCTTACACGAGCAAATTGCATACTTACGTTAGCATCTACGCTGAGCTCGTTGGTGAACCATAGCTCGTGTACGCGGGAACACATCGGTAAGATGTTGTTCGATGACCACCACTCTTCCTTGGTGAGATGCTTGGTCCCGTTCTAGTACCGTGGTATGCACCTCAGTAAAGTCCCTGGGCGTCGCCGCGGTCGCGGTACAAAGTAAACACACCTCGCCGCCCATCTTCTTTGGGACAATCCAGTAAAGCTCCACAGGGTCTTCGGCGGCAGCGCCGGAGGTGACTCCGGTGGTGGCAGCACTCATGGGATCCGTGGAGGTGTCGCTCGCAGTAGCCTTGCGCGGGTATCCGGTGAAGATGCATCGATCGTGTGCTACAGTGACTCCACTGCGAAGAGCATCTGGAATCGTGTAGAACTGAGGGGGTTTGCAAATGATGTTACGGGCTCAGGTAATGAGCGAAACTCGAGACGTCGGACTCACTTTGGAGTTGGTTCGCTCGATTTGGTCTGAGGGCCACATCCAGGGGTTTTCCCTAACGTGCCCCTCGTGATCGTCCCGGATCTGCTTGAACGTCCGTACATGGATTCCAGGCGAAATAGGTCTCAGATCTTCGGGGATGTCTGTCGGGTCTGGTATGTCTAATATCGTAGCACGATGAAAGTTTGTTTCAGTGGGTATGACTGTGTTTGATACTAGTGCTGTCTCTCACCTCGAAAGTAACAGCCATAAACACCGGGGGAGAGGTTTTCCGAGCCTTGAATCAATTCCAACGGGTGCACGCCGTAGTTCAAAACCGCGCGGTGTTCCAGTCGGACACGCTTCACGATAATCTCACCGCTGCGAATCATATCAATTGGCATACCGATCCAGCGAAGTAGGACCTCCGGTGTGACTGGGGTGACCTGCGCGTTGAAGCCTCACACCCTGTCAGCTTGAGACTCGACGGACAGGGTCATTAATTGAAGGTAACTACATGCGATGAGCGTGTTCGTAGGCCACCATACGAAGACGTCGGCGTTGCGTTCGAGTGCCCGCACAGATCTGTGAATCGGACGTTGTTTCTCTGCCAGTGGACTGATATTGGACGTCGTATCAGCAGGGCATCTGTCGAGTGCCTCCGCGTTAGCCATGGAGGTAGATAGGACTGAAAAGGAGTTGCGTCGCGGGTTTGGGGATGTAGTTGCGGTTGTACGTAATTCTAGACTTGGTGGGTAGTCGGGACCGCGCCGCCGTGGCGAGCTGGAAATGGCAAATACTTAGGCGAGCACGGACCGCTGTGTCCAGGTTCGAGCATGCGCTCGTGCGCGGTTTCTTGCCTGCCATAGCATGATGGCGCCAGATTTGTCAATGTATCAGTAGCGTCGGCTTAAGCCTATCCTATTATTCAAGGCAGGAGACAGCAGATGCTGGTCATATCCATGACACAAGGTAGCGCTAACGTCGGAAGAGCTCGGACTCCTGCAATCCTTATATAACCTCGTCCTCCGAGTCGTCCTCCGTAGACCCATCGCTGCACTAGCCCTCTTGCAGCGCACCTTTTCCCTGGGAATCTCTCTTTTCATACCACTCCAAAGCGTCCTTGCCAAATTCAGTTTGCCATATCGGATGCTGGGGGTCGAGAACCTCCCCGGCGTCCGGCAAGCTGTGAAGATAGTAGCTCAGCTCTGCAAATTTGGCTTCGAAGGCTCCGCCGCGGAGACGTGTGCTCAGCAGAAAGTGGATGCCAAGACGCGTTGAAGGCGCGAAGACGGTGGGACACGAGCAGAGACCACGTCTTCGGGGATTCCGCAAGGAAAGCGCCCGAGCACGACTGCCAGGCGATGCAGCTGAGGACAGCGCTCACGGTGCTATGGCCATTGGCGGGGCATGGCGGGGAAGCTCCATTTCCGACCCGCTTTCGACGTAGACCGGGGACGATAGATTGGTGGGGTCTGTGATCAGCTCGCGCAGATGAAGCGAGGAATTGGTTTCGGGGAAATAAATGGTGTCGTGCTCGTATTGAAGGTTTCCAGAAGAGAGAACTTCACAAAGCGAGGCTCGTGGTACAGGGCTCGCTCGAATCGGAGATCCAGCAATGTGGACGAGGGGTGATGGCGTGGCGAATGTTCGGGACCGGTGGGATGGAAATAGTACTCCAGCGGGACATAGGATAGAGGTACGGGATGTGCAACACCGCAAGATCGGACGATTGGATCAAACGCGCCGTAAGGGTGATCCGGATGGGGGCGCGGGGCCGTTCAGAAATATATACCCATGGTCGGGAGCGTGGAAGCAAACCTTGAGATCGGGAAAAGCCATGAAACTTGAACGTCGACAGGACCCATTAAATAGCATAATCGCATGGTAGCCAAGCCGGAGGGATAGCATAGTGAGATGGCGGAGTGCGTACGGTGTTGTGCAACAGTGAGAAAGACGTCGAGGGCCTGCGTGCGCATCCGGACGGGGCGACCGAATGTGAGCCCATCTGTACGCAGGGGATGCATATCCTCCCCTTCTGAAACTACAAGTCGGTGAGGTCTGAAGTCACTCGTGCGGACGAGACTACGAGCATCTCGCGAACAACCAATCACCGCAGCTATAGTCGAGGATACGCACCGTGATCTTGAGAATTGAGTCTCATCGAATTCCAATCATCGCGTCCTCGACCCGAAGGGTTGTCTGCGTATCAATATTTCTGATACCACTCCTGGGGGCAATGTCTGTTGACCGATCTGCTCTAAACAGCAGGTGTCGCAGCTCAGCTAGAACCTCCAGGACAGCGAGGGCGAAGATGGCATAGATACAGCCTGCAGCCGCCTCGTCTCCCAGAGGCAGACCTTTCACACTCTATTGGAAGCGGGGAGGAAGAGTGTGTAAAGCAGCTACGTCGCAATGACGGGGAGACCGAGAAAAGAGTGCGGTGGCACGGACCGCGTCACCGAACTGCTGCAACTGGGGCGCTATCCGAATCGGGGAGTCGATTGCTTCGGCGCTCGCGCCGAGCAGAGCGAGTCCGACACTGGCCATATATGTATAGCCTCCGACGACGATCTCCTCCGAGTCTGGCACTCAGTCCACTCGCGTTCTCGTGCAAGGTCGAGGAGTGTTACACATCTACTGGATAGCCTAACTACAGTTGCTTCTGGGCTACAGTCACTACATCGACAGCTCAACAGCGCTGAGTTCTCCGAGGAGAATAACCCCGACCTCACTCTTGCGTGTCGGGAGCGGATGCCTTATAGTAACTGCCATCCAGTCAGTTGAGTATTTGCCTTTTACCACGCACAATGTTAAGCGCGGTCAACATGGCTCTCGTTTCCTTGAACGTCGCAGCCACTGGAAAACACCGCCGACGCGTTAGGCCTTGCCGAAAACTAGGTTCAGTGGCTCAGCTGGAGGTCATCCCAGCGAGCTTTGTCTGCCTACTCCCCCGTCGCCGTATCTCCAGCGAAATTGGGCGGCGCTGGCCGCGCTACCAAGTCAAGCTCACCACGCGCGGCATAGTTGTGTGGACGCGTTTCCGTGGCCGCCCCACACAGGTCGACTAGCGGGCACGACGTACACTGCTCTCGTTCAACCGCGATCACTGCGCTCTGGAAGCGGCGCTGGCTCATTGTCAAGCTATGGAGAAAGGGTTCCTTGCCGAAAGTGAGGGGGCGCGGCAGAGGGACGGGGGCGGCTCGGCAATCGATGAACAAAATATACTTACAACGATCTGGAGATTTCTCAGGTGGTGCGCTCAATGTATCGGTAATGTCTATGTATATCTTAGCTATATGCGTAGAAAAGCGGCAACACGAACAACAGCACTCCTTCATTCCTCCTCTTCCTCGCTGTCTGAGGCCTCGTCCTCGTCATCAGAAGTTGCAAGATCTCGCTGGATTCCAGCGTCCAACAACTCCAACGCATCTTTACCCATCTCAGTTTGCCATATCGCAGCCTCGCGATTCGATACCGCGTTTGCTTCGGCTATACGCGCGCTCAAGTCAGCCATCGTGCGATATCCATACTCGGTGCAAATATCGCCGCCACAGAATCGCAGCAAGAGCGTATGCAGCAGATGAAGGCGGAAGTAAAAGGCCCATTCAGGATTCGGGTTATCCAGCCGCTCAGGCAAGCCTGCCATGACGGCGGCGGCCGCACGGGTGAAGATGCGGATGCGGTATCCATCCTGATTCAAAGCAATCAAATCAACAGCCATCGCGCAACACATCAAGGAATGTCTACTTACGTCGACATCGACACTGAGCTCGTTGGCGAACCACAGCTCATGCACATCGACACACATGGGTAAGATATTTTCCCAGCACTCGCACTTGCGCAAATCAATAGACCTCGTATCATTCTAGCGCCGCAGTCTTCACGTTGGTATCCTTGACAAGTATGATATGTCACTGCAATAGTACACACCTCGCCGTTCATGCTGCTGGGGAATATCCAGTAAAGCTCCACGGTCTTCGGGGCAACACTGGCATTGTCGCCCATGGATTTGGCAGCAGCATCGCTTGTGGGTCCAGATGAACCAGTGATGATGGATGGGGTGGGGGCGTTGCTCGCCGCAACATTGCTGGTGTATCCGGTGAAGACACATTGGTTATGTGGTACATCCACCTGCTGACGGAGAGCGTCTGCAATGTCGTAGACCTGACAGACGAGGATAATGTCACTATAACCTGATAATGGCCACGGTTGTGCAACACGCGAGATGTGGGTACTCACATCCGAGTTGTACCACTCGAGGTGATCCGGCTCATACAGCAGGGGGTTTGCTTTGACATGCCCCTCGTGGTCACTTCGGATCTCCTTGAATGACCTGACGTAAATTCCAGGCTCGATAGGGGCCAGGCCTTTGGGTATCTCAGTTGGGTCTAGCAATCCTGATATCGAGAACCGATGATCTAGTCAACCCGTCGTGATTTTAGTACCAGTGGTTCCACTTACCTGAGATAAAGCAGCCATAAACACCTGCAGAAAGGACTGTTGTATTCCCCACCGTCTCCAGCGGGTGCATGCTGTAGTCCAATATCCCCCGGTGCTCTAGCCTGGCATGCTTCACGACGATCTGACCTTCTTGAATCGATTCAGCCGGCATACCAATCCAGCGGAGTAAAATGTCTGGTGTGACCGGGGTGATCTGTGCGTTGAAGCCTGACGTGCGATCAGTTTAAATCTCAACTAACGAGTCATCGAAGTGCATACATGCGACGAGTGTGTTATCAGGCCACCACACGAAGACATCGGCGTTACGTTCGAGTGCCCGCACAGATCTGTGAATCGGACGTTGCTTTTCTGCCCGTGGACTGATACTAGACGTCGTATCAGCAGGACGTCTGTCGAGTGCCTCCGCATTAGCCATGGATGGTAGATGGGACTTGGAGTAGTGAAGTAAGGACGAGGTTGTAGAGATGGAGTAGCTGGTACTGATTGAGGACAAGCAGGCTTCCGTTGCTGGTGATCGTTGTCCGATAAGATTAGAATATGAAGAGCCCGAAAAATGACTTACACGCTCGATACATGCGCCGCGTTGCAAACTTAGCGGCAGGTGGCGCCGGCAATCTGTGATTGAGGTGCGGAACCCGCGAGGCAGGCCGCGGTGGCAGTCTGGCGAGAACAACGCGCGGCTGCTTTGAATCAGCATTTGATACTAACGTAGATAAACTTTATGGATACATGGAGCGACTAGCATACTCGACAAACGGCGGGCCCAAGAGTCACCGATACGTACAGTGGGTAGACATTGAACATGAGACGGGGATGCGAGAACCTCCCGACAGAGTGATAGCGGGGCAATGTGAGCAAAGGGGCGACTTAGTGGACAGAGGAGGGATGGGGTCGGACGTGACGCGGGAGCCAGAGGATCTTCATGCGGGTTCGTGAACGAGTACAGCGATGGCGATATTCGAGCCTAGCGTAGCCTGGAGATAGGAAAGTTCCTAGTCAGCACCGCAGAGGATCACTAGAATACGCGAACCTTGCCCGAGGGAAAAACAGAACTTACTGCAGAGAAATGGACGTTTAGTCCTCAGGGAAGCCCAGCCGGCGGCGTAGGGCGCCGATTATAGGCTGCTTGCAAGTTCGCGTGCGTCGGCGATAGATACGTGTGCGCGAGCGACAAGGCAGTACCGCGTAGGACCGCGAAGGCAGAGCGAGTGGGACACAGCAAGAATTTAGACGAGGTCCGAAGAGGGAATAGCCGGATACAGACGAGCACGAGCAAGAGCCTCGCCTGAGCGAACCGTTAATTTAGATCGCAGCGACTGTAGACACGATGGTGACCGTCGCGGCGTAGAAAACGGAGCGCTCGTCAGACGACAGCTGCTAGAAGGCCGGCTTGTAGGGAATGGAACGCGCAGCGCATCGCGACGGTTGTTGATCAGGAAGGGTTGAGGAGGGCCGACGGAGACGCGTAATTGGCGGGGCACGAGTAGCAGTTGTGTCGCAGAGAGGAACGTCTCCCTGAGGGATCCCGTGAGCAACGTACGTTACTGATGTCCAGACGGCGCCGGCTGGGGGAAGTGTTGTGCTACGGGCAAGGGCGTTGCACGGCGGGGGAGCTCTACCGCCACGGCGATCTGAACGGAATCGAGGGAGGAAACTGGCGGATTGAAGTCTGGTGAGCTCGCGCAATTGAGGCGAGGCACATGTTCGCAGGAAATACGCCATAGCATGGTGCTACCAGGCCAGGGAACCTCACGAGTTTCGGCTCTCGGTCCAGGAAGAGCTCGATCCGGAGATATACGACTGGGGGCGAGGCAGCCAACACTACAAGTTCGGTGTCCGCTAGCTCTGAATTGCTAGGGCAGTGCGAGGTCAACCTGAGCCAAACGAGTTTCGTGATAGCTGCCTGGTTTCAATCCGGCGGGCGTGGGCACGTTGATGAATGAGTACGCTATTGAACTGTCAGAGTTGTGTCAGAAGATGACACAGGCAGGATAGCTGCCGTGCAGACGCAGTGACACGCACCGTGGACTTTCGTAAGGACTAAGAACGGCAGCTTGACGGAGATAGCGAAGGAAGGTATCCATCGCACCGCCGCGCTGCGAAAGGATTTGTCGCCGTGTCTGCGTCCTATGCATATGCGGCCAAGTAGTGTTCACCTGTCGGGCCCAGCCAAGTTGTCCGGGAAGGGTAGCTTTCCCGGCCGCCATCCTGCGATCGCGAGTACGGGGCACGAGAGTCGTCGATATCGATATGTGGGGAGATGAGGAGAGCACCGGCGTGCACACCCTCTCGGTCCACAGCGGACCACAATGACGGCGCAGTATCCCGCCCAGTACTAGAGACGACGGCCTGGTGAATGTTCGGGGCTGGCAATACTCTTGCGGGACATAGCGGTTTTCGATTGGCGACCACGGACGCCATGAGAGGTTAGGATGGCGTGTCCAGGCTAAGCCTACACAAACGCCAATAGGACGCGTCGGACTGCATGATATGATCGTGACCAGAAAGACAACGATGCGAGAGAGCGGAGCAACTATAGTGGTTGCGCGCGTAGCAGGGAGGATCTGCTCGGACACTGGCGCAAAGGTCGAATATGATCTTGATATCACGCCCCTGGGTGTACGTCATGCGACTGTAATGTATACTCTGTGCGTATCCTCCCACTCAAGCTCCAGAAGCCTAGATTTCGTGAAGTCGAGAGTCAGCTCGCGCACGCGAGGCCAAGAGCACCTCGCGAAGACTCAGATAGCGTCGCCATAGATGCAGTCAAGGATACGCACCGTTATCAAAGAAGTAATACCAAAACGCCGGACCCATCGCTGGTTATGTCGTGCCTGACGCGAAGGCTCTCGTGTGTTTGCAGTAGACCCTGTACTTGCAGGGTGTCCGCGTCCAGATACCTCCTGGAGTGTGTCCGTTGGTACCTTCACTCAGAACCACAAGTATTGCCTCGGCGACGACCAGGGTAGAGAAAGCATAGCTTATGCTGTAGCTAACAAGAAGTTTGAGCCCGACGCGACGCGGATGACCGAGGACCTGATGACGGGCAGAGCGAAGGACGAGTTCGAGAACAGACGCGGGCGGCACCGCAGCACGTGGGCGTGCCACCCTAAGCCGAAGCGCCCGAAGCGCTCGGCACGCAGGTGGGCTGGTGCCCAGCGTGTGCGGTTGAGCGACGCTGCCGACTGCGAGGAGTGTCCATACCTTTCACCCACCAACGGAACAGATACATGGGAGCACTTATGAACCCGCTCAAGAGGTGAAAATAGGATACTTACTCGAGCAGCAGACGTACATAGGCTCGTACAAGCCGGCGGCACTCGCGGCACTCTATCGTCTCTACAACTCAGTGAGTTCCTGGCATGCACAATCTCCCAGAGTTTCAAGCATACATATTCTTGTTCTGGGAGCGACTGAATGATATCAGGAAGATAATAGATCTCGTTGTGAGAAACTTCTCAATCACTCTCGTCCTCCGTTGCCACCACGTCTGTATCCTCTTCATCCGTACTCTCGTCCGTGTCCTCCTCCTCCAAGCTACCGCCCTTGATGAGGTGCTCGGGAAGTTCAAGCTTCAGGTTGGGATGCATGGCCTGGATGTGCTGCAGCGCCACCTTTCCCACCCGAGTTCTCCATTTCTTGTGCTTGAGGTCCGACGCTCTCGGAGTCACCTTGTCGGGAGCGTATTTTACCTTTCCCAGAAATTCCATGACGTCCCCACGCCTAACGTCATGAGGAACGAGGTGCCCTCCCAGGAGGCGTACGGCAAGCGTGTAGCGGAATTGCTCGCGGAAGAAATCATCGCGGAGACTGTTATGGTCCTGTGCATCGAATCGGAGACGGGTGAAGAACTGGGTGGCTTGAGCGATCTTGTCGAAAACAACGATGCGGTATCCGTCCTAATATGCAAGCTTTTAGTGAGCTATGAGGGAAACGATGCAGAGTGATGGTGCAGACTCACGTCGACGTCGACGCTGATGGCGTTAGCCAGCCAAAGCCGATGGATGTCCGCGCGCATAGTGACGACGTTTGCAGCGACTTCCATATCTTCCTGCGTGAAGTCTGCCTGACATGTGCGCCGGGGTACGCAGGAGTAGGCGAGCATCTAACGCAGGGTCTTTATTTATGGCCGTGATGACTAGCTTCGAACAGAAGCCACTCACTCTGCTGTGCGCTGTAGGAGGGTAGATCCAGTAAACGCCGACACTACGGTCGCCCGCGTCGCCCGTCGATCCGGTGAACATGCATTTGGGGGCATATTTCTCCCAGGCCATGTTGCAGAGCTCTGGAGTAATGGTCTTATGAAGCAGTTTCTTGTCTTAGCAGCGATACATCGTATAAGAAGTGAGAGCGCCACGTACTGCCGGTACCGCTAGGTACGGGTTCAAGGTCTCCGGGTTTCCGCTGTAGGACGATTTGTACATCTCCGAAAAAGCAGCATCCTCATCTAGCAGAACCTGGAGTGTTCTCGGAAGGGTATAAACATCGTCGGGGAAAAAGTGTGAGGAATGAGAGATCCTGTCGGTATCTACTGCTCGCCGCATACAAGAGCGTATCAGCGTCTACATCATGGTTTTGGCATGCAAGTCACTTACTTCCTGTGGGGCCGGTGTAGCAGCAGACGTAGTCACCCCGCGTGAGCACCGTCGAGTCGTCCAGCGGGCGTGGGTCGTCGGGCAGTACGCAATCGAACAAGAGACAGTGCTTGTAGTCCAGCCGCTCGATTGGCGTAATTGCAAGCAGGCCACGCGAAGCGCCGGTAAGCATGCTAAACCAGCGAAGCAATACCGGGGCCGTTGGTAGAGGAGTGCACACTTCATCATTGTAGCCTGGTGAAGTACCGCTGATCAGCTTCTCTATAAACGAGTTGACAGGACTTACACGCTATAATCTCATCTTTCACTGCAGTTGATCGCCACCAGATGAATACATTAGCGCCACGGCACTGTGGGAAGGATCGACGCTTGTATGAGGTGTTCAAAACACCTTCGCCTCCAGAATAGGTGTTCCGAACACCTAAAAGGTGCACACCTGTAATAATTGTATAATATAAGTCGGTGTTCAGAACACCTCTATTCACTGTCTGTTTAAGCAGCTGTTCCGCACACCTGAAATATATACATTTTTTAACAGTGTTCTCCACAGCTCCGGCACAAAAAGGTGTTCTCCACAGCTACTTACATTACCTATATCAAAGCACCGTACTCGCGAGTAGGGTGGTCGCTCCAGGCCCGTATCTCGTCGCCGTCACTATTGTGCGCACGCGCCGCCTGTCTAGCTCACTCTTCAGGCCTCGAGCTTCGTCTCCCTCGCCTACGCGCGCCCGCGCGCCGGGCACGCAGGCTGCTGTCATGCATGTCAGAGCGACGCGTTTGACGTACATGTCGAAATCGGCGTGGGGTTGGCGCGGGGATATTCCTTCCTGGCCTGCACAATTGTGAACCCCGGCGCAGAAGTCATAGACGACAGTGCAGACTCACGGTCATCGCCTGCTGTCCCCTATGCGTGCCGGGCCTCCAGCACAACCGCCTCCGTGATGGAATGGAGGGGCCCGACCGCGACTCGGCGCCCGCTGCGCGATGACGTGAGCCTTTTGATCCAAACCAGACTCATACCCAATGGTAAGCGCATCCCAGAGCGCGCCCCACCCTCCTCACAGAGCCATTGCAGGGCATATAATGGAGACGCCGCTGTCCAAGTTTGTCGAGGTCATTATGGCGTCACCGTGCAGTACGCGCCCCGGGGCCCCGTCGTAGAGTCAGCCGCATGCAAGACGCGTGTTGTCGATGTGAGGCGCATTCAGTTGAGCTATCTTGTTCGCGCGCACGCGGGTGCAGGACATGTGGGAAGAGGTTGTGACGGTGACAGCGATCTTGCGACTGCGTTCCGCGTCCCGCTACACGAGCCTGTCCACGGCGCGGCGGAGTGGCAAGTTGTTTGTGACCAGGTAGGGTTTCGACGCGAGTCCGAGAGAGGGAGGAGAGGGGGGCCGCAATGCGCGCGTGTGTGTCTTCTTGCGCAGGCTCAGGCTAGGGGGTGTGGTCCGGGCATGCCCTGCGCACGAGAGGCGGGTCGAGACTGACAGAATGCGAGAGTCATTCATTGCACAACGTCCATCTGCCTGCCACTGCGCCGTCCGCGACCACCACACCCGTTCTCCCCCGCAGGCTTCTGCACGTCGTGCTTCAAAGTTCAGGTCTGGGCGGGGGGGTGCAACGAGGATGTGTGTGCGGGAGTCCTTGCTAACTCGGAGCTCGGCAGATAGTAGCTTACTGCACAGGCGAGTAGTTTACGAGAACAATGGTTGCCAATATTTGCGAGTGTCACTTACGACTCGTTTTTGGCATTATCGTGGTGGATGAGGGCACTGACGATGCCCTCAGCCTCAATTGATGCTGTACCGATACGCCCGGAGAGCGTCGCGTTGACACCACTGAGAATCTTCATCGGCTTGCATATAGTTACCCAGAAAGACAGAATATGTGAGATGAATAGGAGATTGGGGAAACAAGGAGCGACAGGCGAACGAAGCGCGAGGAATTCGGCGCAAGTTGCTGGGGACACAAGATGGGCGTCTATCCAGTTCCCAATTAGGAAGCTAGTTGCGATGACGTCACTAGCGGCTCAAGAGCCTCCCTCTTTGTCGTTTTGCATCTTGACCTCGAACCACCATGATCCCTCTGCGCACTGTGCTTTTCAGCTGTTATCGACGCTCCCTCGTTCTCATCTTGATCAACGTCTTCTACCGTTGTGCTTTACCTTCTTCGCTATTCCTCCCGTGCTCGGTTTCCGTCTTCAGTCTGTGACCCTCGACATGGACCCCACTC